CCCCCCGGAATTAATCCCAGCTCACAACACTCTCTCAATCTCAACCTCAATGGGCACTCCATAGCCATGCTCTCCACCAACACGGTTCTTCTTCTTCCCGAGCTTCTCGAGCTCATAGACCAACGGATTCAACACGGGCGGAGTTGTCATTGGATCATGGACTTCCGGCGTCGAATTTTGCTCCTGCTGTTTCGCACAAGTAATCTGCAGCACAACACCCTGACTCAAGCCCTTTTTGCCCAATCCATCAGCCCAGCGCGCAGCGAGTTTCAGCCTCGGCGGCTCCGTCACACGGCCGGCAGGATAGACAGTACCAACTAACGCAGCCAGGGCACCGAGGTAATTCGCCCAAAAGACCTCTTGATGCGTTAGGGTATTGCGCAGCCTGGTTCTTAGGTCACCGTAAGGAGGAGGCAGAAGCTCCCCATCTGGATCCCAGCGTGCAGAGAGGGCCAGAGCCAAAATTGCCCGATCGGCATGTGAAATGCCATGCGCGGAAGCCAATACACCCGTGAGCGGTGCGTGCAGAGCAGAAACAGCCCTCGATTCCTTAGGCAATGTGAGATGGATGTACATGAGGTCAGCGAGGGCGCGGACTAGAGAAGCAGTGAAAGTAGCAGGTAGCGAGCGACCCAGATCATTTTCACCGGGCAGGCCTGAGCGTAACAAATCACCAATCTCAGCCGCCGATACTGAACCATACTGTGCGGTCGCGGCAACAAGGGGATTCTGCGCCCGCAGGGATGAGTCAAGTGTGTCGAAGAGGAAGCCTTCGCGCACGCCGCCCTGGCAGAACCGGATCGAACTGATCATGGGCAATGCCTCGACTAGGGCGTTGACCAAAAACGAGACTGCGGGCACCTGTGCGGCTCGTCGTTTCGAGATCCGAAAAACAGATTGTTCAGCTGCCACGGCTGAGATGGTTGCTGTTTGTTGGAACTCGCGCTTCGCGACGTAGAACCCGTTGATTATGGGGATTGGATACGGTGATACGCGGTGTTGAGACATTAGTAGGTATCCCCAGCCCCTGAACCCACCGCCGGAAAGGTAGAGTGTTAGTCCTGAGTGTTTGGCTTTGTGGCGCAGTGATTCAGGCAGTTCCAGGTCTTCGTATGCCTGTCGAAATTGGGCTTTCATCTGCTCGCTTAGTTCGGCGCGTGTAGTTGGTGTTTGCTCTGACGAGGTGTCTGAGGAGGACGAGGCTCCCCGTATCAAGCTTGGCCATGGTTTCTGTTTCGACGGTGGTGATTTTTTGACTGATTCTGTTTCGTCAGACTCTGACTCGGAAAGGCCCGCCAGTTGTCGTGTTAGAGCGGCCGCGCCGTAGGGGAAGCTGATGCTGCCTTTGGGGCTGGTTTGCACTTTTCCATCTTTGGCGATCATCCAGGTGATTTGTGTGCTCCCACCTGGAAGACTTCAAGTGTTAGAAATGACGGTTACTCTAAACCATACACAGCAAAATAAGACCAACTCAACCACGACGTAGTGTAATGACTTGTGGCAGGCCTCTGGTGACCTTGTAGACATGAGACCTTGAGTTCGAGTACAAGCAGAAAACAAACCATCCATCCACAGCGTCCCGAGACCACATTTGGTCAAGACAAGCGAGCGTTGTAAGCGAGCACAATATCAGATAACATATGTTCAGTGGAGGGAGCCACAGCACCGCACAAGCACCCACCAATCCAACACAACGTAGAGCAAGATCAACAGCAAACCAAAAGGCAAGAAAACGTAGTCGTAGGACATACCTCCCAAATCCATAACCAACCCCTCGACACTCTCAAAACTACTCGCAACACCCAACGCGCCAATCCTCCCCTCCGCCTCCTTTGGCAAAAGATCGACCTCCCAACCCCGCGTGGCATCCTTAATCTGCCTTCGAAAATCCTCGGAATTGACAGCATTCCTAGTCGCCTCGGTAGCCAGCACGCGGATATTTGTGTCCGGAACCCCGAAATCCCGACAAGCCGTTTTGAATTTCAGCAACGCGCAAAGGACTTCGTCGATGGTTTCTTGCGGAATTGGACCTTTGACGCCTGTGGAATATTGGGCGTCGAATAATGATATGCCTTCTCGGTCCTGGTAGACTGTGGGGAGACAGCGGGCCGTGGTGGGTGAGAGGTCGGTGATGGAGAAGCGGATGCCGTTGCTGGACAGAACCGGAGATCAATATACTGTACATGTACTGGTACCATACATATCATGATGCAGTGCCCGTACCATGGGTGGGGTATATGACATGACAAGACTGCCACAGGATAGCACGGGATTCGATGGGAATGATTGGATGCAACGTTGCTGTTTACAAGAAACAGACCCGGACGGGAATAAAAGATGGGGAAAAGGTACAAGTCAACATACCTGCCCATATCGACCAAGCCATACAGGCTGCTTGGTGCCGGTGTGCGCAACATGGCTGCTCGGCTGTGCTTTGCTCTTTTCTCTGAGTTTTGCCCGTCTGAAGTTGACTTTCAATTCATCCGAGTTCAAATCGATCCCGCTGCTGACTCAGGATATCCTCCCAGGCGTTCCTCGGACACAGCGGAACAATAATAAAAAGTAATCGTATTTGGTGCCTCCGACACACTCAACGAGGGATACTAAAGGTGGCAGATGAAGGACTTGAGTGCGAGACGGTGCATCGTATCCGCGTCTACCGATGTATCGTCCAAGAGTAATAACCGTCGGATTAGTCGTTCCGACTTGAAATTGTTTGCGACCTGAAGCTCTGGACTTGGATGTTTTGGGATTCTCGTCCGGTTGAAGCAGGAAGCACGTGGGGCATTTGGTGTAGTTTGGGAGGCCAGCCCGATTTTCGAGGATTTCTTATTATTAGATATTGAGAACTACTCTAGAATCCACCGCCATGGCCATGCCAGTGATCTGCCTAATCACAGCCAGAGTGCTACAGTACGTGATATATTATACATGCTACTGTGCCTGCTTCAGTCACTGGCCTGCCCCATGTTCACACGCTCGGGATATCCTGGATGAATACATTGCTAGCCCTTATTGAAGGCAGCATCTAGTAGTAGTTAAAAAGTCTCACAGGCGTGATCACATTTTCGAATCCTAAGGTTCATTGGCGCCGCTCACATGGACGGATACTATAGCAATCTTGTAGCCGTCTCCAGCAAAGCAGGCGAGCAGATCAAATCCTGATGTAGTATACCAGCTGGACCGTCTATAACTGGGCATTCTTTGTCGACACGCCTTCGAGACGCGAAGGCAATCTCTGGGTGCCAACAATCTTCTCCTACGACATTTGTTCGTCTTCCGGGTGGAAAGCATCGCCAAACGCCGAATCCTCCATCGTGTCCAAATTGAGTTCTTCGTCCTGGCCATAACTCGCCAGTGCATCCCCAGCCGTGTCGACATCGACGTTATCAAAATCACCCCCAATGTCGAAATTGGGTGTGTCCAGTGACGTTTCTTGAGCCGGTTGCGGTTGCGTCGACATCGACGGTGTTTGGGTCTGGCTTGTCGTCTGAGCCTGGGGAGTTTGTTCCGTCCCATCTGCCGCCGGTGTTGGTCCTTGAGGCTGTTGGTCCGCCGTGCCGTGACCTGCCATATTCACATCTCCTGCACTCTGGCCGCCTGCCTCGTCGACCACCACCCAGTCGTTCCCATCCTGCTGGGCAGTGTTTCCAGATGCACTTTCATCCACGCCGTCCATGACGACGTCGCCACCACCGCCACCACCGCCGATGGCATTAGCGGGAGCAGCTTGATTCGTACTTTGATTGCCACTTCCTGGCTGCGCTTGAGCGGCATCGTTACTAGCCTGTCCTTGTTGTGGTGCAGACGGTGTCGCTTGGTTGCCTGCAGAGATGTTGGGTTGTTGTTGACTCGAGGAAGCAGGTGGTTGCTTGTCTTCCGCTTTGTGTTCTTGGGTCGTAGTTACCGGCTGTTGTTGGGTACTCTGTTGCGCCGCAGCAGCAGTTCCAGTCGTCGTTTGAGGAGTTGTCGTGGGCGCAGGTCCACTTTGGCTCTGGACTGGCACAGGCTTCTTTGGCTCTTGATAACCACCCTTGGCCACTAGTCGAACGGGCGGTGCCTCATGCAGTTTCTTGCCCGTCTTGGTTTCGACCTCGCGCATGATCTCTTCCATTGCATCCCGCGGGTTTGCAACTCTGTCACCAGGTGCTTCATCCGACAAACGGCGCTTTTCCGGGACGGTTGGAGCCATTCGTAATTTCTTCTCCGCCGCCTTCAGCACGGTCGACCGTGTGAGACTCTGCATTCGTCGCGTGTGTATCTTTTTCATCTTTTCCAATTCCGCCTGCATATCGGCCAATTTCGCCGTAGCGCGTTTGGCAAATTCATCTGCTTGACCTTCCGGAAGCTTGCCAACCCTTGGTGGTGGGCCGTTTGTGGGTTCCCGCTTGGCCGACACTGGCGCGTCAAAGAAGTCCTTGGTCAGCTCTTCCAAAGGTCCTTTTCGACCGAGACCCAAATCACTGGGCACAATCGATAACGTGGGATAGGGTGACTCGAGAATCTCCTCCATCCATTCGTGGTGTTGCTCGTAGCGGACGCGACTGATCTCTCGTGGACTCAAAAAATCAAGAAGATCGCCACGCGACACATCTTCCTCCTCTTCCAGCGTGGTGTCGGGTACAGTGCTGGTGCCCCTTCTGTGTGCTGGCGCGGCAGCCGCTGCTGGAGGTGCCACGGCCCTGGCCACTGCCGGGGGGAGGCGAATCGTAGGCCAACTGGAACGATCATGCAACATGAATTCGTTCCGTGGCAGCTGGCCTTGACTCTGGATCATCCGCCGTTGCTGGAGCTGTGCATGCACCTGTGGGAGCACTGGGATGGATGCGACAGGAACATGATCGCGAGGAGAGGCTTTGGAATAGTGGACCAAAAACAGGCTGGGGTCGGGGTTTGGTAATCCCAAGTTAGGATTCCCGGGCAGTAGTCGATAACGCCGCCTGCTATGCGACGCCATGGGCTCACCCCCGGCGGCTCGGTACCCGGATCGTTGTAGATACATCTCGAGAGTCTGGAATCCGTTAGCAGGAGTAGTCGCAAGACCCTGGCACACATACATAGCCCCGGACTTCCGACGTAAAGACATGTTCCGCATCTGCCCAAATGTATCCATCGCTTGCGAAGTTTGTCCCGAGATGTTCAAGCGGTTGCCATGTAAGAAGCAACGTGCCGTCAGGAGGAGCTTCGAGGAACTGCCATTGCACCGGCTGCAGATCGCGCACAATCTTGGGCGCTTCCAACAGGTATGCAACAATGGTCTCAAACGACGGGTTGCTCGTAAGAGGATATCGATATTTTGACACAAGGTGTAAATGCGACAACTAAGTCAACCAGTTAGTCTGATGCGAGGGGATAATGAACAGGGACGCATACCAATTGGGGCGGGACCACCCCAGCCGCGGGATCTTTGAGCATGGGATTCATTCTTCAGACTATGCGACAAACTCGTTTTATTCTCACGGCATCGAATATACCGTGTGGTGAGTTGTGGTCAGTGGTTCCTTGCGCGGAGAATTGACGCATGCCGGTCTCTAAAAGTTGAGGCGCGACTGCGAAGTCAGCCAGAGACGCGCATTGGGCGGAAGCTTGGCACCTACGGGTACGGCGGAATCTTCAGCCTCGTGGTGCACTCCAGCCATTCAAGCGACGAGGCTCTCAGACTTGGTTCCCAGCTCTCAGACTTCTCATAACCTACAGTACGACAGTCATTGAACTGATCCTTGCCTCAATTATTTGAAGACTGGTTGGCTCAAAGCATCCTTTATCTAGAGTGCGGCTTGCCTGGAGCATCCTAACACCACTGAAATGGATCCCCGGAGAAGCACCTTCTGATACACTAGTCGGGTATGGTTGTACATGAGTAACCTCCTTCTGAACTCATTGCCAAAAATGAAGTCCCTAGTTCAGCTCACTCGTCACATTGGAGAATTCGCCCTTCTCAAGTTTGGTCTGCCAGAAGATCGGGTTGGTGTCGAAGAAACCGTGCTTCACCCAGCCGTCCTCCTTAACATGGTACAGGTTGATGTATCCACCGGAGTAAGCATCTCGGTGAGTCGCTGCAAGAATACTCCTCCTACCCAGTTCCAGAGCCTCATCATCTTCCAAGTCGTATTTGTAAAGTGCATCTAGGACACCATACGCAAACGTCTGACCGGAACCCACGCAAAACAGATTGCCTGATAACCGTGTCCCATCAGAATCAATGTAGTAGAGGGCCGGACCTTCTTGAGGGGTGACGCCCGTGATCATTGTACCCATAGACAGTCCCATGCCTTTGTAGGAATACACGAGATTGGCCAGGATTTTGGATGCGGCAGCCACAGAAATGCGTCGCTTGTGTCGGAGCTCGTGCAACCGACATTGAATTCCGAGATATGCGAGCCAGTATTGACAATCCTAATCATGGTTAGCTAGGTTGCCGGCAGGTGAAATCTCAATCGGACGTACAGCAGCTCCTCCAGCCATCGTCCCCAGCAACATCGGATTGATCTCAATGACCTTTTTAACCGTTTGTGAGGCAATCCAGTTACCAGCCGTAGCCCTTGAATCAGTCGCGACAATGATACCCCCCTTGAATCTGAAAGCTAACGTTGTCGTACCATGGGCAATCTTGATCGGGCAGTTCGGGTTTGAGTAGTCGTCCGTGGCGGCACGTAGAAAGGACGAAGGCTGAGCGACTGGAGGTAAAGCGAATTTGAGGGATAGAGGAGGCACGGTCTCAGTATGTTCATTTTGATCGTCTGACGTGAAGCCTTCATTGGCATAAGGAGGTTGCGTGTATTGGACAACGAGGGTGTCCATGATGGAATCAGGCACAAGGAAGGTGGAGGACGGGTCTTGCTGCAGAGGATTAAGTACCGGTAAGGCTACCGGAGATTACAAAGAGAGAAGAATTGTTGATACAAAACAGAAACCACGAAGACCACAAGGAAGTTGTTTGACAATCAAGACAGAAACGTGACGGTTGACCCTCGCCGAAGTGACGATGAAGATGCGCGTCTTCTGGGGCCTTGCGCAGCTCGAGGCGGTATCACGTGAAGTCACGTGGGCTTGTCACAGCCTTGCAGCCCTCAGCCTCGGGGCATGTGCGAGGCTGTTTCTAGACCAAATATTGTAATGCCAGTTTGCAGCATACTAGTAAGATTTCTAGATGTATCACTAATCTAAATAGGATCGAAGTGCTCATTTCATTACCTAGGTACCGTCGTTATTGAACCTGATGTGAGTCGTCCTTACAATTGCGACCCGGCCATCGCTTTAACTGTCATACAATCCTAGTGCAACTCCGATTGCTGCCGTCAGTAATCAAATAGTATACAAGATTGCCCAGTTCTTTCCAATATTGCTGGACCCTGGCCTGGGCGGTCACCAGGATTCAGCCTCGGAAGCGGCCTTGGGGGCGAGACTGCCCAAAAGCCACCGAGCAATAAGCGCTCTGCGCGACTTCAACAACAAGGGACAAACTGTGTCCTTCCCGCCAATGTGAACTGTATGGTCGTTGTGCTGCATGTTGGTCGTCTGCTCAATTTTGCCCCATAATTCTGCGGCGAGACTCATCCGATAGAATCCGACACGTTGCTCGCAGTTAGGGGGACCGGAGCGAGGCCCGCACTCCTCACCATCAAGACTTTAGTGGTAACATATTGAAATGGAGGTCGTTATCATCAAGATTTTGCTCAGACTTCCCTGAAACTCCCACTGACTGGCTTCCTTCCCGTCTGTAAGTAGCTCGGTGATCTGGCCTGATATTCCGCCTGTGGGTTGTAAGGAGCAGGCATGCTGATCCTACTGGGTGCATAGTCTGGTTGCGGTTCATATCTCGTGCTGAAACTGCTTGGTGCGTAGGTAGACGGCTGTTGGTGAAAGTCATGGGGTTGGTGGTAATGTTCGTTTGGGCTCGGACTAGCCGCACCGGAAATGAATCTATCAGACGTGATAGACGGTGCATTTGATGTGGTTCGATACGTCGGAGGCGGGCTCAATGGCACGGACTGGAAACTCTCGTATCGAGAGCCATTTGGGGCCAGTCGCTGAGCACCAAGGTCTGAGTGATACGAATGGGTCATGCCATTGTTGGGGCACTCGCCCTGAGGATGAAGCGAAGATGGTGACATTGGGCCAGTAGGAACACTGTTGTAACCGCCTCGCATCCTTTGCGATTGTGCCTCAAGCCTTCCCATTTCCACATCGCCATGGGCATCCGTTTCTTCAACCCGCCTTTTGGTTGCAGTATCCCAACTGGGCATCGGAGGTAAACTGTCTTCGTTGATCTTCTTGCCACTTGGATCATCAAAGGTAGCGAACTGAGGCATGTTCGGATTGCCGTATGACATGGGCGCAGGAGTCGGTTGATATCCCCCGTAAGGGGTAGGAGGCACTCGTGAGTAATCGTCTTTGTATTTCGAGGGACGGTCTCGACTTCGGCGAGGACGACAGCAATTGCAGCAGCAGGCGCAGAGTTCCGCACCGCAGCAAAGACATCTAGCGAAACACCAGATGATCGAGAGGAGGATGAGGGAGCCGACGACGATTCCAACAATGGCAGGCCATCTAGAACGCCATTAAAGAGGGTCGCTAAGATTCTGGGTTGATTACATACTTGCAATAGGTCTTGCTCATACATTTGTCCCAACTGGTAAACGTTTCTGGGGCACTTTTCACCTCACTGATAACGTCGCGGGCGAAGAGAGGGTGAGCCATGGTGTTGAGTGGGCGGGAGAGGTCCGTCGCATTCGGCGTGTTGTGTCAATGAAAGATGTCGGCCTGAACTACCCGGTAGAGGACGGACAAGTTGAAGGGATTGTAAGAACACTCGAGTGAGACTGTACGTCGAAATCTCCAGTCCTGTATATCTTGAAGCCGTGGCTATCTGTAGTACGGTGGTTGGGTGCTGGTCATTGAGTGAAGGCCGACCGGCGGACAGTGCACAACGAGGGACGTGCAGACAAGGCTGGTAAAGACTGAAGATCGAGAAAATTGATAGAGGATGGGAATTAGTGATTTCTCAACCTCCGATGCTCAAACGCAAGGCGAAGAAGCATACCTAGAGTTTGCCTGCAACTTGAAGGGAAGGGAGCTGAAGGGGTGTTCAACTTTCACGCGGTGGAATGGGTTGTGTCACCCAGGAGGCTGAGCAGCGAAGGCCGTTCCGGGAAAGGGTGCACAGCGGAGTGCGTGAGGGAAGAGAACTGAACGCGGGCTGCAGGCGTCAAGCGGGGGATTCCATGCCCAGTCAGAAGGCTAAACTACTACGGTTAAGGCTACGCAAAGGGGCCGCAATTAACGATCCTCTCCCTGCCCAGGCTCCAAGTCCCAGGCTCTAACAGGGCGCAGGAGCCACCACGGTCCCCTAGTAAGCCACCTTGGGCTTTCTTTTGCGGGTGGCACTTTTTGATTGCCTCCATGCTGAAACACCGACGCAGGTCACAACCCTGCCGGGCTGCCTCCGACAGGAAGCTGAGATCCGACGCAACTACTATCATAGCAGAGTTGCGATGTCATAGCCTACTTACTAGTACTTGTAGGAATAGTGTGGTAAACACCGAATACCATAGTTTTTGCATCACAACGGCTGTTTTCTCGAGTCATCTTGCACGTTTGCATGGTGTCATTAATTCCTTGGTTGAGCAACTGCTATTGTACACCTTCTCGGCTTTACCGTCCAACGCCACCAAGCCTCGGATATCCGTGTGACCAGTCACCAAGTCTCCCATAACCAAGTCGCGCCCGGAAACCCTTCAAATAGGATCGCACCCATGAACGCTAACCCCTCATTAGGGATGTCAAAAGTCGGCCTTAATTCTTCGCGGGCGGCGGGCCGGGAGGTGGCTGATAGACATTTTCTCCTCCTTGATAGGTGTTTGGTGGTGGCTGCATCTCAACATCGGTCTGTCTTCCGCCGAAATATCCTTGGTTTTGCCCGTAATAGCCTCCATAGTTTTGAGTCTGGTTATATTGCGGCGGCGGCGGCGGCTGGTTCTGGTAGTTGGGATTGTAGTTTGCCGCAGGACGGTTCCAGGGGGTTCGACCAGCCCATCCAGTGCCATATAAAGGCCGTGCCCCCATGCGACGTCTTCGGCGGGCAGTAATGCAACTTCCACGATGGTTAGCTGCTGAGCATATTCGAGGGTATATAGCGATCAACTCACGCGAAGAGGAAGAAAAGTAGGAATGCTCCGAAGATGATCAGAGCAAGCGCAAGCCATCTACCCCAGCTCGACCATGTCGAGCGGCAACGGTAGTATCGACCGTAGGCGTCGCGACATCTGGCCATAGTAAGCAGATGTCCATCGGGTAACTCTCAGGGATGGCTTGATCCCACGACAAGATTGTGACCTACAATGTGTAGCGCCGTTCGAGACTCATGACTGTGTTTCCTAGACGACGTTGGGAAAGTGTTTGGTCGATGGCACATTCAAAGGAATATGATGTTAAGCGGGGACCAAGGGAAGAAGAGAGAGGTCGTCGGCGTGACAGGGCAACCAAACGGGTGGGATAACAATATGTTCGGATTAGACGTCGTCAACGATGCTGTGTGTTTGGTCGTTGAGTACCTAGTAGAGTGAGGTTTTCGACGAAGCCTGCGACGAAGGGAAGATATGAGGGAGCCAAGCTTGGAACGGACGATGGCGCAGTTTCGCACTCAGCTGTGTACGATATCTGGGCACATCTGGGCAGGCAGAAGGTGGAATCCGAATCATAGGTAGCAAGACGTTCGAGTTGTTTGCGCAATGCCAGTGTAGGGCAATACCCGGGCGCAGCCACCACTGGCCGTGGCGCAGCAACGGCGGCGTCACTAGCAATAGTTCGGGGGCTACTCGGCTTCCTATTGGCGCTGTGGCCCCAATAAATGGCCGCCCTGCTGCCTAAACCATTGTAAACCATGCCCCGGGCTGGGTCAAAGCAGGTAATCATGACATCTGCGCGGCTCCTCCAGTGGGGTGTGTGGGTGAAGACAGGCCGCTGGTGGCACCCGCTGTGAGAGCAGAAGACTGGCACCTTGAAAGTCAGGGACCGCGAAAGAGTACTCCTAGTAGAGAGACTACCTACACGTAAGATGCAGTGCGCCAGAACTAGTAGTAGGGCGTCGGAGATACAAGATTGAATCGACGTCCATGCCGGATCATTTCAACCTTTAGTTTATAGCTATCGTTGTCGGCCGGCGGTCACCACTTCGCGCGATTCAGACATCCTGCCCATGTATCTCCAAATCCCTCGCTTGGCATTGCAAGTCCCCATCAAGTTCCGTGTTCGCAGGAGGCGGTGCTCTTGGCCATGCGGTACCATAAGCCATTCGCACTGAGTCCCGACCCGTATGGGCTCGAATGCTGCTTGCCACCGCCATCTACAATGGACTGTACTGTACGTACAGCACTGCACTGAGGACAATTGCTCGACATTCCATCAAGCCTGAAGTGAGCGGCCTGCTGGTTGCTGCTGGATCAGTCGCCTGGTTGCAGCTCCATCGCTTCCACGATATGGTGCTGTGCTACGTGTACTGTAGGACATCGCCGTTCAAACCGACAGGGTCCCTCCGTTACTGGGCTCTAAGGTTGAGTTCAGAAGGGCTGAGTGAGGCTGACGAGAGACTTTGGTAACCAACAATTCAGACTCCAGCTCATGATTATTTCCCTGCTCGCGCCACAAGCCACTGTAGAACGGCCTCCAGGTTGGTCTCTTCTTTGGCGCTGACCCCGTAACAGCTGATCTCTCGGTGCACAATCCTCTTCAAATCCAGTTGATCGATGAGTTCGTCCACGGACAATTTGTTGGGCAGATCCGATTTGTTACCCAGGACGAGAAGGGGAATCCCTTCTAGAGTCGGCCTCTCCAGGAGAGCGTGCAGTTCCTCCTTCGCAACAGGGACAGCATCTCGGTCGGCCGCGTCGACCACAAAGATAATGGCATTGACCCCACGACAATACCTCTCCCACATTGACCGAAATCGTGGCTGACCTCCAAGGTCCCAGCATTTGATAGAGACATGGCCCTTTTTCACTTCCTTCTTATTGAAAGCGACCGTGGGCAACGAGTCGACAGCAAATTCGTTTCCCTACGTCAATGATTTCAGCGTCCGGCTTCGCTGATTCATCTTGTGCGACAACAGCTTCACTTACTGCTAGAACCCTGACCAAACTAGTCTTGCCTGCGTTTTGCAGACCAACTATCGTAACGTCCATTTCGGTCGCCCAGAACATCCATAATAGCCAGTCCCACAACCACGTGAAGAAGCCCGCCATCTCGCCGGCGACCGGTAGTTCTTTTGCGTATACTTGACTTGCTGGTTCAAGCTCCGGTTGTGTTGTCGACCAAGCACGGAATCGTGGGTTACTGGTGGCGTCCCGTACGTGTAAGGGATGCTCAGTCCTCTAGGTAGATTAGCTCTGATGTGGAATAACCCTACATAGCAATAATGATGCAGAAGCGAGTTGCGGAGAAAGCAGACGGGCCACTGGCACCTAGCAGATAGCAACCCTGCCAGTGGTGATAGCACGGATAGTGGCTGGCAAGTGACGATGGCGTCCGTACCTAAGGTGCAAGAGTCTCGCGCATTCTTGTGGCGGTGCAATCACTTTACTGTACGTTCATGTTGTGGCTGGAAGGCGCTTGTCATGTGAACTCCTCTGAAGTCGGCGTTCGCTTTTAGTAATAATAAGACATATATCACCTGCCTTGGCCATCTACTGTTCGGACATTTGGAACGGGGTCGAGCTACCAACTGTCATCGAGGAGGTTGAACAGGTGCCTCACCCTGTTTGGGACTTCCAGCAAATTGCCCGCACTGGGAGCAATGATTTCTTTATCCCAATGTTCGCAGACAGTTTCTCTGCCTTCCTAATTTATGTAGCCGACTCGGCTACCGCGTCGTTACATGCTCCAAGCCACCCTTCTGGATGAGACCACCCCGAGCGCGGTGACCATTATCCAAAATGGCCTCGCGATCCCGACGTGGCTGCATCGACTGCAAGAAGGCTAAAGTCAAATGCGACGAGGTGCATCCCTTCTGTGGTACTTGCAAGAGACGAGGTCGTGAATGTAGTGGCTACAGGCCTATCACTACTGCTCGCAAAGTCCTCGAGACAGGGTCTACTCAAACAGCTGAGATCTCACTCACAAATCAAGAAGTGGTCGGTGTCGGATCTCCTGATGCAATATCCTTCAGCCGGAACTTTCACAGGCAAGATGCCACCGGTTGCTGCTCCGTACCTCTCAGTTCTCCAGCCTCCCGTGCTTCTTCTGTATCGTCGGTGTCGCCGATCGTCAAGCACAATGCCCAAATACAGGCACCACCTCTGCAAAGAGCCCTTGCCATTGTTCCTCCAGGGACCGTACAGCCTTCGGATGAACCATTCATCGCGGTCTACTTCATGCGGCATCCATCGGAGCTGGTTTTTGGGGATGAATTCATCCAAGAAATGAACTCCAATGTTCTACTAGTGTTCCAGGACAATCCACAGGCTGTCAGTGACTCTCTATCTGCTATTGGGGAGGTATATCTGAGGGACAGTCCCCTTCCAGTTCTGTCGTTCGTCCCAAACAGAAAGGCGAGGATTCTGGCTAGGCTACGAAACATGGACAATCTCGGGCTTAGTTTGGAGCTGCTTCTGACGACAATGCTTGGTCTTTGTGCTGTAGAGGTAGGATTTTTGTGGTCGAGTTTTAGCAGCATTGACTGACTATTTCCAGATTATTGATGCCAGCTACCACGAAACGCAGATATCTAGCATCCCCAGTCTTATGGAGAACTTGGCCATGATGCTAGACCACCACCTCCACAAAGGGCTTGCGTTGAGCCAGTTGGCCAGGTATTTCATTCGTGCTCTTGCGAGGCAAGACATGATGCTAGCCTTGACGAGACTACATCCGCCCCATATTCCCACTGACTACTGGGTGGATGATGATTGCATGCGGCACGCGGATCGCTTCATGGGCTACACTAGCACTCTAATGCCATTGTTGGCCGAACTGAGTGCATTTGCTGGGGAAGTTCGAAGATCTCTTAACGAGACAGTTGATGAAGGCATCTTGAACACAGCGTGTTCGACTCCCTTCCAACATTCGCCGGACGTGCTTAATCGAGCCGCTCTATTAAAGTCCAAAATTGAGTTATGGCATCCTACCGTCGACACGAAACTCTCGTTCAACTCATTGCGCAGATTTCTCCTACACGCCAACGCATACCGCGCTGCATCCCTGCTCTACCTTCATCGAATTCTAAATCCTGCCGGAACTTCTCCCCCAGCTGACGAAACAGCGGTGGCCATGGCTTACGAAGTTATGGTTCATACCCCTGCCATGGAAGAAGACATTAGAATGTCCCTATGGCCTGTCTTTCTAGCCTCATGCGAGGTGTACAACGAATGTGACAGGATCACCGCCACGAAAATGTTATCGGCCGTCTGTAAGGGTCGCAAGACTATCACAGCGATGCGGACAAATTCTTTTGTGGTGAACCGTGTTTGGGCGGCAAGAGATAATGGAGGGGACTGGGATTGGATGAGGCTCGCCCAGCGGTACCCTCAGGAGCTGTTACCTATCTGAACACAATTGGAAACACTGCCAGAAATATTCCTCCCAAGAACCCCCTAACTGGTGTCAGAAGCTACCATTTTGCACATTCCTGGTCATTGCTGCCTGGACATATGTCTGGCTACGTCTTCAGGATAGTCTCGATGGTCTGTACATCATTGAGAAGTTGCTCATCTCCTAACCGGGGGCCGACAAGCTGAAGAGCAACAGGAGCTCCAGCCATCAGTTGCGGATCATCTAGCTCAAGATTAACATCAGAACACTCATCGAGCGCGCCGACAGCAGTCTCACACAGCCAGTGAGAGAGTGGGAAACTTACATAATGACTGGATCTTTTCGTCGAGTTCGTGTAGTGGAACGAACTCTTCGTCCTTGGGATCCAGCGCAGGATCTACCTTGGTGAACGGGATCACCACGGCAGGATACTGAGAGCATGTGTGAGTAGGTCTTCTTCCCTTTCCAGTCCGGAGTTGTTGGAATTCAAACTCACATCCATGGCGTTCCAAGCCACCGTATACATGTCCACTGTCCAGTCTCCAGGCAAAACAGCCGTATGCGGACCAGCAGGGGCAAGCACAATATCTATGCCAGCTTTCTGCCAGCGATCAAGCATTTCCTTTTGGAGGGCCAGCTTTTTGGCATTCAAGGCCCACGCTTCCTCATGCGTCTTTCGAGGAATACTCCAAAACCCGATCTTTTCCACCGACGGCACCACGGGCTCCCCTGCTTTCTCTAGCTGTCCTCGTGGGTATGACAGTGCATCGAGAGTGAAGAGTTCTTTGGTTACCATGCGGATTTCGTTAAAGTCCGGAGGAACAAAATCTTTGACGACAATCCCGGCGGCCGAGAGTTTGTCCGCTGCCTCTTTGACGGCTCGTCTGACGGGCGGATGAGGGGTTGTGCCGCTCTTGTGAATCACGCCTACGACTGGCTTTCGATTCTCTGCGCCAATCTCCATGATACGTGGTATCACGGCAGGATCGAATGTCCATGGCTTAGCATCCCGGACGACACGGGTCAACAAGGCCAGGTCCCTAGAGGAATGGCCCAGTGGGCCACAGACTGCCGGCACTCCGGTGTTTGCACCAACCCAACCGGATGCTGCATATCCGATCAACGGCAGAATTCCAAAGCTAGGTTTGTAGCCGTAGACCCCGTTCGCGGCGGCAGGAATACTGAATTCGTCAGTGATTACGGACCAAGAAGGACATTCTCGTCTTACCGAATAGAACCTCCGACGTCAGTGCCGACTCCCAAGGCGCTCCCTCGGAACGCCATGACAGAGCCCTCACCTCCACTGCTCCCTCCACAGGTCAAGTGACTGACCAATGGATTCTTGGTCTGACCGAATACGTTGTTGTCGCTTTCAGCCACCAACATGGTTTGTGGTGTATTTGTCTTTGCAATGACCACAGCACCATTTGCTTTGACCACCTCCACGAGGGGTGTGGTGTGGGTAGAAGGTTCGAATGTTCTTGAAATGTACCCGTTGCTAGCATCATATCCCTCGATATGGAAGCATTCCTGGTCCGGCATGTCAGTCCTGTACAAGAAGTCGACGTTACGACGTCGGTACCGACCTTGAATGTCATTGGCAACCCATGAAGGGGCCCAACGGTCTTTCCGGTTTCTTTGAAAATTCTGTCCAGCCTTTTTGCGTCGTTGATGGCATCTTGGAACATGATCTCGGTCAGGTTATTGCAGAGCTGATGGCCTATCGCGGCTCTTTTGCAGAAGGCTGTGGCGACCTCGACGGCAGAATATGTTCCCTCTGCAATTGCAGCCGCCAGGGATGTGGCATCATGGCGATCTCCCGTGATCAAGAGCTCTCTGTCCGATAGAATACCACAAGAGGCTGCCACGGGCCGGAGATCGACAGTGCCTTCAGCTGGGAAGTCTTCTGGTTTGAGTAACCACTCCAGAGGTATCCTCTCTGCCTGTTGAGCCTTCTTCGCAAGATGGATCTTCTGCCATGGCTCAAGCTTGGTTGAATCTGGATTTTCTTCAATCATAATGAGACTTGATCCCTCGAGCCTGGTCAAAGGAAGAAAGAATTATGTGCTCCTTTGCCCCTAGATTCACCACCTGGGAGAGGGGCTTTTGACGGGCTCTCGGTTCTTAAAGGATTGCTCTCTCCCTACGATCATCCAAGATTACGTTATGGCAACCTCAATTTACATGTTTACAACGGGTCCAGCATACATGCGTCTGTCTGCAGGTAGACACTCCAACTCAGAGCCTCGTTGCCCCTGAAGTATAGATCCTTTCTCAAATCAACCAGTGCTCTGAGCCCACCCCCGCAGGTGCCGCTGAGTTACTCATAGGTAACTGGTACCGAGGGAACACTTCTGCGGATGCATGCCAGCGAGCAACCAGTCTAGAGGGTGCGTCTGCTATCAGATGGAGTATTGATAGCGTACGCAGAATCACGATTGGTCGAGTGCAGTACGACGTGCGGGCCGGACTTGCAGCCACGGATCCTGGGGGAGGTAGATGGGGAACAAAGGGTCCGTGGCATGTGTGGGTCGCTCGCCTCGAACGCTATCTATATGCTATCGAAGAAGACTCCGATAACGACTGCCCCCTACGCAGAGTGTGGCACGCATACAGCTTCCTAGCCTCGTCCTCTCACAAATCATGTCGCTTTACGCCTACAGTGCCCTCTACCACACAGATAAAAACCGCTGTGGCGATCGGTTGCAGCCTTCACTTCTGACAACAGCGCGCAAATCTCCGGATGCTAATGGCCAGGATCGGCAGTTGACCATAGAATGTGATTGGTATGCCATACACGACAATCGCCGGTCTGCAGATGCCTCCTCACTGCTCAGGATGTCGATGTCCTATCTTAGCCAAGTCTTGATTCAGCAGACATGGCTTGGAAAGGCAGGCATCGGTTATCTTGCACTGATAAACAGGTAATCCATGATGCCATCTCAGAGACCTTGAAGTATTGTGTATATAGCATGGACGTCGCCATCTACATGTTGTGTCCATCTCCTACACCCCTACCGCTGACTCCATTTCCAGCTGGACAACATGTCGGACATTGAGAAGAGCATTACGCATGTGACTGCTCCCTCTGTGGAACCAGAGGCACCCAGATCCGAAAAGCTGTCTAATCTGTTCCATGGCACCGTCAACGATCCCAATGTGCTGGGAAAGGAGCTGCTGCGCAAGGCGCTGGAATTTGAAGAGGCTCAGCTCGAGCGTGACTCTGTCAGGGTCCGACGGAAACTGGACTTTATGGTTATTCCGATGGTCAGCACCGATTCACCATGTTGGTTCAATGTTCCAGATGCTGATATTGACGCCCCCAGATGATGACAACATATATGCTCAGTTTCCTGGACAAGCAGACGTGAGTTGATCCAAAGAGGTTGTAGGATTATTTTGGAATCTAACATATCTTCTGCGCAGGCTCAACTACTCCAACGCTTACGGCCTCCAAGCAGACACTCATATGAAAGGCGATGACTATTCCTGGGTTGCATCTGCACTGTACTTTGGCTGGCTGACAGGAGCCTACCCCTGGAACCTCATACTACAACGATACCCGATTGGCAAGTTGATCGGATGCATGCTCTTCATCTGGGGTGCGGTATGTATGTTGCAAGCGGCGGTGTTCAATTTCGCCGGATTCTTCGCCATCCGCTTCTTTCTAGGAATGCTAGAGGGATGCATATCGCCGGCATTTGTCATATTGACCTCGATGCTGTGGACGAGACAAGAACAAGCTTTGCGCACCTCTTTCTGGTTGTCGACGAACGGCGTCTCTTCCATCCTGGGAGCTCTGTTGGCTTACGGAACAGGACATGCTGGAGGGATCGCTGTCGCCAACTGGAAACTCATTTATCTTGTGAGTGACGCAGACCCATACCAAGCTGAAGTCCCTTTCCGGAACAGCGAAACTGCCGATGTCCATGTCTTGCCTGTTGACTGACCACTTGCATCATGAAAAGATCGTCGGGGCAATGACCTTTGCCTGGGGCGTTGTGATTCTCCTCTATCTCCCGGACGGGCCGCACAACGCCAAAATGCTAACGGAGTATGAACGCATGGTCGCCGTGTGGCGTGTATCCAAAAACCAGATGGGCATCAAGCACCGCAAAGTGGTCCCAAGCCAGATCAAAGAGGCTTTTCTCGATGGAAGGACGTACCTCATGTTGCTGATGGGCGCGTGCACGGGCATCCTAAACGGAGGCGTGGCCAACTTCGCCTCTGCGCTGATCAAAGGGTTTGGCTTTGACCCTCTCCGAACCAGCTTGCTGCAAACTCCCGGTGGCGCCTTTGAGCTTTTGGGCTGTATAGGGCTCGGATTGATCGCGACTAGGAAGAACTTGTTGGGTATAACCATCATTGGTGAGTCAACTTTTGGCCTAGTATTGTTCCTGCAATTTGATTTGTTGAAAAAAGCAAGAGAAGAGGCTGCTGGATGTTCCACTGTTCAATGGTTGGGGGCCTCTTGTCGACTCAGTGTACTGACAAAATTGTCTTTCGCGGACCACAGTCGGTTGCCTCCCCGGCGTTGCAGGCTTGATCGGGCTTCTCACCATCGACGAGAAACATCGGTATGCACTCGTGGCATGCTGCTGGCTGCAGAATGTACTGGGCTCCCCGCTGGTTCTGGGATGGACACTTCCTGGAGTCAATGTCGCTGGCCATACTAAGAGGAGTACGGTCATGGGCATGTTTTTTGCGTATGTACCATGCCACCTTTTTCGTCCTTCTTCTTTCATTACCCTCATTGTACTCTATTCCGATCCCTTCACCGCACAATATCCACACTATCGAGAAGATTGACTGCATTTGACCCGCAAACCCCACCCGTGACACTGCATCAAGCAAGTTCTCGTCTTAAACCCCTAAAGCGAAGCAATTGAGGGCTATCTTCCTGTGGGAAACAAGTCGAGCTAACTGTCTCCAGAATCTTCTGCGCAGGAAACATCGCCGGCCCCCACCTCTTCCTCGCCACCGAAGTCCCTCGGTACTTCACGGCCATCAAGGGCCTGTTGGGAACTTACTGTGCCCTCATTGTCTTTCAGGCCGTTTATACCATATGGTGTATTGCCGAGAACCGCCGTCGGGACCGCAAGGGGTTGCATGCCGATCGCCAGGAAGAGGAGTTGTTGGAGGGGTTTGATGATTTGACGGATAGGCAGAATGTGCATTTTCGGTATACGATCTAATTGAGATCATATACGGGTACCTTTTCTGGACGAGAGGAAGCTAAGGTAGACTGTGGATAGATGGAGATTCAGAATCTACAACCAGTTCGAGAATAGAAAGCGTTCCTAGATCCTGGTTGTACTACTGTGCTACTCTGGGATTGGACTACCGTATTGCACAAGGCATGAACCAGTGCTTGCATGGATGCATAGTGTAAGTAAAGTATATCAGTCAGTACCAGCTATTATACATTGTTGTAGGTACACATTTGTTCCTCAGGCCCACTGCCTATCACAGTCACAGTATTGCATACCTACCGTATGCAATCAAGGTATATGTATATATATATACTGTGTGTAGACCGAGCGAGAGGATCCAATGATATCACAAATGCTGCTCCGGCCACTGTTCACGCTCTGCTGCCGCCGCTTTATCCTTCGCAAGGCTACGATATCAGGGGTAGCGGTTGTGCTTGCTGGATTCCTGTCTCCGTCACTAAACCTAAGTCACCTTTTCACCCGGACCATTGACAAGATACTGCTGGTAACACAGTTCCAGATTAATCCAATCACTTAACTTGCAGTGATCGTAATCTTCATCGTACATGCAAAGAGCAACGCAAATACAGGCGCCATCTCCCAGAAGGAATCATAGCATAATCGAGGCACCACCACCTTTTTGAGTCTGGCCCTGTATAGGATTTAGACAAAGAATGATACGGATTGCCGGGTTCTAACAGCGATAGTCTCTTCCTAACCCAGGCCCCCTGTGTGCTGCATTGACAGAGGTATCTACACCCCTGCTCATACACTGCGTATGTGCTTATCCTCAGCCAATACCTTTACAGCAGCCCGCCTACTCTTCGTGGTGACGACAAATGCCCTCCAGCTTCAACAAACATCCTCTTCTCCGAGGACAAATCAGGATCATCCTGGTCAAGTCCGTACCTGTTGTCTTTTGCTCGACTGCTTGTGAGTTCCTCGGCGATCACTTGTTCAATGATATCCTGCACCGTCCTCGGCTGTCGATAGTCGTAACCAAGAAAAGCACTGGCCTTGCGGATTTCCAAGGCTTCGGGTCCGGTGACTGGATCCCTCAAGATTACGTCCCTAGGTCGCTTCTTTTCTTTCCTCTTCGGCGGTGCTTTGATCACTGGGACAGATACGCGTTCTGTCGGACCGTCAACTTGGAAGCCATTGTCCGCAACAGGACTTCCAGGGCTAGGCACGCAAAGCTTGGATGGCACCGCAGGATTTTGTGGTGCTAAAAGAGGGTTTCTCATGTCATTCATGCTGTCTTCCGCACGTAGAAAAATCTCTGGATTGGGGCCGTCAGCCTGCTGGGGCACCTTTAACGCAGTGGAGGGCACAATGTTTTGGTCTTCCTGTTGGTGGTGGCTCACTTGCGAGCTCGTAGTAGCAGCAGGTGGAGGTGACAGGTCTTTGCTGAGACCTCTGGTTTTCTGGTTTTCATCGTCCCTTCTGATAACCTCTTCGTCTAGTGTCGTTGCGGTGTTAATGTCAGACACCGGCTCTTCTTCGTCAAAATACTTGGTATCTTCCCAGTCTCTGACGCGGGGCACAAAAGGGGGGCGACGCAGATGGATGGTATCCCAGTCAATATCTCTGAAGAAGGCATGACGTTTGATATCCTCAGCGTCCTCAGAATACACAAAGTACCCTTGATAGTTCTGATGCGTCTTGTCGGCAACACATCGCACGACCCGGCCTCGAACAATCTTCCGGGTGAAATCGTTCAGCTCATATTGACGACTACAAAGACGCTTTTCCTTCTCAACAAGAAGTTGCATCATCAAGTCCATGGCCTCGATGCTTGGTACCGGGTTGACCTCGGACTCCGGAAATGCCAAAGTCTTCTTGTGCTGCAGAATCTTGAGCTTGGTTTGATGGCGATCTTCACAAGCAAAAGGGGTGAAGCCATAGAGACATTCATACATGATGATGGCAATGCTCCACTAATCGCAGCGCCCATCGTACATGTCGCCTCGAATGACCTCAGGCGCCATATACTGCGATGTTCCAACAACCGAACGGGCGAGTCGACGCCGCTGTGACCGGTTGCGCCAGTCCAAGATTGGCTCGCCAACTGCCGGCTCCTCTTGAGAAGGTTGCCTTTCTTTGTTATGCTTCGAGAACCCGGCACAAGCCGCGGCGCCAGGGGGACTCTGTTTTGCTTGTGCTTCTTCTCGCTCCTGCTTGTCCTGCTCATCCCCTTCCAGGTCGATGCCGAGTTGTTCCAACAGGAAATGGCGGTTCTGGTGGTAGAATTTCTGATCGTGGGTCCATTCACCATCGAAGGCGAGACCGAAGTCTGAGATTTTGAGGTGACCGTCCACTGCGATGAGGAAATTGTCGGGCTTGACGTCCCGGTGAATCCACCTCATTCGGTGTGCCTCTTCCACGCACAGAATCATCTCAGCAACATACCATTTGGTCACTTCCTCGCTGAGGACATTTCGGCGGATGAGTAAACCGAGGAAATCTCCTCCAATGCAGTATTCCATCACCAGGTACAAATGCTTCCGATCTTGGAAGGCGGCCATCAACGGGATGATCCATCTTGAACCTTCTGCGGCAACCAGAAAATCTCGTTCAGCCCGCAAATGACCTTCCTGCCCGTTCCTGATCATGTCGGATTTCCGAATCACCTTCATCGCGAAGACTTCTTTGCGCCCTTTGGCGAACTCTCGCCTGTTACGTATCACCGATGCCGGCGGTGCTTTCACAGGCGATTTGAGGCTTATTCGCGAGGACTTGGTCTCCAGGCATTTGCGTCTAACTCCTTCGGCAGCCACAGAATCGTCGCCGCTACCCTTTGCCTTGACTAACCGCACAACTCCAAAGCTGCCTTTCCCGAGAACGCTCACAACCTTGAAGCCACCTACAGCAACTCCCCTGGCCGCTTTGGCTTGGTTGGTAGTGGTCCTGAGGATCCGGCTTTGGCGGAGGTTCTCGCTTTCGGCGCGTTCCTACGCTTTCCGAGCTCGGTACTGGCTGTTGGGAGACAAATGATGTTGCCTTAGTTTGAGCTCCAGCTCTCGCCTCCGAACAGCTCTGGGAGCGTCTCCATTGAACAGCGAGTTGAAGTGCATTTCGAAGAAGACCTTTGCGGCGGCCGCAGACTCTACCGTCCTGATGGTCAAGGGTGGCATGATAGCAGTTTCCGGAATGGGAGTCAAGCGTGCCTCGGCGAAGTAGGTTTGGCGGTCAAAATCGAAGGAGTTCATACTGCCACGGTGAGCTATGGACTTCGGCGTTACCGGTTCCGAGGTCATGGGAGTGGATGTGAGCCTCGCGCCTGGCGAAGTGCTTCCGCTGTTCACAGTAGAGGGAGTCGATGATTGTTGGGTCAAGTTCACTTCTGCCAGTGCCGCGTCATGGGCAAGTGTTTGGGCACTGAGGCGGGAGCGCAACTCAGACCTTCGCACAACAGTGGGATTCCCAAACGCTTGCTGGAATTTCTGGGTGATCCGACGCTGGAGGCCAGGAGCAGATTGACTTCGGCGCAGACTTCGTTGAGCTGGCTTGTGACAAGTAGTGCCAGTCCATTCTGGCGTCAAGAAATTGAATTCTTCATCGTTTCGACATGTGGATGTGTCCTGTAGAGTCGAAGCAAAACTGTCCCTGCGAGCGTCTGACCCATCTGCAAGAGCCGTCAATCGGATCCTCAACGGCTGTGCACCATTGTGCTCATTTCCGAGCAGATGAGTTTGAGTCGAGGTGAACACCGCCTCAGGGTGATGCCGTATGCTCGAATCACTGTATCTATCGCCTAGCCCAAGGATTGTCTTGATACTGGAGACCCCTCTCTTAATCTGACTTGTAACGCTGACCTTGGAGCGTCCTGTGCTCGTCGACTCTATCGAATTGGATGCCGTGCCATCGAAGAGGATGTGGTCGAGCTTGGGAAGTTTCGACAACTGAGAGGTCGGCCAGCGCGCAGGCGTGGTAGGTCGCTGAGGCGAGGAGGGACGTCGTTTTCGCGACAATGCGTTAATGAAAGGCATGACGGGCGTACCGACCAGGTACACGGAGTGAGTTCTGTTGTGCACTGCTGCCGGGCTTATACATACATCGCCTAACTATGGAATGATAGTGCAGCAGCGCCGAAGCTGGGGATGAATGGATGGACTTGGTGAGCGCTGGGAAATGAGGTTGAGGATAAGACGAGGATGAATAGAACCAAGCAGCAGTAACAATACCAGCAACAACGACGAAGAGAACAACGAAGACGGCGGGCGCGAGCTTCAAGTTTGCTTTATCCCTTTTTTTGGAAGACACAGGAGATAGATGGAGAAGGAGCAATCCACGATGACATTCATTCCCCTTCTCTTTCCATGAGTCGGCCGGTGATGCTAGTGGTGTATTAGAGTCTCTTCACGGACGAGTAACTTCAGAGGAAGCGCAGGGCTTCAAGCCCAGCTGCATCTAACAGTCAAATACCACCGGGGGAAGGCCTCTCTTCTTCACGGCAGACTGCACATCGCGCTTCAGAACATCCAAAGCCTCCTCCCACCAACGGCGAACCTGGTCGCATTTGAAGTTTTCATATTCCATCACTATCCCCAGCCAATGGACCACCGCGACGGCTTTCGCCATGTCTCTCTCAATCGACACCACTCTGCTCAAATAGTCCGAAAGGGCGCTGACATCGTCCTGATCGGGCCCTTCTCCGTCTGTCGAGCATTCTCGGACCCAAGCAGCGACGACATCTCGCAATTCGGGCAGAGAACTGAGCTTCTGAGATGTGAAGGTAGGTTTTTCTACTGTGCGTGCCAGCTGCAGTCGCTGCTGGCCTCGTAGATCAGCATCATCCTGGCCGACTGCTTTGACCTTTTTCCGTCCATTCTCAAAGTTGAGTCCGGACTTCATTTTCATCCTGTTGCGCTTCTGTTCCGCCAATATTTCCAACCGAATCTCCTCCGGCAGCTCGCTGAGAAATGACTCGGATACCTCGTCAGCTGCGTGAGATGTCGACTCATCCGGGCCAGAATCATTTTTGACAAGGGCGACGAAATTGGACTGTGTGAGAGTTGGTCCCCCATCACCAGTCCTCTTCGCCCGCGACTTTCCAAACAAGGATGTTGTCTTTTGCCTCTTTATGGGGGTTACGGGCGGCTTCCTTGTTGGAGGCAGCGTTCTATTCTTGTGAGGTGACTGGGGGAGGAGAGCTTGATGACGGGCACGGTCTGGCTTTTTCAGCGCTTGGTACTGAGCGAGGACCTCCTCCCTGACGTCCGCAGGAAGCGCAGCAAGAGCTTCCGGATCCAGTTGGCTCTCACTGGGCAACATCGCGTCTCCATCACTAAGGTACGGCGATGCGGACCGAGACAAGGTAGCCGCTGGTGGTGGTGTTGGCCTCGCCTTACTGGCCATACTATCCAGGATGGTTCTCTGCTTGGGCTCAAGCTTGGCGCGAATGTCGGCGGGCAATTCAGCAAGAACAGTTGGGTCAATCTGCGACGGAACGATGAACTGCGTCCCACTGATGTTCAGGGGTATGTCTCCGACCCTATCGGGCACAACAGCCCCATTTTGCCCACGCGGCGCGTCAAGAGCGCTGGGGATCGTGTTGTCCACTTTGGGCTTCTCTGGCGTGGGAATCTCCTCAATCGGATCGACCACGTTCTTGATCCTTGGTGTAGAAGCCTTTGGGGGAGTTGTGGCACGTGACTGAGGCTGTACAGGGGTTTGTGTCGTTGATGGCAAGGGCTTCTTGAACTGCAGTCGGCGTTGGCTGCTGTCGAGAAGCGTCGAACTGCCCGAGGCCGACGGTTTCAAAGGCTCTAATTTCTGCATTTGCACACCTAAACCACGTAGCTCCCCCGGAGGAAAGCCATAACTGCGCAGAATGGAGATGGCTTCCTTACCCAGAATGGCACCTTCAGTGGTGGCGACACCAAGAGCAACGCTCTTGTTGAAGGTGTCACACTTGCCATGGCCCAAACTCTTGGGAGGATCGAGTCCTGCGTCGGCTGCTTTTCGCATGATCTTCATGGTCAATTGCTTCCCCTTGACAAGTTGTTCCAGTAACCTCCGGGACAGTTCATCACAAAGGCTCTGCACAAACTCTTCGGCTTGTTGCTGGTTGACAAAACGAATGCCCCAGTTGACTTCAGCCGAGACTGATTTGCGAACGACTTGATCTCCCACTTCTTGCCGGTCGATGCCTCGAGAATAGTCCCATAGCTTCTCCCCTGTTTTTGGCCCCAAAGTGTTCACCAAACGTTCTTTAGTACACGCTCGAATGTCTTTGACGTATTTGATCCCAATCTCTTCGAGTTTGTTGCCGATACTCCAGGCGACGCCAGGCAGCTCGGTCACAGTCAGCTCGCCAATGAAGCTCAGCACTTCCTCCGGCTTGATCAGATGCTGTCCAGCGGGTTTTGCTTTTCGCAGTGCGACTTTGGCCAACAAAATATTGCCACCAATGCCCACAGAGACGTCGCAACCTGTCGTTTCCTTCACCGAGGTTCGCAATGCTTGTGCAATCCCCTGTGCGCACTCTTGCTCGCGGTAGATGGAGCCCTCTGAAACACCTCTGCCATCAGATCCTCCCGCCTTGATGCATTGTTCACTGATGTCGACAAGGGCCTCATCAATACTGATGCTCTGTACAGCACCGTCAATGGCCAAGATGCAATCGTAGAACTGCCGGCTAGCTTCCTCATACGCTTTATAGTCGTACGGCAGGACGTGGAGATCAGGACACATGCCTTGGGCGGCCTTCATCCACATTCCATTCTTGATGCCGTATTTTCGCGCGGGATAATTACAGCTGGCAATCTCGGAGCCCGGTCCACTGCCATGTGCAATCACCACGGGCTTGTCGACTAGATGAGGATGTTTTCGCAATGACACGGCTGCAAAGAAGCTGTCGAAATCAACATGCATTATATAGCGTCTTGTCCCGGCCGCTCGTTTCTGTCGAGCCTTTTGCGACGATACCTTCTCCTGAGCGCGTGCTTGCATCTGAGCCTTCAACTCGGCCTTCCAGGTTGACAGGTGGTGTAGTCGAGATTCGCGGTAATACTGGTTTAGAAAATCAGGATTGGCGGTGCTTGACTTGGCCAAATGCGGGTTTGAAAGCAGGATGGCATTATGCTCTTCGGCGGTCAAAGGGCGCTTTTCAGGCATGGAAGGCTTGCCAGAGGAGCTGCCAGCTCGAGACAATTCGGACGACTGTGGCTGAGGTGCATGTTGCTCAGTCTGTCCAACCTCTGCCGGGCGGGTTGCATGAACCGCTTCATCAGAACTTGCCTTGTCCTCATCTTTACCGGCTGAATCTGTGCCTTGATCCAGCCTATCCAATCCCAAGGAATCCTCCTCCTGACTGTCTTCATCGATGTCGTCCTGTTGCTGCTCTGTAGGAACAACTAAGCTGGGGCTGGGTTCATTCGACGGAACTTCCCTGGACGTCTGGCGGAATTGTGTGGTATACCAACTGTTCTCGGATTGATCTTTGTAGCTCTGCTGCTGAGTATTTGCCTGGCTCACAATCTGTCCACCATCGAAGCGCAGGATTTTCTGTGTGACACCTTCATCGACCAGTCGGTATGCGTCCCAGGGTAACAACTTCCCAGCCTTGACACTGTCGACAATCCAACCAGGCTTCACAATGCGATACCGCGCGAATTCCACCGCTTTCTTCGGAGTGAGATTGCTGGCGACGACGTGGGTCACTGCTGTTTTTCCATCGAGATATTGAAGAAACCCGCCGCCGTGGCTGACCACCAGGGTATGAAGGTCGCTCAGAGACGGTTGCGTATAGCCATTAACGTGCACCACCACGCCGCGGAAGATGGGAGGTTTGTCTCCAGCAGTCGCGCGTATCTCGGCGTCAAGGTTCTGCAGTTTGATCTTCTTCCTGCGCATGTAGTCGGCGAACCCGCCGAACTTGGAGCCCTCATATTCTTCGCCCTGCTCGTCGCTGAAGGTATGGCTCTCGATGCGCTTGCGTACGAGGGTCGAGTTGGTCTCTAATCGGGAGCCCATGGCGGGCTATGGGACAGTATCATAACGGGGCAATAGGTCTGGTCTGCACCATCACCGTGCCCGCCGCCGCATGTGAAGTCGTTCAATTTGGTATATTGTCGCCAGTTCTGCAAGGCAGATGGGTGTCAATGTCGTCGGAGGCAAATGGCATCGCGGGCGCAGGCAGCGGACTCGGAGCGCGTCATAATCCGACGCGCTGCTAAAGTACAGTAATAACCCGCAGCTCTAATTAACAGCTTATTACAGTACTATGACGCTCCCATGGGCCCTGGGTCCCTATAACTGACGGGCGCGTGGCGCCTATGACGCCCCCCAGTGGGTGCGCTCTTTGGGCAGCTTCACCCAAACGCCCGCCCAGCAGTCGCCGTCATTGGGCGCACCCTGAAAAAATTGCAGGCCCCCAACGCTGCTAAACCCCAAGCAGCAACGTCGCCGCCTTATCGATTGTCAACGGCCCAAAATTTCTTTCTAGCGGACTCGGTTTCTGGGACAGCGAGCGGACAAGTTCATTTTCATGTTCAGGATCTTCAAGGCTTGAACCAACCCTTCACCAATTTTTTTTCCCTCTTAACTTTCGCAAGTCGCAACCATCTTCGCTTCTTGCTTTACTCTCTACCTCTCAGAAGCACTTTGCAAGATCTGTTCTGCAACGACAACTCACTGAAATCTTACCTCCCTCTTCAATCACATCACAATGTCGGGAGGCATTCAGCCCGTGGCGGTCTACGCCATGAAAGTCCCTCCGGGTGACATTATGGTCCCGGCTGTCCCTGAGTTCGCCGCTATGGTAAGTCATGCTGGAAACGCAACTGTGACAAGCATCGGGAGCTGACTTTTCTCGTTTAGTTCCGCGTCACCATGGCCGCAATTGACCCCAGCGCCGAACCCGAGTACGAAGATGCCGATGACAAGCGCCCGGCACGAGCTACGCTCAAAGTCGTTCGAGTTCCTGACCACATGTTCGACGATGAAGACTCCGAGGACGACGAGGACTACCTTGACGGCCTTGAAGATGACGAGTCGTCGGATGAAGACGAAGTCAATGGCGGACCAAGCGAGCGCAAATCCAAGAAACAGGCACTCCTTGAGGCTCTTGCCGCAGACGAGAACGACGATGAGGACATGGAAGACGATGATGACGAGGACGAAGATGACGATGAGGCTGACGCGAAGGCCATTGCTCAACTCAAGAAGCTCATGAAAGACGCAAAGGGCAAAGGCAAGGCCATCGACGGCGAAGAAGACGATGATGAGGATGACGAGGAAGATTCTGACGATGAGGCCGTCGAGATGGACGAGGTCGTTGTCTGCACGCTTGATCCGGAAAAGGTATGTGAACAGTGCTTGTTTTTGACTCCCTACTCGCAAGTGCCTTACTAACGACCATTTTCACAGAACTACCAACAAACCCTTGACTTCACCGTCGGCGAAGGCGAAAAGGTCTTCTTCAAGGTCTCGGGCACCCACACCGTCCATCTGACCGGCAACTACGTGATCCCTCAAGACGACGGCCAGGCTTCCCTGTACGACGAAGATGACGAGGAAGACGACTACGATCTCTCTCCCGACGAGGACGAGCTCGACGCCTTCGGCGAGTCCGACGAAGAGTCCGACGATCTCGACGACCTGGAAGACCCTCGCGTGACAGAAATTGATTCCGCCGACGAAGAGGCTTTGGCCAAGGAATCGGCCAAAGGCAAGAACAAGCGCCCAGCCGAAGAGAGCGACGAGGACGAAGAGGCCAACCTCGACGACATCATGGCCAAATCGTTGAAGGAGGACGAAGCCAATGGCGAAGAGAAGAAACTAAGCAAGGCCGAGAAGAAACGCCAGAAGAAACTCAAGAAGAACGACGGTGAAGCCGCCGCCGCTCCTGCTGCCGAGGGCAACAAGAAAGAAGCCGCCAACGGGTCCGAGAAAAAGGTCCAATTCGCCAAGAACCTCGAACAAGGCCCTACCCCGTCAGGAACCTCGCCTGCCGCCAAGGGCGCTGCCGACAACAAATCCGTGGGCGTCAAGGAAGTCAACGGCGTGACCATTGACGTGCGCAAGGTCGGTTCTGGTCCGGCCGCAAAGAAGGGCAACCGTCTGGAAATGCGATACATCGGCAAGCTCGACAACGGCAAGGTCTTTGACAGCAACAAGTCCGGCAAGCCGTTCAGCTTCAAGCTCGGCGCCGGCGAGGTCATCAAGGGCTGGGACATTGGTCTCGAGGGCATCCAGGTCGGCGGCGAGCGACGTCTCGTCATCCCGCCACACTTGGCCTATGGCAACAAGGCTCTTCCGGGCATCCCCAAGAACAGCAAGCTCACTTTTGACATTAAGTGCTTGAGCATCAAATGAGCGTAACCACACCGCTGGAGGCTTGAGCTCCGAAGTGGTTGGGTTGTAATTCGACTCATTGCATTTGTCGGGCCTACGCGTCTATGCGTCTCTTTCTTTACCTCTTTGCAACCTGTTTTGAGTCCAAAGGCGTTCTCTGAGACGGTGTTAGTTATCACAATCGGAAAAGTTCTTCTATCTCGAGTCCGTGGGTGCAGCCCAGCCTTGGTCAAGCTGCTTCCCTCACCGTTCCTGGGTAATGCATTTCACTGCGTTGCCTAATATTTCCCAAGTTGTACAGTACATACCCCTTAGGATAGCTAGTTGTCAGAGAGTGAATGCAGGCGGAGAGATGGTGGATGGGCACTTCTCTTAGATAGATAGGTCATTCAACCTCTTTTCCCTGAGATTCAAAGACCAAGGCTTTGTGCACGTTAGATACCTCATACCGATCTGGACAACTTCAGGCAAGGGAGCATCGCAATGTTCGTTTCCTGCATACTAGTATATAGACTACCAGTACTTAGTCTTCGTGTTGTCAACTCGACTCTGGGGACCGTTGGTCTCAAGCAGGAGTTCCTGGATCCCGCAGAACGCCCAATTTTCGAAAACATAGACGACGGATGCAATGTGAAGATCTGTTGAGAGTGGTCATGGAAAAGGGATCTGCTCAACCCATGCCGGGCGGTACTTATCGTTGCCATCTTCGGCACTGGTAGACCTGGGGTTTGAGCAGGCCATCCCTCCCAATTTAAGAAAATGCTGTTCCTCACGTCTTTTCAGAAGCTCTGCGTATGCATAATAAAGCACTCCCGCGCTGTGCAAAAGTCAACTGAATGCTCCGTTTCTCCCCTTTGAACGGAAATCATTCCGGAATGCAGTATGCTCCTCTCGATGCAATGCAAGAACAGAACCCTGAGCGGCAGCTGGAAAACGCCGAAAATGACAAAGAGGGTAGGCTCTCCCGATGCCAGCCATGCTCTGCCGACCATGCTTTGATAAAAATTCCGGTCTGGCCGCAGCACTGCAGAATTGTGCAGTGGGAATGTCCATCGATGCCAGAAACCATTCTCGTGACCGACCCCTCCATCTCCTCCATGCCTTTCCTTCCTTCACGCCTTTCCCGACTCCCCTCTGCGCCGAACCTTCCCCATGAATAAGGGTACATTATTCCCAGACCGCATCGATGCCATTCTAGGACATCGTGGGCGGAGCACCCATGAATGCGGAGTTGTTGAATCCGTCTTCTTGCTTGATCGTGCCATTGAGTAGAGGACAAAGCCTTTGAAGGTGTAAAAATGTCAGCCAATGAATGCTCTGAAAGTGATATGGGCAGAGTGAAAACAAGGAATGAAATGTAGAAAAGGAAAAGGAACTTCGGCAGCTCCCGATCTCAAAGACATGGTTGAAAACAGGATGTCGGCCCACTTGGAAATGCAAGCTTCTCCAGGTCGAGAGTTGGACCGTGTCTCGCCTCTCAAAGCCTGCCGCGTGCGCCATAGCATTCAAAACATGTTCTTGGGTCGAATAGGAGAGCAATGATTGATTAGGAGCAGCTGATCCAGACTTTTCTTCCGACAGAGAACGGAACAGATAGGCTTGACAGGGTGCAATGTCATTCCCTCTGTTACACCATCCTTCTAGTCGTCAAAGCTTGGTGCAGCCGCAAACATGGATCCGACTTTGCGGTTGAAGGGGAGGTTGCAATTGTTGCACTTTACTGACTTTTTGTTGGTCTTGATGTGGCCGACCTGACCACAATTTGCACACTTGCGTTGCGTTGGCTGTGTGTTCTTTCCGCCAGCACCGCCACCGCCGGCGTCTCCATCCGGAGACATGGCCGTACCGCCAGGAGAGGTTGCGGCGGCGGCGTTCTTGTTCTTGCGGTGCTTTCTGCGGGCGAAGTTCTTCTCGAGCTTGGCTAGTTCTTCTTCGAGTCTGGGACAAGTTAGCAAATCTTGAAGCCTCATAAAGAGGGACAGAATCATTTCTTGCCGTTGTCGCTGTCTGGCGTCATACTCAGCGTCTCCTGTAGGCACGATATCATTCAGACTAAGGTTGGTGTCAGTGAGGCTCCAGCAGATATTGATTTTCGGGACAAACCTAAAGGATTGAGCCTCCTCCATTTCCTTGATTTTCATGTACTGTTTGATTACCGCTGGGTCAGTTTCGATATGCTCTTCGACGAACTCTTCGCCATTCCTTCTGACGGTTCGAAGAATTTTCAATGCCCTCTGGCTCTGACTGTTGACACTCCGTCTGCTGAAGGACGTTGCAGTCTCATCATCCATGCGTCGTGACGGTGCTGGCGTGTGGGCGGCTGACATCGGAGTGGCTCGGGGGTTGGATCGCTCGCCATACTTGTCCTCTTGAGCGTCCACATCGCCGTCCATGTCCAGATCCGACGGCTCAATCTTGGACCCAAGGCTTGCTTTCTGCTTTTCCCAGATATTGCGAATGGATTCTTCATACGACTTCTGTTGTCGGGCAACGTTGTAGCTATGGCCACCCAGCTCTTTCTTCAATGTAATCGCGTCTTGTGCAGAACCACCAATCGGTCGGAAACCACCTTTCATGCTCGTTTTGATGAAAGAGAACGCCTCTCCTCGGCCAGAAGGATCGCCTTCACCGTACAATCTGAGCATAGCTTTGCCCTGAGTGGCTGCAAGAAAGTTCTTGGTCGTGCGCCATGGCGCAAGTTGCTGCTCGATACTATCATTGTCGTTTTCTGCTTTGTCGTCGTCATCATCATTATCGGCGTAGCCAGCGTCCTGCAGGTACTGGGCGCCAACTTGCATAGACTCAAGCAGACATATGTCCTCTGGTTTGATCAAGTTTCGAATCGCGTCTTCATCTGGGACAGTCTCGCCGGGCTTCATCTCCCATTCCTTGTGCTCCTTGTTGAACACCATGAATTCCTTCATTTTCTGCCGGTTTTGCATGTCGGTGGTGTCGGGAAAATGTCTGGTGACCTCCTCGACCTTGAGCCGGTTGTGTTTCTTTCTGCGCGCAATGCGGAAAGAGATGGCTTTCAGGCGGTTCTTGGCTGCGGTAGTCACCGCGCGGGAATGAGTACCGGGTACCTGTGCGGACGGGAGCTCTTGTCCCGCAACATAGAGGTTCTCAATATTCCGCAAATAATGCGTTTGTCCGGTTGTGCCTGTGGTTTGTCGAATCACCAAGAAGTCGGTGGGTTTAGGATCTTGGGGGAAGATAGGCGCCCGGTACATGGAATTGTACAGTGCTGTAATTGTCTCGCCAGGATCGATCTGCCCAAAGATGTAGAAAGGGGACTTATCTTCGGGTAAGAGGACTGAAGTCTCACCGATGTTGCTTTTCGGTCTCGACGTGTCGTCTTTTGCTCGCCTTCTGTAATAGTTAACCACCTTATTTCCCATACCTGTTTGAGACAACATCAATGGATGCTCTTCGGAATACTCGAGCAGCAACATAGAAGAGTTGTCGGCCATGGAGATGTCAGAGGTATTCTTGTATATGTCCTCAATCTTCATGCCTTTTAAATCAGCCTTCTTGCGTCGGTGTAGTGGAGAGAAACTGATTGGGTACTTGAAATGCATTTTCTTGCGGTGGTAGTTCCGGAGTTCCTGCAAAGAGAGGCGGACTTGGTAGTACGGGTATTGAAGACGAAGGGCGGGAACAGAGTGTTCAATGTTAAGGTGCGTGAGCTGGCCTCGAACTTTGTGTTGATGATTTTGCTTCAGAAGATCATATTCTGCATCGTTGGAGGTCTTGAAACGTTGCTGAAGGCGCTCCTTGATTGTCCTGGCAGTATTTGTCGTCTTCTCGCCCGCTCGTGCCTTGGCCTTGGCGGCTTCAGGATCGATCTCCTCCACAAGTAGATGTGGATCGTTCAAGTCTAGCACAACTTTCCGAGCCAGCTTGGCCGTCTTGTCTTCTGGGTTGTCAAGTGAGGGAACATCGATCTGGTGTATGGTGACGACATTGCGGGGATCAAGGTCGAGTCGACGTTTCTTTCGAGGGTTCTCGAAGTCATCGAAGTCAGAGAAATCTTCCTCCCCATTTATCACGCGGCTCTGGATGTCCACAACCTCGTCGTCCGACGCTGCGAGCTGTGACATGGCATCAATGTCTGCACAGATGAATTCCAGATCGCTCATGGTGAGACCACCAGGAAGCTGCTCGTCCGCTTCAGACTCATCCGCAGACTCTGTCACTTCCTCCACTGCCTTAGGCTCTTTGGCTCTAACAAGACCGGCGTCAGCATCGGGTACTGCGGGCGCGGCCGAGTTGTAGGATGTCTTCTGGTCTTGTTCTAGCTCCAGGTTCACCTTACCAGGGCGGACCGGCTTGGGTGGCTTAAGAGGGGTCTTCGCTGGCCATTTGTGCGGTCTCGGGGGAAAGAGCTTGTTGAAGAAGGGTGTTTCATCACGCTTGAAGCTGGGAAACTCGAGCTTCAGCCACTCTTCGATGTTCTCCTGCTCAGTTGTGGGAATATAGCCTTTACCGGATTGAGCGAACAGGGCCAGTTGGGTGCGATATTCTGCGTCTTCAATCTCATCCAGATCGGGTTGCAGCATTGAAATGTCTTGTGCTGTTCCATCTTCGCCATGCTCGGAGGCGAGATCAGAGCCCTGGCCACCGTCGCGTGCTTGTTTCTCCAGTGGTTCCGTTGGCGGCGGCTCATGCTGAGGCTCATGGGCTGTCAAGATCGGGCTGGAAGGACCAAACAGATCATCATCGTCATCCAACCCATCTAGCGCACTATCCTCAATCCCAGGCAGCAGAACGCTGGGCGACTCTGCCTGCCCGTCTTTGGCAGTCTCCCCATCTGCCGCAGCCTGCGGCGGTTGTTCATCCGGTAACGAGTCGTCATCGCCGATGTCTTCGTAGTCGACCGCATCGTCTGCCTTCTCACCGGCTTCCAGTTCTCGTGAATTCAGCTCATCCCAGTTCAGACCACCGCCGCCACCTGCTTCGCTTAGCAGCGCGCTCAGTTCATCGTTGGCTTCCGTGGGGAGAGTGAAACTCTGCTCGAGAGGCGTGTCGACTGCGGAGTTGTCTCCGGCTTCCTCTTCATAGTCGCCAAAGAGGGCATCGAGCTCGTCGTTGTGCTGTTGGTAGATATCCGTTGCCATGTTGGCTAAGTGAGACTCGGGTGAAATCGATCTGAAGACACCCGGCGGGAAGTGTGGATGATTGCGCGGTCCGGCGCATCGCAGAGAGCAGTCAGGCAGGGCTCATCGTCTGATCGAAAGGACAGGATCTGAGCGTCTGTGTCCGCGCGAGTCAGGCAAGCGACGAGTTGGATATGTCGATACGTGATGGAACTGTTTAATGTTCTGGAGACGGAGTTCAACTTGAAGGCGGCCGCAGCGACTGAAGTGACCCACGAACCGCATGACTCGCGGTGAAGTCTTGGCGCGACTCAATGACTCGTAACCGGCCGCTACCACAGCCTCGTAGCCTTGCAGTGTTCCAACCACCAACATGCTTCCAAGTTGTCTGAGGTAGGTCCTGATTGTGATAGCTACAATGTCTACTGATATGCGGACTGCAAGGTCTCGTGAACAACTTTCATATTCGAATTAGAATAGCCATAGTACATCCGTTGCGCCATTGCACCCGATTATAATCATAATCGCCCCATCTGGTGGCATTACAGCTTTAACGGTGCCCAGTCTCCCAGATACGCACACAAGGCCCGGCTGGTGCCATTCGTACAGTAATGCACAATTTGCACCTTCTTGCCCGGCTCAACCCTTGCGGCAATCTGACGCAGATCACTCGTTCTCGGGAGGTAAAGCACAACATTGGGAGTCAACTTTGCGAAGGAATCGTAGAGGTGGCCGAAGCTATAGGGCTCCATTGATTCGAGGTCGAAAACGTCGGCATTGCGGTAGCCAGGGCCTGTGAGAGAAGGTCAGCATGCGCAGTGTTTACACAGCGAGAGAATCGACGAACCTCCCCAAGGCGGGCTTGCGAAAATGACCCCAAACTGTCCGGTAATCGCACTGAGGGCTTCCACCGTATTCTCTGTCTTGCCGCTGGCGCCCAGGATTTCGAAACAGTCACCATGAAACCAGGTGATCCGATCCGCCACGCCGTAGATCTCGGCGTTGTGTTTGGCACACGCCAGAGTGGCAGCGTCTTTCTCGATTGCGTAAACTCTTTTGAATTTGCCAGAAAGGGCGAAAGCAATCGTGTTCCCCCCAACGCCGCAGAACGCATCAATGATGATTGACCTCTTGGGCGGTAGAGCCTCGGCCACATGCTGGGCGATTTTGCTTCTCTACATTAGTAAACAGGAGAAGCGGCTTGTGAAGCACATACTTTGCGACAGACTCATGGGTCACGCCGAACCAAGCATCATCTGTCATCCACACTCCATCGTCATACTTGGAAAAGATTGAGTATCCTTGGTGCCAATACCTATGCTCACATGCAGCGTCAGCAACCGTGCATGTCTTCCATACACAATCACTCATTCTTACTTTTGTAAATCCCAGGGGACTTCCTCCACTGTCTGATAGTGATGCACTCCATCCGGGAGAGGAGTGGTGGACACGCGCTTCTTCCGGGGAGGCTCGTTTGATTGAGTGTAGCGATCAATGCATTTTCTCTTTCGCGCCATTATTTGACATGGCAACGCGCAAGACAGCTTACGGAGGATGTAAAATAAGATGAATTGCGTACTAGGTATTCTGAATGAAAAGTGGATGGCGACTTCGTGGTTGTTCTTAAATTCAATTGTATTCAAGATCAACCTGAAGTTGGAGATAAAATCCCCAACTTTTATTCCACCGTCATCGCCTGCACTTGAAGCCAGTCCCTCATTTCCATCACACTACTGTTACTTCCTTTATTTCTCACAGGCATTGCCAGCGGCCAGAATAGTTGCTGTGCCCGCCAGGCTCACCGACACTATGGACAACTCTCAGTTCCGCAATCTCATCCAGGCGCAACGTGGTGCGAAAGCACCCGACGCCAGCCCTTCGGAAGCCGCTTTCAAGAAACCCGCTCTCGGCTCGCGAGCGCGCTCTTCGATTCCCATGACTCCGCGCTCGGTGTTAGGTTACAGCGGCGCCAAAGACTTTGCGAGACAAGTAGCTGAGCACCAACGAGAACAAGACGGACAGCCTCCTACCAAGAAGTTCAAGTCGAGTTCCGCCCCGAAAGGCACCAAACTTGCCTCCGGGTACAGCGACCGTACATTGGCCAGACGGGCAGGCGAAGAAGACGCCGAGACGCAGGATGACAAGGAGAAACGACTAAAAGCCCTGGAAGAGATGTACAAACTACAACAAATTGATGAAACGCTTTTTGAGAAGCTGAAGAGCGAGATTGGCATTGGCGGCAGCCTCAGTAGTACACATCTGGTGAAGGGCCTCGACTGGAAGCTACTCGAGAAGGCCCGGCGCGGAGAAGATCTCAATACAGAATCCACTCAGCAAGAGCCAGCGGCCGAAACCACCAAGGCTGATGTTGATGAGGAGTTGGACCACGTATTGGACCAGGAAGTTCACGTCAAAAGTCCTGGAGAGAAAAAGAAGGAATCCGAAAACTCTGCACCTGAGGAGGTCAACGCCCAGCCCATATCCCGAGACGAGATTTTGCGGCGTTGGAAAGAGAGCCGCGCCGGAAAGCAACAGACCGCGCCCGCCGCGCCGGGCCTAGGTGAGCGTTTCAAGAAGGTGACATCGGAAAAGTCAAGCAACAAGAAAAAATTCGTTGAAGTCGTGAATGGACGACGAAGGGAAGTGCTTGTCATCACCAACAAGGATGGCACCACGAAGAGAAAGTCTCGGTGGATTGACCCCGAGGACAGCACCAGGGAGGGCCAGCAGCCCTTGGGAATGGAAGTGCCGGCTGAATTTCAGGCAAAACAGCAGGCACTATTGGCGGAACAAGAGGAAGACGAAGATGATGACATCTTCAAAGGCGTTGGAGACTACGACCCTCTAGCCGCAATCAAAGATGAGTCGGAGGCATCGGATGCCGAAGTGCAGGATGCAGAAAAGTCAACAGCAGAAAAGAAAAAGTTTGAACCTGCAGCTGACAAGCCTCGAAATTACTTTGCAACGAGCGACCAGCCAGCTGAGGCGGAGGACCGCAGCAATCCCATTACAAAAGATCCTACACTCCTTGCAGCATTGAAGCGGGCGGCAGCTCTGAAACGAAGCGAGGAGCACGGTGGAGGTGATGCACCGGGTTCGGATCCAGATCAGGAAGCCAAACGACAGCAGTTGCTGGCTAAGTTGAAGGAACGGGACCGGGCTGATGCCATGGACCTGGATCTGGGATTCGGCGAGAGTCGGTTTGGAGACGACGATGACGAGGATGGCCCTGTTTGGGAGGGCGAAGGAGGCAGCAAGAAGAGTGGGAGGAAACGGGGGCCCAAGAAACGCAAGGGCCACAAGGATAACGTGAAGGATGTGATGGCGGTGATGGAGGGCCGACACAAGGATAAGTCGTGAGTAGGATGGAGTAGAATTGTATCCTACCAGCCATATTGTGGTCCTCTGCAAGCTTTTTCTGGTCATCTGTAGAGCAGTACCCACGGAACAGAAACACAAGCTGGTCGAACGCAAACCGACAACTGGACCGAGTGCATGGATATGCCATGGACACGAAATGCGTACAAAAACAATCGCAGTGATAAGTGGCTGGAAGTGACAGGTCGTAGGTTGGACATCAACGGCGTAAATATGAATCCGGCGACGACTTACAACGATATCCTGGCCATCGACGAGTGCTGCTGCAACATACTTGTACCTGGTACAACCCACCCACCCTAATCTCGAGACGAGGCGTATACATATATCCTGGTCCTTGTCCACTCGGGTTTTCTGCCATCCTGGGATCGAGGTCTGCGTCAACTTGTTCAAGTCTGTGTACCTGCAGTAATGTTGTAGTTGTGTGCGCATCAACCGTTCCACCGCCTCAAGTTCTTCACGCGAGTCGGAACTCCGCCGAGTTGAAAATATGGTGCTAAACTTGAATGGCTGTGACAGGAACCCACCTGCAAGGGGCTGGGAGAAGCAAGACACACACAAACACAGAGACAAGACACGTAAGCATGCTCGAATTGGCTGACTAGGTGGCTTATGGACAGCTGTTGATGGCTGACTATCGCGTCAAACAGCACGCACTGCCTCAATATGTGGTGTGCTTTCTTTCGCGGTAGGCTGGCACCAAGGCTGCGTATACATACCTATCTATCTATGTACGATGCAGTGGCCCGGAATTGTCAGGCCCATGAAAAATCGAGCTACGACATATCAACTCAGGTACACATCCCAGCTGACCGGGAACACCCCTTCAGGAGCTCATTTCCGTGGCCCTGGGAAGGGATACTACAGTACTACCTGGGACTTCTATACAGGCCTGCTCCAGCGAGACACAGTTACACGACTCACGGACACCGGGAGCCATCATCCCAGCATCCCAGGCTAAAAGCTAAAGGTTCGGGTTCCTGACAGTAGCGCATCACGCTACGGCCTGTCTCTCCTGTCTCCTGTCTTTGCTCTCCGGTGTTTTTTCCTTTTTGGCGGCCGCTTACTGGCTTACGCCCTCGGCCGCCCCCTGCATGGGCCGCGTCAGGATCCGACGGATGGTGTGTTTCACGGCGAGATCTGGATGCTGCTGGCTGGCGACTGTTGGTTCCTTGGCCAGCCTGCGACAGTAGTCGCCTGAAAGGGGGCTCGATTGAGGATCCTCGCGACTAATCGACCTCCATGTGGCTTGCAGTCGCCTATCCACCTTCAAAGCTCCAGTTCTCCTTTTTCTGGGCTCCGCAAGGCTGCCAACCACTAGAGGTAGGCCTTCTCGCCTCCCTCCCCTGCTCGCCGACTGTCTTGGACCACTACTGTCCTCGCCTGGCAGACGACTACTCGCTTCTGGCCTTCAGCGGCTCAACACTGCTGTCAGTGTCCAGCCCTGTCCGGTCTCCTTCACCAAGGCCATGGCGAGTCCGACCAACAAGGATGGCCGTTGTACAACCGCCCACCTTGAAACGTGCAATGGGACTGGGACCCAGCTCAGGTTGAGTATAGCATGTGTGCCTCTGTGTGCCTCAGGCCATGGCAGTGTCCCCACCATTGACATCCCTCCCTCGTGTCCGACTTTATATGTTCTGAAGTTCTTGTCGTTTCATGCCTGCCTCCTCCCCTTCTTTCTTCTGCTCTACACACAGTCCTTTTGCCCAGCAGCAGCGAGCTCTTGACACGTTTGTGCGACACACTGCACTTCGTCTTTCCTTTCACACGACAAGGCTAGCCCTTTCGTCCCGTCCCGACTTTCTCCTTACCAGAGCTACGCTCGTGGTCACTCATTCGCCAACCAGGTCGTTCATTGATTGAATCGCCTATACACATCACCCCCGGCGGGCTGATCTGTTTGTATCCGATTTCCACCTTTGTGTTCCTCAGGCTCAACACACACAACAAACCCCTACCTCACAACCCCCCACTACAACAAAAGATCCAATATGGTTTCCACCATCGTATCCATCCTGGCCCTTGCCACTGCTGTCCTGGCTCATCCCCAGCGACACCATCGCTTCCACTACGCCACCGGCACAGGAGACAGAGGTTCAGGCATCGCCTTGCCCACGGGCGGAGCGTTCTCAGCCAACGGCACTGATCACCGCAACGGCACTCACTTTGGAAACTCCTCTGCTATCGAGTCTCAAGTCGTCACAGCTGTCGAAACCATCACTGTCAGCCCGATCCCTCTGGCATCCGCCACGGACGATGTCGCTGTGTCCAGTGTCGATGCTGCTGCTGCCAACGCCGCCGTGTCCAGCGGTTCGTCGTCGTGCACCAGCAGCCTGACTTCGACCATCACTTCCACATCCATCCAATTCGTCACATACACCGCGCAGGCTAGCGATCTGGAGTCTGACGCAGCTGTAGCTGCCTCAGGCTCTTCTGCTGCAGCTGTCTCCACCACATCTGACAATGGGCTCGCCAGCCTGACGGGCTCGGCATCCGTCGACTTTACCGAAACCGCAGCTGCCGGAGCGTTCTTTGGAAGACCACAACATGGCAACGGGGCATCAAGCGTCATCTCCAATGCTGGAGCTGGCGCATCGTCAGTAGTCCAGTCCGTGGTGCCGACGACATTGGCCACGATTGCCACTGCAGCATCTGCATCGAGCGGCTACGGTGCGAGCGTCTCCGTCGTCGCCAGCGTCAGCGGTGGCTCGGGTGGTTCGTCTTCAACCTCCAGCGCCAGCTCATCAGGCAGCACGGGAGGTTCCACCTCCACCAGCGGCAAGAAGGGTTTATCGTACAACGACGCGTCTTTGACCTCGGCCTTTGCAGGCAAGGGGATCAGCTGGGCGTACAACTGGGGCGCGTCACCGGACGGGACCATCGTCTCTGGAGCCGAATACGTGCCTCTGCTATGGGGATTGAGCTCGACGAGCGCCTGGGCCAGCGCGGCCTCCGCAGCCATCGCCAGCGGCTCCAAGCATGCTCTGTCCTTCAACGAGCCCGATCTGGCCAGCCAGTCCAACATTGACCCGCAGACCGCCGCCACCAACCACATCAAGTACATGAATCCATTGGCGGATCAGGTCGAGATCGGCTCGCCGGCCATCACCAACGGCGCCGGCACCAGCCCCCTGATGGGCATCGACTGGCTCAACTCCTTCTTCACCGCCTGCGCGGGTAACTGCAAGGTCGACTTTGTTGCTTTCCACTGGTACGCCAGCGCCAGCGCCATCAGCGACTTCAAGAGCCACGTCAACGCCGTCATCAAGGCCGCCGCCGACAATGGCGTCAGCAAAGTCTGGCTCACTGAGTTTGGTGCCTCCGGCTCCGACAGTGACGTCGCTTCCTTTTTGAGCGAAGCCGTCGAGTTCCTCGACTCCACTGACGCCGTCGAGCGATACGCTTACTTCATGTGCAGTGATGGCATCCTCGTCAATGGCAACTCCATCTCCAGTCCTATCGGTACGGCTTACGCTTGAGCGGAAAAGAAAAGTCACGTGCTTGTTTTAAATTCCTCTTCTTGAGAGCCATGGTGTGGTGTTTAGAGCAAGATTCTTGTATACTCTTTTCTTGACGCGGACGTGCGAACTCTTTTTGGGTCCCGTTCAATTCTTTGAAAGAGACGCGTTTGATTTGGGCTTTACAGCGAGCGAGCGAGCCACGCTGGGCAATGGGTCTTTAAGGCTTAGATATACGACTTCAGATACAGATGAAACTTTCGACTTCTTGGTTAGACGTTACCTCTGAGTGAAAATGAAATGGATACGACATGCAGTTTGAGTAAAGGTGCAACGGCGTTTCTATGAGCACTCATGCTTGTCGGATACCAGGCCATGATGAAATACAACTAGGCTTTTGATGAATTTTCCAGGTGACACTTGAAATCGGAAATAGTATTTATATTCTCGTAAATTGCATAATTATAGCAAAGATATTGTAGCCCCGACTCCCAACAGTACATTGAATCTCATCAAACGATAGCTCATCAGGAGTCCCCTATGCGGAACTCCACGAAGTCAACACCGTATCTCTTCCGATGCCGCAGCCCTTCACGTTCTCTAGAAATCGCATCCGCCTCGGTGTCGGCTTGTGCTTGGTCTTCTCTGCCACCGCTGGTATCGTCCCACCAGCCCAGCTGATATCTTCTACAAGAAAGGGTCTCCGAGACCACCCTCGTTTGGGATTTGTCTGAAGGGGCTGCGTCAGTAATATTCGCTGCAGCACACATTTTACTCCCTGCAAGGAGAGCTGCCATGCCAAAGATTGTGCATGGGTTGAACGGAACTAGATCCCGCAGCCGCGTCATGCCCCATCCCACGGCACCAAGGATGAGCATGAGACCTAGAAGAATTTGTAAGATCAATTTCGCGGTACGGTGCTGCACGAGGCGTGCGGTTTGTGAAGCATTGAGAACGGTCCCTTCGTAATCTCCTGCTGACGAAGCTTGAGAGCCTGCGTCAGTCGAATTGAGCGGCACCCGCATATTTGCGGAAATTGCCTGCGCCATGTATCGGCGATAGAAGGCGTTGATACCGCGCACCATGGTGTCCTGGTTGGATCTGTCCCTCAGCATTGTCTCTGGAAGTGGCGTCCGTCCGAACAACACTCCCTGAAAAAATCCATCCACTGGTGTATTTGCAAGATTGTCAGAGGCATAAGTGGTTTGGTTGAAAATCGACAACGACTTATCCGTATGTTGTTGTATCCGGTATGAGAATGTCGTCTCACCATCGGGACCATTGGGAAGAAGCTCGATAGTACGTTCGTTGGGTATCGGTGCTTGAGCCGTAGAGATGGTCATTGCAGGCAAATCGAAGAACACCGTTGTCTGGACTCTTTGGATCTGTTGATAGCACATCAAGACTGTCACTTCCGTTTGTTCTGGCACTTCGACATTGACAAAGCCGTAAATGAATGCAAGCGAGGGACAACCTGGCGGGTTATCGTTCTGTGCGGAGGGCTCGGTTTCCCCGAAGGATGAACCTTCTATGGCGTCGTAGGGGCCAACATGAAGGTCGAGGAGTTTTCCCATGTAGGATATGTTCGCCCCGATGTTGGCTCCATACCTGACGTCTATCACACTCAGATTTCCCCCAGGCCCGCCGAAAGGACACGACGGTGGCAGAGGCATCGTCGCGGCGATTGTGGCGCTTGCAGACGTAATCCGTGAGTTGTAGAAAGGTGTGACATTGTACTGACTCGCGTCTAAGGCCGTGCAGTTCAGCGATGCGCGCAGGGCGGGATACTTAAGTTGCAGTTGAGGCTGCGAGGAGGAGTTGTCCACAGGAGAAACTGCAGTTACCGCCGGCAGTGCAAGCTCCTCATAGGTGAATGCAGGATATGTGAGGTTCAGACCCTCAGTAAGACTTGTCAGCACTGCTGCCGTATCGTCATTTGTGGCAGACCCAGGCCAAGTCGTATTAAAAGCGTCAAGGCTTCGTAAGTGTAGTTGAGCCGAGCTTGGGTAAGACTCCACGGTGTAGAGGCCTGAAGCCACAATAGTCAAACCACTGCCAACCAACGCCGCAATGGCAGAAAAGAGGGCCGCATAGTGGCGGTGTTTGGCGGTATTCCACAGTACAAGAGGAGGTATCTTGTCGACAAGGCACGCCTCGATGCTGCGCTCGGCTGGGGCAGGCTTGCGTCGCATTGCATTGAAAGGGGCGAGAAGTGACACGTTGAAATCCACCGCATTGAAAGAAGTGGCTATCATAAGCATAACGAGAGCCGGGATCAGTCGCGTGTACACCGTCACTCCGCTACCATCCATAGCAGACAAAGTGAGTATGCCGCCATTGCGATCCGAGTTTCGTTGTAGGACCTCCAGCAACACTATCGCCACTAGAGGAAGTGCCAGACTGGCAACCATCACCCATGTGCGGGTAGTGAATGGTCTCCAAAACACAAAGGGTTTAGTCTCAGCCTCGCTACGGTGCTCGGCAGCGGGGGGTGGTCGTTCGGCCTTTGGAATGGGGACGATGGCGAAGCCTGACCGCTCTTCACGAGTGTCAGGGCGTGAAAGAGAAAACACATAGTCCTGAAGTCGTTGTGCGACCCGTTTTTCTGGGGAATCTTGGAGTTCTTGCACGACCGCCTGCAAGGCGTGGCTGTGAATGAGAACCTGTCCCACCCCCAAAACGGTGTTCGCTCGCGGAGGCGGCGCCGCTGGTGGGCGTGTCCAGGTCAACCAAGCACTTAGGATCGTCAGAGCAATGAAGCTCGATACCATGATCCAAAATGGAATTGGTGAGACGAGGAGGCGTTTCTGTTGGATAGATACCTCAGCAGCCAGAGCCATGCTTGAGTTGTCCATGAGGATATCGTTGACGACCTGGACAGCGATGTGTTGAAATGTGGTTTCGGCGGCAGCGGCCATAGCTTGTTGATCAAGAAGATTTTCGTAACGTCCTCCACTGGCTGCAGCCATCAATTTGAACAAGGGATCTGGAAACTCTTCCTCCAGTTGTGAATCTGTTTGAAGGCCAAACATGGTTGATGCATCATTTAACGCAGCTCGAAATGTCAATGTCAGATCTTCATCGTCGAATCCCGACAGAGTCCCGTTGCCTGTGCCTGGGTCCCCTACCACGACATCCTGCTCCGCATGTGACAGATTATAAGCCAGGCTGACATCAGCTATGCGGTAAGAAGGTCGGCATAGGAGGCCGGTCGCTTTCTTGATCTCGACAGATGGAAACACATCGGACGCATTTTGCCCACCGGAAGGAGTGCTGTCCGCTGAATCATTCACAGTTTGATTAATATACAATGCTTCTACCAAGGTAAGAAGCTGCCAGTTAGAGAAGCGACCTGCATCAGCGTCTTCGGAGCAGTTGACTGCTACCATGATACCTCGCAATTGCCTTGGTGGACATGTTTGTGTCTTCGGATTGAGCACGAGAGGAGGGGTAGTTCCTCCGAGTATCTCACACCGAGGAGAATCCATGACGATACTGTCAAATATTTGCGTTCCGTCCGTTTTATATGGATATGGATTCACCGAGACTCCAGCTGCCTCACAATTGAAACTTGACACAAGCGCGTGTACTTGTGCTCTGATATATCCGACGTCAGAGCTGAACTCGGATGGAACATCGAAACTTTCGTACACCAGCTTGTCCGTTGTTCCTTTGGGTGCCTTCAGACCTTTGGCCATGATGCTGTAAGCTGTATAAACATAGGAGGAACCGCTTTTGCTAATGTAATCCGTTTCGTTGTACAGCGACCCGTTGAAACGGGTGGAGGCTGGAGCCATAGTAGATATCCTTGGGAGCACGGCAACTTCTTCGGCCAGCAATCCAGTTGAGGCGAGAGTTGCAAGTTTCAACAAAACAAAGCCGATCGTGGTCCAGGCCACCAAAAGATGGCCATTTTTCAAAGACCGCCAAAGGCTAACCACTTGTAACGGAGACACGTAATCCAGGAGAAGACTCTGACTTGCGGACGCCCTCCCCTGTCCCAACGTTAACCACGGTATTGCTGCCTTACAGTGGTAGTCAATCTGACGCCAGAGAGCCACAATCAGCACCAGAACAGCGGTCGGCCCATAGGTCCAGGAGTAGTGGTTTTCTGTAATGATGGCGAAGCCACGATGCTTAGTATTGTAATAATCGATCAAGACAAGACTCAGGACAAGAGACGCAAATAGGAGTGCCGTCAGAAGAAAGGTGCCACGAGCTAGCCACAATGAAGCTTGCGATTGCTTCTCTAGCATTTCACGCGCGGCATCCTCATCTTGTGCCTCCCTGCGAGCTCTTCTCATTGTTCCTATCAAGCAGAGTCAATGCAGAAGCGCAAGAGAAAGGATATAGAGATAGGTCCCCCGGACAGGGAGCAAAGATGGGAACAAGACGAGCAATGGACAGCTCCTAAGATGCCAGACATCCAGGAGCCATATTAGTATTGTAAAGGCCCAACATGTGTTGAAGCTGGCCCAGGCCGCAACCAGAAAGATTTGGCCCCAGGAAAGTCGCCATCCGCCTGGCGCTAATCATGGCGGCGTGTTGTCGCCATATGCTTTGTTGCCGAATCAAACCATGAAGCAACCTTGAAGCAACCTACCTCTGCGTCTAGCGACAATGCCTCAACGGGGAGCTCACAGCATGGTTGACTGGCCAGGTCAGTCTCCCAGGACTGAGCAGCACAGCGTTTCCCCCATGTCGCTGCCGCACCAGTAGGGACTTCATTTGATATCGCCTCAATGATCAGCTTGGATCACTCTGACCGCTTGACTCACCGTGATCAAGGAGGGCTGGTACTAGGATGAACAAGAAAGCAGCACTAGTACTACCATCGTGGTGGCAGTATGGGGCCGGAAAGGGACCAAGTTGGCGACCAGGACTCGGAGCATTCGATTCCAGGTCGGATGGAGGTTGCAGTAGTACTGTAGTAGTTCAGAATCGAGGTTTCAGGCATGCTTCATCTGCAGCCTGAGGTATAAATTAAGGCACCTTGGCGCGCGACAGTTCGAGTTAACCGTGCAGTTGTTCCAGAAAAAGAGAACCGTGGAATGCCTGAGCGCCACTCGTACAAAGCAACCACTGCAGTTCTTCAACGTTGCCAGTAACCATCTAGACACATTCATCAGTCATGTACCTGCTACCATGGTCACCAGGTACACGTCGGCAGTACCTGGTAATGGGTGCAGCTGCCTCTCGCCAAGGCGCAGGCACCGCTCCTCATACGCGCCCATGCATCGAATTTCCATGTTCAAAGCACCCCGTTGCTATTGCTGTTCTCCGCCTATGGGTGAGTATCAAGCTTGAGGCTGGCCACTGGAGAGGTGGCCGAGGGCCAAACCCAGTATGGCCGGTTACCAATTACAATCGGAGGTCTCACAGTCATAACAGATGTGGTGACATGAGTGCTCTTTGAATGGTTATCATCGCTATGGTGGATTGGTCTACTCCATAAAAACTACCCCTTATCATGGCCTACTGTACCTAGTCATGGAGAGAAGTATCCTGCGGCCTACTCCCACATCCTGATCCACGCCCTTTGCAAGAGATTTCCCTTCTTCACACGCTCATGTATCCATTGCTCGCATTCCCTGTCGACCTCTGCTTTACCGTCATATATGTCCACCTCGGAGAATTTGGCAAACTTTGTCTTGTGGATAAATTTCCAGCCAAAGTAGAGGACGATGGCGTAGGGAAGTGCAAAATACGTTGTCACAAATCCCTGGGTGTCCCATGGAACAAAGACGTCGAATCCCAGGAACAAGAGGAGAACCAGGCCTGTGCAAATGCCAGCGTACGCATGGTATGGCAGAAAGGGGGCTTTCCAGGAGAGAGTGTCACGGCTGATGCCTTGCGCCTGAAGAGCCTTATAAAAGCCAACCCAGGTCATCTGCATCATAGTATAAATGACGATCAATCCACACGTGGAAAGACCGACAAACCAGTTGAAGACCGTGGCCGAGCTGTTGCTTGCTACCATGAAAGTCAAGCAAGACAAGAGGGTCATGGCCAGCACCGCATAAATGGGCACTCCGGCCTTGGTGCATTTCCGGAAGATTTTGGGCGCTTGGCTTTCCAGTGATAACTGATACAGGGTTCTCGTCGAGGTGTAGAAGAATGCGTTGCCGCAACTCCAGCCAGATGAGAGGATCAAGAAGTTGACCAGACTGTCCAACCCTTTAATACCTAGGTTTTTGATTCCGACAACAAAAGGCGATGCTGCCGATCCTGTCGCACCCTGTGCGATGGCCCCAAGAAGTCGGGGGTCCCGGCTTGAACAAATGATGCCCACGGCAAGCACTCCGAGGAAATAAAAGCCGACCACACGCACCCAAACCAATCGAGCCATACGAGGGATTGTTTTGCGAGGATTCACAATTTCTCCGGCTGCCAAAGCGATCATGTCAGGTCCTCCGAGTGAGAAGGCTGCATAGCGCATGGCGATGAAAAAGCCCAAGAACCTTCCAGTTGGGCCTGTTGTGTAATACTCGTGCATTGCGTTGCCGTGCTTCCAATACCGGAAGCCGTAAGCGTCATGTTTCGGGTTTCCGCCAACCATGGTGATGAAGGTGAGTAGGACCAGACCTATCAGAAGGAGGACCTTGAGGATTGCGAAGATGAATTCGGCTTCGCCGTAATACCTGCACAAGCAATGGTCAGCATGTCCCAACGAGCTTCCAAGTGAGAACATACTTGACGGCAAAGACGTTGATAGCCACAATGACCACAAGGCCCATCACAACCCACACCGAAGCGTTGACGGGGACATTCCAGTACCCCATGACTGCTGTGACCGCTGACAGTTCCGTACAAACCAACACTGCAGCCGCATAGAAATACGCCCATCCAAAGGCGAATCCGAAGGCGGGGTCAACGAACCGATTGGCCATTTCGAAGATACCGTGGCGGACGGGCAAGAATGTTGTCAGCTCAGCAACACACATGTTTGCTGGGAACATGAACAGGATCGGGTAGATGGTGAAGGCAAGTAAGATGGACAGAGGTCCTCCCTTGGACAATGCGCCGCCAATGCCGACGAACAGGCCTGTCCCGACACTTCCCCCAATAGCCATAAGCTGGACATGACGAGAAGTCAACCCTCGCTTGGTGTGGCCAAACTTGGCATCCAAGGCATCGAGAGCCTCGCCAACTTCCACCGTACTCAAGGTATCCGTCGCCTTCTCCATGGGGATGCCTTGTTTTTTGTCTTCCATGATGGCAGAGTCGATCCTTATCGAGGATCACAGATGTGCAGCGAGCTCCCTTCCGCAGGCAGCCTGATACACGCGCGAAAGCAGCATGGGTGGGCTACCGCGTATCTTATACCACGGAGCATCTGTGGCAACTACGCGTGCTATGTTCCATGAAATCGCCGAATGTCGGCATACACTCTCCTGATTGTTCGGCATGTCGGTGAGATGAAGTTCGCTACCGATAACAATCGCTCAAACGTCGGTGGAAGCAGACTGGCCAGGGTTGGGCCTCCCAAGTTGGCAATGGCCGGGGTGGCGGCTTATCAGCTATCAGTCGTATAGTCACTGGCTGGAGAGGGCTATGGATGCTGATCGAATCGCTGATTTGTCGTTAGTATCTGAGCAGGGACGCCGCCCCCAGCCTTTCGAGCTAGCGACCCCAGACGGACAATATTGGAGCTGCGAGGCTTTGTCCCCTTTGGGCTAATCTATCTCCCACGAGGCTCCACTGCTGATAGCCCGTTGATAACCAGCAGCAAGCACTGACAGTTGTCAGCGGGTATCTCCTCTTTTTCAAGATCCTGATAAACTGCAATCGCTCTTTCACATCAGCAATCTCATACACCTCAAGGAACACAGGAACCATAAGAACAATCGCTCATGATACCCGTGGAAGTCGTCGTTAGGTAGTCTGCGATTGACACTCGATGATGTCGACCACAACCCAAGGTCGAAGTTTACATATCTCTCTGTCTTATCATTGTCTCATCATACAAATAGTCTCTCACAGACTTTGCCGCAGTCTCTTGGCTTCGAGGACCGTGAGTAGGTATGCGGAAAGCTCTCTGGCCACTGATATGAGACGGATTTGGCTGTTCGAAGCGATGCCTTTCGAGCGAGCTGGACCCATATAGTAGTACTGGTACGTAAGTTGTACTACTATCTTAACTTTTGGATCGCTCACTTGTCTTCTCCCCAAGATCAAGTTCGGCGACTTCCTGCGCCTGTCACATGCTCTATGCCACACGAGGCTCGCCACCTAAGTGCTCGCTTGTACCTACTATAGGTAGTTCGCGTGCGACATGATTGGGTCAGTGATAAGAGTCAAATACTCGTCTCCTGCCAGGTACAAATTGAGCTACCGGGTCGTTGAACGTGGCGGCCGGTTTATTAGCACCTTCAATTGCTTTCTCGAGTGTTCATATTGTGTGACATGCTGGCGCCCGCTGAGTCGCCTTGTGAGAGGTGATGCCTACTGGCCAGGGACATAGAGTAACCTCTTCATAGGCCAAGGTACTGATATGGCTTTCCTTGGTGCACGTTGCCATAGTATTTTCAAGTGGCGAACGGCAGGGTAGCCCTCTGATATGCAACTTCGTGTTAGCCAATCCCTCCGCCAGTCCGACACGACCCAGAGATTTAGCCGAACTCAAGCAAACGATGCTTCCAGTACGATTCAGAAAGATGATCGTTGTTGGTACAACGCAAATCTGGGACGTAGAGTCCAGAGACTCAGAATTCGATGATTGCAGTATGGTCCTGGGCAATACACCTGGCGCTCTGCTGGATAGCGATTCAAGTGGGGGGGCCGGTTTTCGTGCGAGTGCGCGATTCATAATCCAGAGGAGACAGTTTGATAATTCTTCCAGCTCGTTTGATGTGAAGTTTGGTGACCTCTCGATGCATACATGGCTCCTATTCTGCTTACCGTACATAAGGGCCCATCCCGCCGTATGCAGGGACTGGTAGTATGTACAGTAGTATCTCCTTCAAGTTGTAGTCAGCCTCGTCCAGTACCATCGATCAGATGTCGGCTGTATGCTTCGCTGTACTCTCTCCGTCGGATCATACGGCCAACAAAACACGTGCAATGGACGACGTGTTCATGGGAGAACAAACACTTGACTTTGAACACCACTTGTTCTTTTAATAGCGAAGAAATATGTTTGGCGCGTTGAATCGTTTCATTGCCCGTCTTGATGGCGAGCCGAGTCCCCGGCCGGCGGAGGGCGGGCCTTCCGACAACTCGTACGGCTTCCAGGTGCTGCGAAACACGAACAAGGACCTACCGCTGGAACCCTGGTTCGACTTCATTGTCGGAATCAATGGCCACTACATAGTAAGGCTTCCCGTGATATCTTCCTGTGATTGAAAGTCAAGCTTACCATGTTGCGCCTCTATAGGAGTCCCCTGACCCAAACCTCTTCGCAACCGAATTGCGCAACTGCGCGGGCGGATACTGTTCCTTGGATCTATGGAGCGCGAAAGTGAGCAATACAGCCAGCCAGCCAGCCAGCCACAGTACCCTCTGTTGTTCCAATGTGCTGACATCGTCATGTGTAGGGTCAGCGGACACATACCCTCACGGTTGCTGTTCCCACCGCTCCGGCAACCTTGGGCTTGACTCTTCAACTTGCTCCGCTCAACTCTACGCAGAACATATGGCACGTCCTCACGATTCCGTCACCCCTATCTCCTGCACACCAAGCCGGTCTACTACCCCACAGTGACTACATCTTGGGATCTCCAAGCGGTGTACTAAAAGGAGAAGCTGCCCTGGGCGAGCTGGTTGAAGACCACTTGAACAGGAGTCTGGTATTGTGGGTTTACAACTCGGAATTTGATGTGGTTCGAGAGGTCGAACTCGTCCCGCGAAGGGGCTGGGGCGGTGAAGGTGCCCTGGGCGCTGTCCTGGGCTTCGGAGCACTGCACCGGCTTCCTATTGGTCTGGGAGAAGAGATGCAGGCTCCCGGCGAGAAACTGTTTGACGCCGAGAGCAAGAGCGTCGACAATGGACACAATGAGCACCTGGCCAACAGCTTCCAGCCCGCCCCAGCTCAGAGTCTATCTCCACCACCAATGGTGAATCCCAATGTACCGCCACCGCCAATGGTGAACCCTAATTCTGCCGCTCCTACTACCACCACACAATCGAAGGCGCGAAAGGGAAGGCGGCACGGTGGCATTTCTCCAAACTCTGGCTTTGACGACGTCTTTGCCGAAGCAGCGAAGAAGAGCGCGGAACAAGACCATGTGCCATCGCGGAAGGCATCACCTCTGCCACCTCCGCCGAAGCTAGGGCCCAGTGCTGCCAGCCCTCACTCAGAAACTCACGAGAAGCAAGATCCTCTCGAGCAGCATGGCGAGCTCGGCGAGCCTGGCGATGCTGAGGAGACTTAATCAATGCGCAACAGCTTGAATCACCGTACTTCCCATAACTCGCCTTTTCTGGACCTCGATGATGGAGACCCTGTCGGGTTCAAGTCATTGCCAGCCGCACGGTGGTGGACTACCCGAGAAGGCGACCAACTGTTGCTCGGGAGGCTTTCCCTGTAGTGAAGAAGAGAAGTCGATTCTTCATGTCATTGATTCCCAGAGCCAGCCTCTTCACGCCACCAGGCCATGAACTCCCGGATCCTTCGAGTCCGCTCATGTGCCATGGCCTTCCCGGGCTCCGTCTTCATCATACCTTCCAGCTTCAGTAATTTGTCCTCGAAATGATGAATGGAGTCCTCCAAGCTGCGAGCGCCTTTGGCCCCACCAAACGTGAAGCACCGACCTATCCCAATGGCGCCAATAGCATCTAACCGGTCGGCGTCTTGCACAATGGCGAGTTCTGGAATGGCAGCAATGAGATTCCGGACACGGTCCGGGTTCTTAACCTCGGAGGAATATGAGACGCCCTCCACCAACATCTGGATCTGGGCGGCATATTCGATGGGCATCCCAGCTTCTACGATGGCACGCTTCAGAGGCGAGTCATTGTCCATTGCGGCGATGTACTTCTTGTCTTCGACATCGTGAAGCAGGGCGCCAAGGATGACGCTCAGAGGGTTTAACGGCGGCAAAGTCTCCTGCTTCCTTCTGTGTTCCTCCTTTTTGAGGATGGTTAGAGCGTTGTTGACCACTCGTTTCACGTGGTCGAAGTCATGGGATGCGTCGAAGCATGGATTCTGGAAGTATTTCTCGGTGAAGTCGTGTATCTGCCGGACTACGGATATTTCCTGGTCGGAAAGACTTTCGTATGTGCTGGGATGGACGTAGTTGGCGGTCGACATCATGCCCGCCTAAACTTGGGTTCGATCCGCTGGACGATGCTCTGGCAGGCACAAGTGCTTTTGCAGCAGTCCCTACCTAAGATACTGTCTCCTGTAGTCGTCTACAGCCCGGCGACATGTTCCTGAAAAGTGGAAATCGCGACATCTGGTACCGCCAGTGCCAAGAGATGCGATGTTCGGAAAAACAACGGCCCGTGGCCGCCTTCCGCCTCCGTAGCCTCGCTGTCACATACCTGGTAGTAAAAACATGGGGTTCAACTTGAAGTTGAAGTCGTTCACACTATCTTAGGTAGGTATTTTCAAGCAGCAGTCCGAGTCATGGTAGCGGAAAGGGCGTTCTGATCGTTTGCTTACAATTTTTTACGCAATAGCAGGGCAGCCTTTTGACATGTCATGGCGAGGGAACAAATTTCCGAGCAAAGAACGCAGTCGGCTGAACCAACATTGTAAGTTCAGGATTGGCGGACCGAACGAGGGCCGCAATGCAGCATAATACCATTCATTCCTGGAAGCTTCCATGATTCTACATTGTAACCCTACACATCATTTAAGATGTCAGGTGAATGATTTAGAGTTCTGCCTCTACTCTTCTGGCAGAAGTGTTCAAGTGGCTGAAGCCTCGGTCGGCCGGGCGCAAGAACTTCGAGTATTGGACGAATTGATCATCAGGTGAAAAATTCGACATTTTGAGTTTACTAGATCCCAGCCTCAACAGCCACAGGCCTTGGAAGAAGGGATAGAAAGGTAGGGGCAAGCAACAGTGGAACGAGTATCAGCCACATCGGCGAATCACCAGGCAACGACCATGTGGACCGGCAATTCAACAACAAGACCTGGGTTGCAATGTACAGTAGGTAGTAGATATATGTCACGCCACCTGGGTAAAGAAAGTATACAATGTACAGTAGTAGTCCTCATCAATTGTGTTGTGGCAGCATGGCGGCATTCAGTTATCAACTGCGGCATCGCTCAGCGCCAGCCGAACCTGAAACCCGGTAATCTCCATGGCACGTACTGATCGGCATTGGGACGGCAAATACTCGAAGCTGATGCCCTGTCGTTGCCTGGGGGGGTTTTCATGGGATGGGCAGCCAGATGCGCGATCTGCCCCGATCATCCAGATTTCGATGTCCGAGGGGATGGGATTTTCAAGCCCAGTGGCATTTTGACAAGCCTGTGGAATGTCACGCTTGGGCTGGGTGCCAACTGGGGTTCATTTTCCGCGCGTGAGTGGCTTGAACGAAACGCTGCTTGCCGCTAGTAGTCGCCAAAAGTCGCCTTTCGTCCAGAGATGTCGTTGGCCGTTGAGATACTTCACTATTTCATCACTTCGCAGGAGGGCTGCAGGGTTGCTTGTTGGCTTTCTGCTCCGGCTACCGTCCCGAGATTGTGGTAGGCAGCAGATGCGCGCCTGGTGGGTGTTCCGCGTGTCGCTCGGATGGACAATACCGAATACCTTAACCATACAAAAAAGAACGCAACAGAAACGGGGTGCCCCTACTAGTAGTGTAGCTTCAAGTTGAAGTTTGCAAGTGACCAAAAGCGGGCGGGAGACAGCTGCTACGCCTTGTTTCGTCCAACTCTAAACCGTGCCGATCTTCCTGCCCTTCAAGTTGGGAGGGAATGCGTTCGAGACAAAATGTCCAGCTGTTTTGAGAGAAAATGTCATCTTGAGGTCGGTTTGCTTTGGGGAGGCGTACTCTGTAGGCTGAGAGTTTGTGGCCGATAGTCGTTTGAATAAGCCGGTCGGTCTGTTATGTACAGGTATTGCACGAAGCACTGGCACTCCAGGGTGTCTGCCGTTGTGCGGTGCTGTGAGAGTGGTTTAGGCTGGGGCATGTTTAGTACAATACCCGGACAAAAGTCACCGGGCAGACCCCATTTCACAGCCAAAATCAAGAAATCTAGGTATCTATTATAACGCAACTAGCGTATATTCCTTAAAAAAAATATTTTATACTTATTCTACTAGTAAAACTAATTAACTTTTATATAGAAAACTTTTAAATATCTCTTAAGCCGATAGAGATATTTAATAATTAAGATCGTCGAAGTCGATTTACTATGGGAAAAGGCTAAAAATACCAACTTTTTTACTTAAACCTTTACCTAGTCTATAGGCTTAAGAGATATTAAAAAGTTTTCTATATAAAAGTTACTTAGTTTTACTAGTAGAGTCCGGATTACGTATTTTCCTCAATATATATAGTCTAGTTACGCTAGAATACACCTCGGTATTTTTGATATTTGGCTGTGAAATGGGGTCTGCCCGGTGACTTTTGTCGGGGTACTGTACTAGTGGAGAAAGAGGGTCATCCTTCCCCCTAGGCCTGCCCAACAATGCCTATAAGGGTCTCCGGATATGGAGTCTTCATAGTACTTAGGCGCTGTTGTTATGTACCTAGCCGTGCCTCTTGACATTCTGATACCCGTACACAACTAGGCTTAGGCGTACTCTGCCCGTGATAGGCATGCGTAGTAGCGTAGAGTAGTGCCCCCTAGCCTAACGCTAGTGCCCACGATCTCTGTGCGCAGGCGCAAAATGACCCCGGCCGGGCTAGAAATGCGCCATTGCCAGTAGGAGGAAAACTACTGCAGAACCAGCATCATCGGCGAGCGCATCTGCCATCTGCACGTCGATTGCACGTCCAATGTCATCCATGCCGCCGCCACTTTGTTCATTCCACTGCCGCCTCTTCTCCTTTCAGTCTTTTTCGAGGTCATTGCTGCGGAATGACGGCAAGCACTGTACGATTTTTTGCAGTGCTCGTTCAAGGTCGCGTCCTCAGTTGGTGCAGTCAATTTAGCTGTTCACAATATCGGTCCTCTGTGTTTCCTCAACGTTGACTTCGATACTCACTCTTCCTTCAGCGTGTCAACTGGGTGATGATTCTGGTGATTGCCTCTTGCATCGCTCATCGTTTGCGATCTACTGGCCAAAGTTGACCACAGCCTCTCACACCAGGCTCGTTTACTGTGATATACAGTCGCATACGCTTCCTCTGATCGAGTCCGATCCCATTTCCCCACGCCTTACTCGAGCCTGGTTTCCGACCACGCCCAAAACACCTCGTTTCGCCTGTGCCTTCAGACCATTTTACTACATTAAGAGAAAGGCCGGGGCATAAACATAGCGCTGTATGTTCGCCAAAGGAGGGTTTCCAGGGCATACAAGAGTCTTGTGCCGACATATCAGCGGCAGAAATATGTGCGAGGGGGTCTGATCCCAGACTTTGTTGGCCCTCGGTGCAGGTCACCGCACAGATTACTCTGACAGTGTGGCAGAGGAACAGCGTTGTGTGACCATCACCCCACCGAGCCCTGCTGCAACAACATTTCCTGGCGGAGTAGGCCAGCATGTCGAGGCCTACTTCGCCTCAGAACTTGGACTCGGAGAGACGCCACAGAACTCCCACTCCTCCGTCAAATTCCGGTCAAAATGCTCAGGAGCTTAAACCTGTCACTCGGCCTGGCATCCAACGCCCTCCGTCTTGGATCTCCATGGTGCCAGCGCAGGCCCACGTGAGCATGTTCACGGGGAGAACTGATGGGCCTTCTCCTGGGCCAGCTTCGAGGCGAAGTGAGGATGAATCGGCGACCCTGAGCCCGGGCTCCATCAATCGCGTGTTCCCTGTGCGTTCTGCCGTCTCAATTGACCCCATTGTCACACCGCTGCCGCGGACAGATACCGGAGGCGGCTTTCCAGGATTCAGGTTGGCTTCAGGTGGAAGGGGTTCTGACCGGACAGGGGGATCAGGCGAGGCATGGACAACGACGCGAGATTCCGCGGATTCTTCTCGACGAAACTCAGAAGCCGACTCTGGCGCTGCTGCTACTGCTGCGGCTGCGGCTGCCAACTCGAGACGACGCTCCGATACCAAGACCGTTAATGTCGACGGTGTGACCCTCACCAAGATTTTAAGCGATGACGCATCGCACAAGTCGGAACATTCGGCTACATCTGGAAGAGCATCTGTCGAACCCGGGCAGGAGTCCGCCGGCTTGGTCACAGCACGGTTCAAACACGTGGTCACGGACGGAGGCCATGCTGTCATCACTGGTAGAGATGGCGATACTCTGCAACGGTGTGAAGACGAGCCTATACATATCCCCGGCGCAGTTCAAAGTTTCGGACTCCTAGTGGGACTGAGAGAGGAAGGCGAGCGACTCGTTGTTCGTGTGGCGAGCGAGAACTCTCACCGGATCATCGGGTATACTCCTCAGCAGCTTTTCAAGCTTGACTCTTTCCTTGACATCTTCAGCGAAGAACAAGCCGACAATCTACTCGACCATCTTGATTTCATCCGGGACGAGCGCGCCGCTGACGTCGTGGCCAATGGCCCGGATGTTTTCATGATTGCTCTCAAACCTCCGGGAAGTCGGACGCGGAAGCTGTGGTGCGCAATGCACATGCCCGAGTCTGATCCAACCATGATTTTATGCGAGTTTGAGATTGAGGATGACCAGATCAACCCGTTGGTTCCGGCAGAGGACATGACTCCTGGTATGCCTGAAGACACGCTAAAGAGCAATCCAACCACCGAGGAGTTTATGGACAGCACCGTGAATATTAGCAAACCTCTGCGCATCTTACGAAGTGCTCGTAAGAAACGGACCGAGGCCGCAGCGATGGAGGTGTTTAACATCATGTCGCAGGTCCAAGAGCAGCTCGCAACTGCTCCCACCTTGCCCATTTTCCTCAAGGTACTGATTGGCATCGTCAAGGAATTGACAGGCTTCCACCGTGTCATGATTTATCAATTTGACCACACCTGGAATGGCCGCGTGGTCGCTGAATTGGTTGACCCTAGGACGACCAAAGATCTGTACAAAGGTCTCCATTTTCCAGCCTCAGACATTCCCAAACAAGCGAGAGACCTTTACAAGATCAACAAAGTTAGGCTCTTATACGATCGAGACCAGGAAACTGCTCGCTTGGTATGCAGGACGATGGAGGATCTTGAGAAGCCGCTTGATATGACCCATGCGAACTTGCGAGCCATGTCCCCGATTCACTTGAAGTATCTCGCGAATATGGGCGTCCGATCCTCCATGTCCATCTCTATCAACGCATTTAATGAATTGTGGGGTCTGATTTCCTGTCATTCCTATGGACCCAAGGGCATGCGAGTGTCGTTTCCCATCCGCAAAATGTGTCGTCTAGTCGGCGACACAGCGTCTCGTAATGTCGAGCGCCTTTCATATGCTTCCAGGTTACAGGCACGCAAGCTCATCAACACAACTTCTTCAGCCACCAACCCTTCCGGATACATTGTCGCTTCATCCGACGATCTTCTGAAGCTCTTCGATGCCGACGTCGGAGCATTGTCTATCCGTGATGAGACCAAAATTCTGGGCAATCCGCGTGGTAATCTTCAGGAGGTCCTTGCAATGATCGAGTATCTACGAATGAGGAAGGTAACGTCAGTCTTTTGTTCTCACGACATCGCCACCGACTTCCCTGATTTACGCTATGAACCTGGCTGGAAATTCCTTGCGGGCGTTCTGTTTGTGCCTCTTTCAAGTGGTGGCAACGATTTCATCGCTTTCTTTCGCAGAGGCGTCCTACAGGAAGTGAAGTGGGCCGGTAACCCATACGAGAAATTTGTGCAGGAAGGAACAGAAGGCTACCTGGAGCCGCGGAAGAGCTTCAAAGCATGGAGTGAAACAATTATTGGACGATGTCGGGATTGGACCGATGAGGAAATCGAGACAGCCTCGGTCTTGTGCCTGGTCTACGGCAAATTCATTGATGTATGGCGACAAAAGGAGGCAGCCTTGCAAAAATCACAGCTCACCCGACTCCTTCTTGCAAACTCGGCGCACGAGGTCCGAACGCCGCTGAATGCCATCATAAACTACCTGGAAATAGCGTTGGAGGGACAATTGGACCAGGACACGCGCGACAACTTGTCCAAATCACACTCTGCCTCCAAGTCGCTGGTTTATGTAATCAACGACCTCCTCGATTTGACGAAGACCGAGGGTGGTCAAAACTTGGTCAAGGAGGAATCCTTTGAGCTCCTGCTTACTATGCAAGAAGCTACAGAGCCATTTGTTGGAGACGCGAAGCGCAAAGGCCTGACGTACGACGTCCGTATATCAAACGGACTGCCACGGCATGTCATTGGCGATCAGCGGCGAGTTCGACAGGTCATATCGAATCTCATTGCAAATGCTATCCAACACACCCATGCAGGCCAGGTAATGGTGGAAGCCTCGGTCCTATCGACATCGCAATCTCAAGGTAAGACCGAAATCGAGATTGTGGTTGAGGATACCGGGGTAGGCATGTCGCATGAAAAAGTCGACGCGCTCTTCAGGGAACTTGAAGAAGTCACTTACGAGGAGGAGCCGAAAGCCTCTAAATTACTTTCGGAAGACCCGTTTACAGAGCAATCTGGACATGACCAAGTGGCATTGGGCTTAGGACTGGCTGTTGTGGCCCGCACCATTCGAAACATGAACGGCCAACTACGGGTCAAGACGGAAGAAGGAAAAGGTTCCCGGTTCGTCATCGTCCTGGCTTTCGATACCGATCCAAAAGAGGTCGGCCAAGATGAAGAGCCCTCATCTCAATCACTGGACTCATCTGATCCCCCTGTTGTACCATCTTCAGCATTGAAAGAGGGCGAAGTCACTTTGGTCTACAGAAATCCGGCCAGTCGGGGTGAGTCCAGCCCTGTGACACGGAAAGAAAGCCTCGACAGTCTGAAGAGCCTTACAAGCTTAAAGAGCGGCAAGAGTGCTCTCAGCATCCGAAGTGAGGCAAGTCAGAAAAGTGACGCAGACAGGCTCATCGATGCCATTCAGGAGCCATTGAAAATCTCCTCTGAAAAGATTGGAAGCCCCGGCAAGCAGCACCGTTCGTCCTTTTCTACAAGCAATTCCCAATTGGTCAGTCCCAAGTTGAGGCACAGCAAAGAGCTGAAATCTAGCCTGCACAGATCACCGGGCATGAGGGAAATCAAAGACTCAGGCACACCTCTTCGACCTGTTCGGGTGCCGGACGATTATCAAGAAGCCGACGACGCGGCTGGACACAGGCCTGCTGTGAAGGTGGTTTTTGAGGAGTCTGGGTCCGTTGGGGCACCGTCTGTTTCGACTGACGTGGAAGCTTCGCCTTCTGCCGACAACTTCTCCATCCTCGTGGCAGAGGACGACCCCATCAACAGCAAGATAATGCAAAAGCGTCTGGAGAAGCTTGGCCATTCAGTGCGTATGACTGTCAACGGAGAGGAATGCGCATCGGCCCATGGCGAGCAACCGGCCGCCTTCGATGCTATCTTGATGGATTTGCAAATGCCAATAGTGGATGGATTCAGCTCGACCAAGATGATTCGTTCATTCGAGAAGACACACCCCAACACAAGTCTCTCGAGTCGAGCTCGGCTCAACAGCAGAATTCCCATCTTTGCAGTCTCCGCATCACTAGTTGAGAAGGAGCGCGACCGGTATATCCAAAGCGGGTTTGACGGATGGATTCTTAAACCAGTCGACTTCCGCCGAGTTGACGAATTGCTGCGAGGGATTGTTGACCCAGAAGCACGGGCTGCGTGCCTGTACGAGTGCGGCAACTGGGAACGCGGAGGATGGTTTGAAGCGCGCAACGAGAAAAACGACGCTTTTCAAATCGATACGAAGCCGAGCCAAGAGAAGCCCACTGCGGAGACTGAAAGCGCAATGCCCGGCGTAGACGGCGTCTCTGAAGGCATGTCAGAAGCCACGGTATGACAGCCATCATAAGAATCCCACGTACCCCGAGGCCAGTTTTATACGAACCTTGGATCCCAACAAACAGCCATCCCATACTGAAATACATGCTGGTTGCGTCCCAGGGTTGCGTCACCGATTTAGTTGTTCAGACCATTCAAGGCTTTTGAGAATCCACACGATGTCACGACGTTACGGCGGTGCATAGCCTTCAGTTTGATGTCTGCTTCACGATATGGCCTCGCCGGCAGCTTTCGCCTCCCCGCCAGGCCAGGGGGATGGTATTCTTGCGTTTGGACCAAGTGTATACTTACGACCTGAGAACAAGACGATTTAAGAATGGATGCGACCAAGGACCAAAGACTGGATGCCAGTGGAGAACTGCCAGCAAAACCGATATGCATCCATTAGGATATGATAACTATCCATACCCACCTGCATTTGTATCAACACCAACCGCGGTTACTTCGGGCACCAAAGAGCATAAAATGACGGTCATAGGTGCATCGACAACCGACGCAGCATTGGCATTAGACACATCACCCCTATCATCAGACAACGAAACAATCAGACTACTGTTCGCCTACAGTACCTACTTACCTATTGCCTTACCTAGGTATTAGTTGTATCAGCAATATTCCTGACCAACTCCGTTTGTTCGTGGTCTTTGTGTTGTTACCGTTTACAGTATCAAGCATCCAGTGGTCCATGAAAGCTTCCAGTGTTGTCGGTTGCAGGGCAGCTTTGAGAGCAGCAAGCCCTGGCGCTAGACGTTACATTACGTACAGTAGATATGATACAGTGATTGATGGCATAGACATGATATGATACCTTAATCAATGGCATGCATCCATAACATTATGATGTGTATATATTTCCTATCTGCTGCTCACAGATAGATAGATGCCTCGATTGCATACATGGATGTACAAGTAAAGTGTATATGACTTCCTGTCCGTGAGCTGAAAAAAGCGGGTGCAGGTGTAGGTGCAGGCAACAAACTTCTGTCTACTTGGGCATACGGAACAGGCTGGACTCCTCGAGTTCCCTCCACAACTTCAACCCGTCCGAGTCATTGGTGTAGTCGAACCACAGAAACATCTTCAAGCGGTCCTTGACGCCAGCCCATGAATTGATGTTCAGGTGGCGGGTGAGTCTGTCCAACATGGCCAAATAACCCTGGCGATCCGGTGAGCCAATAGCCGCAATGGCACCCATGACGGCCACCCAGAGAAGGAGATCCGACGCCCCCTCTGTCCACCGAGCCTGCACGGCCGAGTCGGCAAGCTGGGCCTTGACGTCGCGGGCGAGGCGGTGGAACGGTGCTGCAATGGCAGGGACCGGAAACACCACCAGCAGACTGTAAATGAGCGTGGCCAATCGGGACAAACGATGCATGGGATGCTCGAGTTGTGCTGCTTCAGGCGTCTCGGGGGTCAGAAGCATCAGACTGTGCTGGACAAAGTTCCTCTGGTCCATCAGGGCAGCAAACGACTGTGCTTCAGGCCTTCGTTCCACATGGTCGTCCACCGCGAATGTATATTGGATGATCCACCGCAGGACCACCAGGAGTCTTGACACCTCGTCATGACTGAGCATTTCGGGCAAGATGCGGAATCCTCGGCCCAGGCCGACAAGAGTGTGGTTTTTCCGCGATGCCACGGCGAGCAGCGACGTCACGTCTTCGTGCATGGCGACGTAAGGCAGCATTGGCCTTGATAGCGTTTGAGAGGCCATCACAATGTCGCCACTAGAGGAGGTCGGAGTTCAAGTCAGCGTGTTGTCCTCCTTGGGAAACAAAAACAGGGATGAGTGATGAGCCTTACAAAGAAATCGCTTGGGATAACCCAGGAAGCTTGATTTTAGATAGACCGCCTCGCAGACTCAGCATTTTGGCAAGGCCTTGGAGATGCACTTGTACGGTCTGCAGGCGGCCCCCGTACACATGAAGCAGTTGCAGCGTCGTTAGAGGGCCTTGAGAGGGAGCGGCGGCGGGAGCATCGGCGCGGAGGTCGCCGTGGTATGAGAGCGCATAGACAGAGAGGATGTTCTCATCCTCCAAACTCATCGAGGTGTCTTTGAACTTCTGGTGAACCCCTCGAATCGTCTCCGTGTAGCAGTGCACCTGTTCCCTGGATTCCGCCATCGACGGCGACACAGAAAAGACGCGGTTTCTCATCAGCTGAGAGAACAATGACGCGTGGAACAGGCCTCGGTCGCTAAAGGTGGTCCGGAGCCACGTTTCGGCCAGTGGATTGAGGGACCGACCATTCTGCGGGGGGAACATCAAGGAGAGAAAGCCATTGACTGGAATCGTAGGTCAGATACCCACACCCAATTGCGTAGTGGGGAGATATAGGGATGGCGGTGTTACTCACTTTGGTCGAGGACACGGCTGACAAACTCCCTGGGCAGATCGCACGGATATGTCTGGAATGGATCATGGTGTCCCGACACGACCAGGCTTGATAAGCTACTGTCACAAGAAACCATTGCTTCCTCGTCGACCACGACATCCTCCTGGTTCTGTTCATTGTGACTTTCCTCAGTCTTGGGTGTCGACCATCCGCTCTCTGTGGAAGGGGAATCGAGGGTGCGTGCAACCGGCGGCGTAAGCGTGACCGGTGGTGGCTTCGTCTGGCGGCTTTGCGCCGATGAGCGTCGTCTCGTAGCGACTCGATTGGAGCTTGTAGATGGGTCGGTCGTGGTCTTCTTGACTCGACGCCAGTAGAAGTTGGACGCATTCGAGCGGACGAGAGCTTTGTTCTGCGACTTCTCGGCCTCCGAGGCCGGATTGGCAGTGACGAACTGGAAGGTCTTCAAGTTTGGAGCACTGGCAGAGCGCGACGTTGCGCTGCTCCCACCGCTTACATCCGGCCGACTCGTCACGGCTTTCGCCTTGTGCATGTCCTGTCAGTTGTAGACATAATACTGCCCCTTGGAGTTGGCTGAAACGGGAGACGAGGGCGCAAGGAGTGATGTCGTAGAGTTGAACTCTCCCAGCGAGGTCAGGAAGTGACGCATGTACACAGTAGCGGCCTAGTAGAGTATGCGGGCGGTCTCGTGGGGTGCAAGCGGGTAAAGGATGTTGCTGAGACACTCTGATCAGTACTGTAACGGATCCGGCTGGCAACCCTACCTAGGTACCTACCAGTGTCCAGTCATAGTGGCAGGGGCTCGCTTCGTCCGTAACGGACACTGGCAGGCATCTGGAACCCCAGATTGTAGTAGGAGTGTGGGCGAGGAAGACCGCCGGGGTTTCTCCACATGCAGTGCGCAAGCAAGACCGGGAGATGTACGGGAGATGAACGGGAGATGCAGATGTGCCGTGCCAGTGTTGTAACGGTGCCGGTGACCCCAGAAAGACCAAGAGGAGACCAGCCTGAGATGAGGCACTCCGAGTCACGCGTCACTCACCGGCAGCACGCGTGCTTCCCATATGGCTGACTAATCGTCGCACATGAAGAGAGAATACCTCGGTTGGAAGCACCAAGGATCTACAGTTGTAAGACTTGTCCAATACTACTAGTAGCCGTGGCAAGGGATGAAGAACATGGGCCATCATTGCCAATGTAGAGAGAAATGTGATGTATCTATGTATATAATAACTGATAACTTTTTCATGAAAGACAATGACCTCCCGCTATGCAACTGAAAATATATCAATCAAATGCAGTGCAAACCATTTCGATAAAAACCAACGACACGACGCTATGCAACAGGAATAATACCAATGTCTGCACACCAAACGGGCTACCATTGCTGTGTTGGGGATGGGGCAGAAGTAGTCGTGCTGATGGGCGCCCATGGATTGGCCGGAACTGCCATTGTGATCGGCCATCCCCAGTTGTCCGTGTAGGTGATGGTTTGTCAATTGGCACATTCGCCTGGGCGGTAGTAGAACCCGTGAGTCCAGGTAGGGACGACTGTGACGGTGACCGTGACCGGGGTTGGGCAGACTGTGGTCGTCGGTGGCGGCGGCGGATTGCACTTGCCATCTGCGGCCGTTCCAAGCCCGCAATAACGAGAAGCCGGGGTGCTTGTCGTGGACGCACTCGAGCTGGTAGATGTGGTTGGCCCAGGATTACACTTGCCACCTAGAGCGGTGCCGAATCCACAGTAGTGGGATTCAGACGTTGTGGTTGGCATCACCGTCGTCGACGTTGTAGGAGCCTGGTTGCATTTGCCGTTCAGCGCAGTGCCAAAGCCACAGGAGTGAGAGGCGGGGGTGCTAGTAGTGGTAGAGGTGGAAGTTGACGAAGGATTGCATTTCCCATCGAGAGCTGTCCCAAAGCCGCAGTAATGGGAGGCTGTAGTCGTGGTGGATGAAGGAGTACTGCATTTTCCATCAAGCGCAGTGCCAAATCCGCAGTAGTGCGAGCTGGAGGTTGTCGTGCTTGCAGTGGTGCTTGTTGTGGACGGCGGCGGGTTGCATTTCCCATCGAGCGCGGTGCCAAAGCCACACCAGTTGGAAACTGAAGTGGTGGTCGTAGTCGTGGTGGTGGTTGGGGGAGCGTTGCATTTGCCATCTAGAGCCGTGCCGAATCCACAGTAGAAAGTCGTGGTTGACGTAGGAACTGAGGAGGAGGAGGAGGTGGTAGAGAGGACGCAAGAGCCATCCGCATTGGTACCAAAGCCGCAGTAGTTGGAACTTGTTGTTGTAGTATTCGACACCGGAAGAGCGTAGACGCCCACCGCCAGAGTTGCGATGAGAAAAGAGATGGAAGAATGCATGCTTGCGGCTATGAACAGTGAAGTCCTGCAAACGAGTGTGACAGAAAACCCGAGGATGGGTAATGAAAAGGGCAATGAAAGAATTGGACAAATGAGACTGCTCAAGTAACGAAGGCACTGGGAGATTGGGAATGTGCTTGCTGCTGGTTGTATAATGAAGAGTATGGCATATTGAGCGATGAACAACCTACCTCCTTATACATCATGCGAAGGAGCCGAAAATAGACTGTCATAGACACGATGAGGTTCGAAGCTGAAGTGTTGCATTGTGTGTATAGAAGGTGTTGTAGGTGATGCTACTGAGACTCGAGAGCTGCTGTAACGTGGGACAAGCAGAAATAGATCGAGGCATAGCGATTAGCGAGTTTGGCAACTCCATGCAAGACACGTTGCGTCATCAGATAAGGTTCCGCCAAATTGACAAAATGGCTTTTTGCGGGAAAAAGGCTTGATCGAAGAGACTTTGGGATTTTTGTTCAGCTGAAGAACGAAAAGGTACCAAGTTAATGATGTGACGCTGGACTGGGCGCAGCAACATCAACAGTCTGAAGGTGGGTGGAGAAGTGAAGTCAAAAGTCAGGCCAATTGCATGACAAGTCAGCCTCGCCCGCCTAAGCCTGAGTGGGAGAGTCCAGCCGGTCTGCCTTCAACTTCGCGGCCACGAAAAAGTATCATTCAGGTACCATTGCGAGGCTGGAACTGCTTGATTCGATTGTTCCTGTCAGGTGTTTCCACGCGAGCCGAAGTCGCTGAGCTCTCTATCACCCAGATCTGTTCCCGTGCTCGACGTAGGCGTCTGGTGTTGGCGAGCACTTGAATCAGCCATGCATATACCTCCTAAGGTGGTACCAATGGCTAAACAGCTGAGGCTGCGCTTCCACCCTTGCCCGAGTGATGCAGTAGAGCTCATTGGCCCTTTTGTAACCGCAACCTCCATTCGCGCGCACAGCCTGAATGACGCAGTCCGAGCCGATACTCCCATAACCCTGATCGAGAGCCGGGTCCTTTTGGATTATGAATGACTGACATTATGACGTCTGATGTCTTTAGTCATTCTCGCTGAACATTATCCATATGCTGTGATGCCAGTGACTTCGAGATGTCTAGATGCGAGGAGCGAAGACACTGCTCTGGCTGACAGCGCGGCAGAAACGGTGTGTATCATCTCCAGCCATCAAGCACTAGCTGTTTGCAGCCCCTGCTCAGCGACCTTGATCAAAGGCACGATATTTCTCTCTTTCAAGATAGGCAGTAAGCTTTGGAATACCTCACGTGCCTTGCTCTTCTCCCCATTCTCCAGCAGCAAGTCCCCACGGGTCATCTGTGCTGACAGCAGGGCCAGATCGCAAATTTCGTCGCGATCCTGGGGTTTGACAACGTCGGCTGTGGCGACGGCTTGGTCGGCCCATTTCAAGGCTGCTCTTCGTCCCGCAGCCAGCGTGTCTTTCGTCGCCGGTTTCCCATTGATCTTCGCTCCTGGCTTTTTCAGAGCTACGCCCATGGTGGACGCGATATTGCTCATCACCTGTACTTCCTTGCATGATCTTGTGCCGTTGCATGACGCTCTCAAAGGTTGCAAGGTCAGCATGTACACCTGAATTGCATTTGCTTCCTCGCCGGTAGTGGCGTACAGGTCGCCCATCTGGGACAGCATCGCGGCAATTTCCCCTGTCGTCAGGCCTGCACCATTGTCATCGGTGAAGCCGTTGGTCTGCGGATCCTTGGTCTCTTTCACAACAAGTCCCACTGCATCGGAAAGAGTCTGCTTTGCACTCGCGCGGTCCTGGATATAGTCGCTTTCGTACAACGATGATACCTTGACTTTGTTCTGTATTATGCCCTTGACTAGCTCTTTGCGCTGCTCCGCTTTGGCAAGACCCTCTTCGGAGTTTTTGTCTGCCGTGAGTGAGAACTGCTCATCCACCTCGACCAGTTTTTGCTGCAGGTCTTTCGTGATGCTGTCAAGAACCTCAATGGCTCCCTTGGCATGGCCAAAATCCTCCAACATTTGCGCAAAGCGTATCCGGATACCCAGTGCTTCCTTGCCGTAGGGATCCATTCCAACCTCGTCTGCCCTTTTTATAGCCTCCACAAAGTACTGCGCCGACAGCTCCGGGTCAGGTTTCACGTGGGTATAGTGCAATGCCAGTCTTAACTGTTCTTCAACCTCCGGCGGATAGGCAGATGCTTTTTCTTTCATGTATTCATTGTAGGCCATCACGGTCAGCAGCGAGACCGACCCGATGGCGCCAATCAGCAGTGTAGGAAATAGAATCGGGTGTTGTAATCGGGCATCGATAACCATCTGTTCGAATCGGTTGGGAGGCCTTGTATATGTTTTCACTGTCCTTGTCGTCGTTCGAGGCCCACAGGAGGTTGTATTGCCCGTCTGCACTCGAGTTCGACACATGCTTTGAAAGCCATTTGCGCAGTTTCGAGAGGTTGAGGATTTATGAGCTGACGCAAGCCTCGGAACGGCCTCTATGATTCTTGTCGTCGACTTCATGGTTGAGGTTAGGGAAATAGTTGTGTTCAGTATTCAAGTCTGAGATGGCGAGAAAAACACATTATACGATTCCTCTCAGACGCATTACGCCACACGCAGATGGAGTGTCTGAAACTTCGCCAAGGGACAAGTTAGTCCCCCGGATTTTGTCAGGGTCTCGAACGTCATACTACACTATGCAAACTGTAAACGTGCGCTCTCCTGTGTGGGTTGTCCGAACGCGTAAGAGCGTCTTCAACATTCAGGGTCACAGGAAGGCCCTCGCGCCTCGAAGACCTTCTCAATGTGCGGACGATATGCGTTAGGCATTGTAGGTCTTCCTTTTTATATTCACCGTGCCAGTGCAGCGCTAACCTAACGTAGCGTGCCTCGTTTGTTCGATATCAGTTGGAGCAACAGGGTCTGCCCGTCGACGATGCACCTGCGGATGAAGAAGCTCGCGAAACATACAACTTCCCTCCCGGTGCCTATGGCCTCGTATACCGAGCAGAGGTGCCCGATAATGGGGTCGTAGAGGCAGAAGAGCCCGATGCGAGCGGCGACCGCGACCGCCCTCAGACTCAAGACGATCAAGAACGTGAACCAGAGGAACATACTGATAGCCAGCCTCCATCGAGCCCATCGAAGCCATACAAATATGAGATCAAAGTGATGAAGTGGGGCCTGATTCCCTTCTGGACCAAACGAGCGCCCGACTACGGCTCCATGATGCGCACCATTAATTGTCGCGACGATTCCTTGATCGAGAATAAAGGCATGTGGAACACCATGAAGCAGAAGAAGCGTTGCTTGGTCGTCGCACAGGGCTTCTACGAATGGCTCAAGAAGGGTCCCGGCGGTAAAGAAAAGGTCCCCTACTTTGTCAAGCGAAAGGATGGCAACTTGATGTGCTTCGCTGGCCTTTGGGACTGTGTCAAATATGAAGATTCGGGGGAGAAGCTCTACACCTACACCATCATCACCACAGACTCGAATAAGCAGCTGAACTTTCTGCATGATCGTATGCCGGTGATCCTAGATCCCAGCACCGATGAAGTCAAGATGTGGCTGGATCCGAAGAGAAATAAATGGTCTAGAGAGCTGCAGTCTCTGTTGAAGCCATTCCAGGGCGAACTTGAATGTTACCCAGTTGATCCGGCTGTGGGGAAAGTGGGCAACAACTCTCCCAGCTTTATTGTGCCGGTTGACAGCAAGGAGAACAAGAAGAATATTGCGAATTTCTTCGGCGGTGCCAACAAGAAGAAGGCCCAGCCCCAGATGACCCCTGCCAGCACGGAACAACAAGAAACGAGACAAACGATCGACCATGACGGAAGCGAGAACAATGCCCCTTTGCCTGTGCCTGCCGATGCAGTCGACGAAAAACAAGGACAGAAGCGTTCAGCGCCAGATGCTCCAGAAGACAGCCCAACAAACAAGCAAGTCAAACTTTCATCCCCTCCAGCAAAGGATTCCACTCCTGTCAAGCCCGCCAGTGGCAAAAAGCCCCGAAGTGCGACCAGCAACAAAGACATGACCCTGAAAACCAGCCCGTCCAAAAAGGCCGAAGCTGGGACACAGAGAATAACAAATTTCTTTACTAAGTGAAGCCATCATCAACCTCATTGTATACAATCACGACACCCCTATCGTGCTATGTCTACGAGTGTAGCATGTATTCCTCGGTGGCCAATTCTTCTCCGCAGTCTACGTGGATCCACTTGCCCCCGGCGTCCTTTCGTACCGAGCGCAAATACCGTGCAACAGACTGAGCAGTGCTACGGATCTCGGCGAAGCGTTCCCGCTCTTTGCTGTAACGATAAAGTTTCCGCTCGTTCTCGACGTTCCAAGATGGCTGATCCGGTTCAGTCGGAATATCATCCATCGTTGGCGGGACCGGCTTCCAACCCACTTGAAGAATGAGAGTTTCCAGTCCCCTCCATCCTGCATTCCACTCGGGTCCAAGCGAAGACGAATCTAGGGACGGGCCCCTCCACTGCAGCGCTCCAAACCAATCCCCGCAACCGGTCAGATCCAGCCATTTCAGACAGTACAGCGATCTGCTCAATGTGCGAAGTATCCCTGCCGCTTCCCTCCAGTTGTTGTCGTACGAGTTGTACATATCCGAGCCACCATATACAACGGGCGGCGAGCCTGGAGTCCTGACAACTGTTCTGGTGGATGCTGCGTTGGGCGTAAACGTGGGCTGCGGCCAATATGCGAGAGATAGAGAGGTCAACGTTCTCAGTTCGGTAGCCAGCGACAGGAGAGAGGCCCATGAGGCTGCCCTGGCATTAGTGGGAGAGATTGCCAGCGAGAGATGGTTCAAATTCTTGAAGTTTGGCATAATCCGAGGTCCTGGGCTTAAGCCCATGTTTTCTACCTCTTCGTTGTCGTCGATGGCATCCCAGCTGTCCGGGATCGGCGAAGACGAGGGGTTCTCAGACTCTCCTCTTGATTCTGCGGGGGTCGGCGCAGCAGTCTTCTGGAAGAGTTCTTTTTCCAGTTGTCTGAACGTGGTCCATGTCCCTAATCCATTGCTGAGGTCCAAGCGATGCACTTCATCGCGGTCGTCCTGTTCTCCCGCGTCCAGGAACAACGGTTGAAGGGGATTGATGGGGACATCGTTATACACCGCAAGATAGCTCAATAAAGTCTCTTTCAGCGTCGTAGGTAGGAGCCCTAGATAGTCGTAGTCATGTTCCGCATGCCAGGCCCAGTTGGTTGCAATCTTCCTCAACACCATGTGCTGGAGTGAGTCATCCGGTGGGAAGACACCGTCCGGTAGATTACTTGTTCGGAGCTGAAGTCGACGGTTGTTGCCATCAGCGTCCGAAGAGCTCACCGACTTGGGTGCATGGATACTGTCTGTCAACCAACTGCGCGGCGGCGGAGGCCCTGGGATTCGGCGCAGACGACTCGGTCCGCTAAATCTTGTGCCCAGCCTGGGTGCCGGCGGCGGAGGGGCCGGGAGGTCAAGGACTTCTCTTACAGCAGGAGGGATGGATGAGGCATTCGTTACAGGAGGGGGGCGTGAATCGTTTCTCAGCTGAAGGCGTCGCGACTCGCGAATGAGATCGTTGACTGAGGGCTGTGCCGCTGCATTCTGGGCTCGAGTCCCGGACGACTTGGACAGTGACAAGGTATGTGGAGTGCTGGATTGAGGCTTGGTCAAGAGCGCCCGCTGTTGATACTTCTTGGGCATGTATCAAGCGAGCTCTGCCTTGTACGTCGAGGAGTAATGGCTCATACCAGATAGTATGAGTCGCAGTGATCAAAGAACATGAAGATGCAGTGCAGTGGTGGCGCGAGTAGACAACTTCCAGTTAGGAAGATATTAAAATTGATGTCATAACTTGAAGTGGTCGTCTTCCCTCGCTGCTTTAGTTGCAAAGTTGAGAGGCCTGAATGGCTTGCAGAGGCAGTATGCCAGTAACAATCCTGGGAACAAATCTGATGCTACTCTTAATGGTACATATAGTATACAGAACGGCCAGGTAGCGTCGATGGGGTGCTTCACCCGAGCCGGTATATGGCCGGCTTAACAAGATGTTGATGCCGCCCACCAAATCCATCTCTCCGCGTGCAGGTGAAGACCGGATGCCTGGAGGATACCGTATGTCCTTCACAAGGCTTCGAAAACAAGACGCTGCAGTGTTGTGGCCATAAGCGATGCATCTTGGATGGCGCGTGCCTTTTTTGAAGCTGTTCGAGCTGTATATCTTATGGCGTCCCAGGACCTAGTCTCCTTTCGTCAGAGCCCAGATAGATCGTCCTTCCATTTCGAGCCTGAGCGTGGCATTAAGAGAGGACGAATCAAGAATCTGGAGAATCTCGATACAGGGTCGAGAGTCGTGTAGTAGGATTTCGTCAAATGACTAAGGATGAAGTCGGACAATGGTCCCTTTAGAACCCTGGCGGGTTTACTCTCTGGCTAACCCGCGTCCACTTGGGAAGTTCTGTAGAAGACGATCAACGAAATGATCACCCAGATTCAAGTGCAGATACACATACTGTGAATGCCTTTCCGGTACTTTTTCTCCTTGCGGTCGTAAATCGTATATTTGTCTTTTGGGAGCATCTCCTCTTCCCTGGGCATCTCCTTGTACCATCTCTCCACAGCCTTTGCGGTCATGCCTCCATTATTCTGCAATGCGACGCTGACAGTATCGACAACCTTATCGACCAACTTGAGCCTCTTTCGCTGACGCGCCTTTTGCATGGGGGACAGGCGCCATGGGATTTTCCTGCCCAGAGTTAGTACAAGTTGCGCGGGATGAGAGATAGAGGCAAATATACCATAGCAGACCCCCGGACAGCGGTGCTGTTGGCCTGAACATTCTCTGAAGCGAACGACGACTATTACTCTAGGGGAAAGAAAGGCCGTCGATAGAAAAGAGAGGTTACTGACTTGATGGTCTACAAATGAAGCCGGGGGATTTTGCTAGTCGCAGCTCAATCGCCCGCACTACAAAGTTACTCCTACACTGCAGCCCCAAGCGTCACCCGACACGCCGCGCTCCCTCACCAACATTTTTCCCCTTGTATTATTGTTTGCGTTTCCTGTTTCCAATTCAGCACGCCCTCGCCGCAGTTTGCTGAGTTGTGTTTTCCCCGGGCCTGGCTCGATGGAAAACGACCGCACCAATGGTCGGCCATGGAGACCTCTACCCTAATACAGAGCTTCCGAGCTTCTTCTGGAGGTCCGCTTCGTACCAGACAATCCTCGCGGTCTCGACCTTCTCGCGACTCTTCCTCTACGGCTTGAACAAGACCGAAGTCCATGGCCTGCCGCGCTTCCTCGACCTGCTGAAGTCCCGTTCCGACTACAAGACACGCCGAAAAGGTCTCTTGACTGTGTCAAACCACATTTCAGTGTTGGATGATCCTTTGATATGGGGCGTTCTTCCGCTTTCGTTCGCTGCCTTTCACGGCTACATGAACCATAGATGGGGGTTTGGCAGCCATGACATTTGCTTCCAGAACAGTCTTCTGTCACATTTCTTCACTCTTGGCCAAGTTCTCCCTACACATCGAACGGCGCATTCACCATACGGGGGGCCTTTTCAGGCCACCATGACCGAAGGCGTGCGGCTGCTCTCCAAGATCTCCACGAGCAAACCCTCGCTTTGTCCGCACAACAACCCAAGGTTGCACCAGAGTTACCATACACCGAGCTGGCCGCGAGATTGTGTCGACCCCTTCTCTGATCTCGCTCCGAGTCCGTCCTATCCCTCGCAACCGAGCGATGAACGATGGTACCACGCCCCGTCGAGGTACGCGTGCAACGCCTACAGTTGGCTTCACATTTTCCCAGAGGGAATGATCCACCAGGCTGAGAACCAGACAATGCGATATTTCAAATGGGGCGTTGCCCGCCTGATTCTGGAGCCGCCGGAATGTCCAGACGTGGTACCCATGTTCATCGAAGGTACCGATCATGTGATGCATGAGAGTCGCAAGTTCCCACGGTTCTTGCCGCGGATAGGGAAGAAGATCACAGTCACGTTTGGCGAAGAAATGGATGTGGAGGCTGTCTTTGGCGACTTGCGAAAAAGATGGCGTGAGCTAGCGGACCGCGACGCCAAAGAAAGAGGGCACTCGGGCTGGGATGAGCTCATGCTAGGAATCGTTCCCGAAAGCCTCGCCAATCATCCGGAAGCGATTGAGCTGAGAAAGGAGTGCACCAAGCGTGTCAGAGAAGCAGTGCTCCAAGTCCGCCGTTCCCGTGGTCTTCCAGATGAAGATCCCAAGTCTGGCATGGTTGAAACCTGGGTGAGAGAAGGACCGAAGCGCGAAGGGCGTATGGACGATGGGACATGGGTCAAAGACGCGTAGATGCTGCTATCGACGAGCATCTGCTACAGGGTTGAATGCCAGAGGCTCCCGTTGTTGCTGAAGCTGCTTCAAGCGATTCCAATACAGCTGAATAAGAATTGATCATCCTCATAGTATCCGAAAGACGGGCATTCCTCGACCTGGGTATCTATTTGGACCGGATTCAAAAGGGGGCGCCATCGCTAATCACTGCGTCCAGGGCCAAACTCAAACACAACCAACCATAGCCAGCCTCATCCCATGCGTGTGAACACCTTTCTCCCATCCACCCACCGGAGTAACCAGATTTCCTATCCGCGATCACCAAAAAATTCCATGCTGTGCCAACTGTCCATGGAGACTCATGATTCCACCGCGACTTGCTGCGAAGCTGGCATGGCGGTAGGGTCTTCGCCCGGACTTGTCTCTGCCCACGAACCCCACAGTCCTCGCTTCGCTCTGATGCGCAAGGGCAATCCAATTGCTTTGTCTCCCTGTTCAACCTTGATCGCATCTTTGGTTGCTAGAACAAGAACTTCAAAGAACATCTTGGTTGCGTCTTCTTTGCTTGTCCGGCCTTCCGGAACAAGTTCTTGTAGTAGGACGGATTTCTTCGCAGGTGATGATGGATGGCTACCACCGGCATCTCCTAGTCGCTCGCGTAACACGTGGACAGCATGTTTCGTGCCCAGTGAGACCGGACCGCTGTCTGCGGGATGGACCAGAGGCATCGTCGTGTCGTCAAAGGTGTCATCTCCTCCACCAAAGATACCTTCTTCATCTTCCCCGGGCACGATATCCTCCAACGCCGGCCCACCTTCGCTCATAAGAGGTTGTGCGCTATCGTCACCGGAAATACCGGCTGTAATTCCTTGACTGGGTTCCTCGATATGCACCCCTTCATCTTCCATGTCATCATCTGCTCGTTCCAACCGTGGCGACTTTTCAAGGTGCTCATCTTCACTAAGCCCGCCCACGCCGCTGTCTCGTTTTCGTTTCAATTGGCCTGACTTTGTAACTGTTTCGAACGAAAGTAGGCCTTGCAATTCTGGAGCCCAATTTCTCGAACGGCCGTCGTTCATGGCGTCAAGGACAAATTCACCATTCTTTTGCATGCTCAAAAGGTTGAGAAGCAGTGGATCTCGTGGGAGGAACGAGGGTGCTTTGAGAATCTTGGTTCTATCCTCCGCCTGGGCTTTGATCTGTTTGTTGTGAAGGACGGTCTCGACGTCAGGAGCGAGTGGCTTCTGCTTCCGGCTTTTCTGATGCACAACAACTTCTTCGACCTCCTCAGCTTCTATGTTTTGGAATGTTCGGTCGAGTTCTCGCAATACTTCTGATCCCGCTTCTGACAAAGGAGATTCAGACTCGCGTACACGTTGTTCGTCCGCCACGGCTTGCCGTAGCTGCAGGGTCTCGTCATCGCCGAATGCAAGTGGCTCATCCTCGGCTATGGAAGGAACAGCCTCGTCATCTCTCGCAGGCAGGTCAGGCTCGTCCATCATTGGGACATCCTCGCCCAGGTCGAGGTGGAGATCATCATCGTCATGGAGAAGGCCTTCTTCGCCAAAAACTTCCTCGGCGCCGTGTTTGGGAGAAGGCGCATTTCGACCAACGTTGATACTCACTGTCGTATCGTCCATTCCTATCTCGTCACGGCCAAAGTCGAGATTCAGGTCGTCATCATCGTTGTACAAAGGCTCCTCTCCCGGAAGCAGCATCGACTGTGTACTGCTTTGCTGAGGATTGAGGGAACTCGTCCAATCTTCATCTGCTTCTTGCGTCTCAGCTCCTGTGATGGCCGGCTGTTGCGTCATGGGATACACGAAATCCATATTGGAAAACAGGTCGTCTATGGTGAGCAATTCAGGCAGATTAAGGTCGACGGCGGTGGTGGCATTAGGAGGCAGGTCGTGGTTGTTGGTTGATTTGAATGTCTTTTAGATGGTCAGTCAGCACGCGTGATGCGTCAATCAAAGGGCAAGCGTACCATTCTGATCTTGATGAGGGCCTCATTGCAGTCATCCAGTAAGTATCGTGCTTTCCGCCCGTAGATTCGCACCACGCCCAACATCAGTTGGCTGGTGAGACGAAGGGCCATCGGTTCATGGCCCTGCTCAACGATTGCAACGACACTGCTTTGGATGTCCGACTGCAGAATCTGCGACTTTGAGAGCTTGCGCTCAACGTTCGACGCGAGCCAGACGCGAGCCAGAGGCCCGGTGGTCGCAAGAAGTTTGGGCGAGTAGAACATCGTGCACTTGGAGAGAGTCACGCGTCAGCGGTGGATCGAAGAAGAGGTCACGCTGGCATGAGTCTGAGGATATGCGACGACGTGGAAAGCGGGAAGTTCAGAGGTCGATTGTTTTGCGACGCGTCGAGTAGTAGTAGAGCTGCCGCGGTGTCAAAAACGAGCCAGTCGCAACAACAGTGTCCGAACGCAAATGTAGAAAAGATGATGGCCGTCTCCCAATCCCAAAAAGCGATGAACGAGAAAGATGAGGACTATGCCAACTCCAAAAGAAGGTGGTTGGTGTGGGTGTGGAAGTTACTTGAGGGAGGTGATGCAGTGATGGCAACGGGATGCGGCAGAGTGGCTGGTGAGCGAGAGGGAAGGGCAATAATACCGTAATTTGTATGAGTGCTGGGCGTAATGCTGTCTGAGCGCAGGCGGGTGCCCGGTGCCTCTAGGTATGGCGGTGATGGTAGACCACGCTAAATGCAACATTAACGGTCAATGCCAAAGTGTAAACCAATAAGCAGTGTTATCCAGTTACTAGTGATGGCTAGGTGGTTGTTAGTCTGCTTTAGTGTTCTGAACTCTGCCCTCCCGCCATACTAAGCGCCGCGCGCCCTGTCCTGGATTTCGGGACACCTTCCCCTTCCCTGAAATCGACAAGCCTCGCTGCAGCTGTCAGGGATCGAGGCGTACAACTGGAATCCCGCGTGGAAAGATCCCAATTTTGCCTCGAAAAGACTTAGGTACGTTGTACAGTCTCTAATAGAGTGACTGAAGAAGTCATCTCTCACGCCTTAGAAATCCCTTCATAAAATCTCGCGTTCAGAAAGAAACCCGTCGCTTCAGGCCCACCATTGACCATTGCAACAGTGTCTAGACGTACATTGGCATCCGACCACTTGTCTCCATTTCCACCGCTCCCCAGCGTCGTCAAAGTGTCACTGGAGCATGGAGCAGCATCGCAACAGATAGCACCATGCAATCATGTCAACATTATCCGTACCTGCGCTGCCTTTCGTCAAGCCAGACTCCTCCCCAAAGCGAGCGCGAAGCCCTGCGCCGTATGCAGACACGTTCACCTCAATAACCTCCTCTTATGCTCTTCTCAGTCCCCAGCAGACCGCCGACAGGTTACAAACCTCTCTCACTCATGGACTGTCTCAAAGCGAGGCGCAGGCCAGATTAGCCAGGGACGGTCCAAATGAACTACCACATGAAGAGGAGGAACCTTTGTGGTTAAGGTTTTTGAAGCAATTTAAGGAGACACTGATACTCCTGTTGCTTGCCTCGGCGGCCATCTCGTTGTTTATTGGCAACAAGGATGACGCGGTCAGTATCGCACTTGCGGTTACCATTGTCGTCACCGTTGGTTTTGTTCAAGAGTACAGGTCTGAGAAGTCCCTGGAGGCGTTGAACCGCCTCGTGCCTTACCATGCTCATGTCCGGCGGACTGGGCTGCGGCCGTGGATGCAAGCCTCGAGACTCCCTATTCCGGAAGACGAAATTGAGCTAGAACCTTTAAGCAATGGTTTAACATCCGAGGACAAAACGTCTGCTACCATCCCTGCCTCACAACTGGTGGTGGGCGATCTGGTCATCTTTTCCACTGGCGACCGCATTCCAGCCGATATCAGAATCACACGGTCGTCTGAACTGACCATCGACGAGTCCAATTTAACCGGCGAAAATGAGCCCGTGGAGAAGCATGCCGCAGCCCTTGATAGAGCCGCTCCTAGCTTCGCCCACCATGGGACTCCGGAGCCCCTGAATGCCGCCGGCACCGTTGGTGCAGACGTGCGTTTGAATGACCAGCACAATATCGCATTCATGGGGACATTGGTCAGATCGGGCCACGGAGAAGGCGTGGTGATCGCGACAGGAGGGAATACCGAGTTTGGTACGATTTCTTTGTCGCTGCAAGAGATCGAGGCACCTCGAACCCCTCTACAGCAATCCATGGATCTCCTCGGAAAGCAACTCAGCTACATGTCATTTGTTGTCATCGGCATCATCATGATAATCGGGCTTCTGCAAGGCAAGAAACCGCTGGACCTCTTTACTATTGGGGTGTCCTTGGCTGTTGCTGCGATCCCTGAAGGATTGCCAATCATTGTTACCGTCACCCTGGCTTTGGGCGTACTGCGTATGGCGAAGCGCGGCGCAATTGTGCGGAAACTGCCCAGCGTTGAGACCCTTGGATCGGTAAACGTAGTATGCAGTGACAAAACAGGGACGCTAACTATGAACCACATGACGGTCACGGAAATGTGGCACTTTGATATGCCAAAGCCCTTTGGCGTCGACACCAGTGCGGAACCAAGTGCTGCTACCAGGGCTATTCTCCGAATCGGGAATATCTCCAACAACGGTCGACTGTCGCACACGACCTCCGGAACTCCAGCAACTGCAGCCTCTGCTGCTGTTCTTTCCTCAACTAGAGACCGTTCGTCCACGAACACCAGAAGCAGATGGTTGGGACAACCCACCGATATTGCGATGCTGGACCTACTAGATGCCTTTGGAGAAGATGATATCCGGGAACAAATCGGCCATCGAACCGCTGAAACCCCCTTCAGTTCGGAGAGAAAATGGATGGGTGTGGTCATAGGGAATGCGCTTGGAGAGCTCGCAAACGACCATGGTACCAGCACTGAGACGGCTTACATCAAAGGTTCCATCGAACAGGTTCTCAGTCGCTCCGACACTTATTTGACACGCGACGGCCAGGAGGTCATTCTTGATGAGACTCGTCGTCAACAGGCCCTCGCAGCTGCCCAGACAATGGCTGAAGAAGGCCTCCGAGTCATTGCTTTCGCAAGTGGCGTTGTCAGGAACAAGCAGAGGCAGCCCAGCAGAAGCCCGACTCCGTCACGCGCTGACAAGAAGCCTGAGGAGACGGATATCTTCCAAGGCTTGTGCTTTGCAGGCCTGGTCGGGATGAATGATCCTCCTCGCAAAGATGTGCACCGGTCTATCAGGCGGCTGATGTCCGGAGGTGTCAAGGTCATTATGATCACTGGCGACGCAGAAACCACGGCCGTAGCTATTGCGAAGAATCTAGGCATGCCGATCAATCAAGGCTCGTCGGCTTCAAGATCGGTTCTTCGAGGTGATGAGCTTGATCGCATGTCGGAACAGGAACTGGCAGAAGCTATCGGCAAGACGACCGTATTTGCTCGGACCAGCCCGGACCACAAAATGAAGATTATTCGGGCTCTTCAAGCACGAGGAGATGTCGTTGCCATGACAGGTGATGGAGTAAATGATGCTCCCGCGCTCAAAAAGGCCGACATCGGAATTGCGATGGGAATGCTAGGAACTGACGTGGCGAAAGAAGCTGCAGACATGATATTGACTGATGACGACTTTTCTACCATTCTTAGAGCCATCGAGCAGGGCAAAGGCATCTTTTACAACATCCAGAACTTCATCACCTTCCAATTAAGCACGAGTGTTGCAGCCCTGACACTGGTCCTGCTAAGCACGATGTTTGGCTTCAAGAATCCGCTCAATGCTATGCAGATTCTTTGGATCAGTAAGTTTACCTTGTCAGCTTATCTTCCAACAACGATTAACCTCAGTTCTAGACATTCTCATGGATGGACCGCCCGCGCAGTCACTTGGCGTTGAACCGGTCGATCCTCGGGTTATGACCCAGCCTCCGAGGCCCCGTAACGCCAACGTGCTTACCAAACGTCTCATACGCCGTGTCCTCACGTCTGCTTTCATCATCATGATAGGAACGTTGACGGTATACATCCATGAAATGGCCGTTGTCGATGACCCATCCGCTGGGGTTACTGATGACGGCGCTCCTCTTCGCACTCGCATGGTCACCAAACGAGACACAACCATGACCTTTACGACCTTTGTCCTATTCGACATGTTCAATGCACTCACCTGCCGTTCCGAGGCTAAGTCGGTCCTGTTTGGCGAGATCAAACTCTTTGGGAACAAGATGTTCAACTACGCTGTAGCTGGCAGTCTGGCTGGACAGCTCTGTGTCATATATTTGCCATTTCTGCAACGTGTCTTCCAGACCGAAGCCTTGGGCCTGGGAGATCTCTTAGCGCTTGTGTGTATAGCAAGCACTGTTTTCTGGGCGGATGAATTTCGGAAGTGGATCGAGCGCAGGAGGGCAGCCGGATACTTGCCCAGTGTTGGGTATTCGGCCAGTGTATAGACATGTCGAACCATGGTTTGGCGGCACGATTCACTGCATGTGTGCGACCTTGCTGCCTATGCAGGTATATGTTGATTTCTTGTACGTTAGAAGGACGGCAACAAAAGCGTCGGCTGTTTACAGTAGGGCACTGGAGTACGATAATATCAGTTTGGCAATGGTCCCCACCAATGTCGTGCGTGATACAAGGCTCCGTCCATAGCTCTGTCTGATTGGCTGCGTAACTGGAACCCAATGGAAAGGCTCGCAATCACGAATTTAGGTGATTCATCCATTGCATTGTCGGCGACGAAGGAACAACAGCACGATAACACATACGTATCCGATATTTTGTTCTCGTTGACTACAGCTTCCTACACATTCGAGCTCTTGAAAGAGGCGCTTGCCGGCCTACGTAGAGGGCAACTCCCAAGCTGGTGCTGGGGCTGATTATCAAAGATTGAGTAATTTACAATTATATTCTCCGAAACCGAAGTCGAGTATCGACATCAAAGACTCAAACAAGCCAGCCAGACGACGTTGACAGGGCGTAATCGTTAGCTCGCGTCTCTCAAATTTCTCTCTACTTTTTTTTGACATCGACGCACAACTTGGACCTCGAGTACAACACAGAGAATGGGAGGACCCAATGCTCCACGAGAACCGTACGCCGGGCCCGAGAGTGGCCCTGAAACACCTTTCCCGATCAAGCTGTATGGACCGGTAATCAAGGGCTTTGGACGCGGCAGCAAAGAGGTAAGTAAACTAAGCTTCCCACTCCAACGTGGATTTAATATCCCCTTGACTGGCATTGCGTACGAGGTTGAGCTTTCCTCACGTGCCTCCGCATGAGTCAAGAGCCAAGCTGGCCTGGAAGAAGAGTTAAGCAAGCAAGCACCCAGTCATAGAATGGGGCTGCGCCAACACGCAAAGAGAAGCCCGCTCTGTGGCCCAGAGGGAGAGAGGCATGGCGATGTAGACCCAGACCGGCTTTCGGGCGCAGAAGAGCAGGAGTTGAGCGTCTGGTCGGTCGTCGGTTTCGAGCCGTGCTTTCCTGTCAGAGGCCAGATTCGGAGTGGACGCTTCTGACGCCATGGACATGGCAGCACTGCCTGTTTCTTTTTCTGCCGTCTGTCTCGACAGAAATATGAGTGTCCCATTTCATGCGGTGGATTTTCTCGTTACACCCTGGCACCCCATGACCGACGCACTCCCTGGCACAACTTGACCATCTCGCGGAAAAAGAAAGCAACGAACGTGCTGACTTCTGGATTCTCTGCTACAGCTCGGCATTCCCACCGCCAACATCCCGCCGGAAGGACTCGCGTCGTACCCTTCACTCGAGTCCGGCGTGTACTTTGGCTGGGTTGGACTGTCAATATCCCCCGACACGCCGTCCAGTTCGACCCAAATCTACCCGTCCGTATTGAGCATCGGATACAACCCATTCTACAAGAACACTGTGCGCAGCGTCGAAATCCACATCCTGCACGACTTCGACTACGACTTCTACGGCGCCGCGCTGAACCTGCTCATCCTGGGCTTCATCCGGCCCGAGTACGACTATGTCTCGCTCGAGGCCCTTGTCCAAGATATCAAGACCGATTGTGAGGTCGCCCGGCGGAGTCTACAGAGACCGGCGTATGAAAAATTCAAGGACGAACCGTGGCTGAAGGACTTTGACTGGATGAAAACCACTGACACGGCGAAAGTGGAAAAGGAGATTCTGAGGAAAGAATGACATTCCCGCCAAACCTGTTAGAAGGATCGCTCGAAGGTTCCGGGCCGCTTGAATGGTGGATGAGCATGCCAGGCGTCCGAGAAATCCCATGAATATGTCGGATATGTGAAAGTCTCGGGACTTCACTGAAGGCTCAATCACAGTTCTTCAGAAAGTATAGATCAGACTTAGATAGACTTCTGGATGTGCCTCCCACACATTTGCCATCCATTCTTCCAGTAGATAGTGCTCTTAACCAGTAACATCAAGCCGCCTGACGAACCCTGCTCGCTGACTTGCCAGGAAAATTCATCCACAAAAAGCCCTGTACACACCGAAGCCTCAAAATACCGACATTTTCCCATGCTCATACTCATAAACCCTGTTCTGTTCACAGAAAAACCCCCACGCGCGCATAACAAAAACAACCACAAAACATTTTGGGCCTATATACAAGGCAGAAACTACCACAAGTTAGCACTCAATAAGGGGTAATCAGACGGTGGGCACTCACATTCATCACAATAAGCATGGGGATATCAAAAACATCTCGCTTGACCGTCCAGCAATATGTGCATTCCACCTTGCCATCCGCAGAGCCCAGCTTCTGCATTCCCTTTTCGCCGGAAATCCCATCCCTCTTCAAGTCGATTTGCCGCTTAGCAAGGGTGTTCTCAGGACGACGGGGGTCTCCACCATTGGTTTGTCGCCCATCGTCGTTATGCCCATCGACCTCCGCATTGAAATTCTGGGCAAGCTCGTCTTCCTTGGTCCGATATTTGAGGAGTTTCCCTCTCCCCATTACGCTGCCACGGCTGTCTCCGAATGCCAGCCTGGCAAAGTCTTCATAAAATTGAACAACCGAATCGTCATCGAGAAATTCGGCCAGGAAAACAGGCTGTGCTCGCTTCTCGTCAGTCCCTGCATCTTGGCCACCAGCGCGTGTCGGCGTGTTGAAGCCTGTCGCCCGTGCAGTGGTGGTGCCGGATCCTCCTGCAGGCGTCTGACCAGACTGGCCCCTATTCACATTGAGGTTCGGAGCTCGGCCCAAGAGGACGCTTTTTGTCCAGCCGGTCAGGATTTGGAACTCTTTTCCCACCGCAGCAACTTCTCCCGTTCTTCTAGCGACAATTGTTGGCGTACCCACGCCCTCAATGAATCCTTCGTACTCCCATAAAGTCCTTTGAAAACACTTTTCCATGAAAATAAGATCTTCGCGGTTCAAGGTCTTGTTCGTGGCGATAAATGATGGCCGAATTGAGGCCAATGACTTAGCGATGGCGAGAGTCTTTGAGGGCTGTGTGGCGAAGCGTTTCTGCAGGTATGCGATACAACGGTGAAAGCCAGCAGTGTACGGGTGAGGACTGGTCACCGTCGTATAGATGGACGATGGATCTCGCGGCCGCTTCATATTCTTGGTTGGTAGCTGGGACTTGGCCTTTAGCTGGGGAGTAGATATGGTGGGAGGGACCCGGTTGCGTTGGTCAGCATTGTTGGAAGACTGGTTGTTGGTCACTCCGTCAAGGCCGGTCTGAGGAGCCTGGATCGCTGAGCCTGTCAGCATAGGGGAGTCGTCAATCCTGCCGGCACCGTTCGATGGTGTGCCATTGGTGTCCGGAGAGGTCCAGTGCGCGGCACTTGACTCTATCGCAAAAGCGTTAGGTACCATGGACCGCCCGAGAGTGTTGTAGGCGTCATTTCCGTTTGACCAATCAGGCATCATTGTGTCACCATAGAACTGTTGCCGAGCTGTCGGGCTTTCACTGAAACTTCCTAAAGGCATCCGATACTGCTGCGACATGGACCCTCTGTGTGTGGCACTGTCGCTAGGAGGGGTTTCACCAGCATTGGTCGCCATATGTCCCAGCATCCCAAACTCGAGAGCACCGTAATGGTTGCCGAAATTCATGCTGGCGAGGTCGAAGTTGAACATGGTCGGGTCATCGAACAGCGCCCCTGGCCATGCAGTGTTGCCCATAGTGTTGGCTGATGCGTGATCGTGGCTAACAACTGGGCTCTGCAACGGCACTTGTGACCCAACACTGGTGAAATTAGTGCTCAAGGGTGATTGCTGAGGAAAACTCGTCGCGCTCATGCTTCGCTCATGCAGCATCGGCGGAGGCATCTGCGAAGGCGTGTGGAAGTTGTTGAAAGACTGCGGTTGTTGGAAGAATGGCTGCTGCGACGACGTATCACTGGCGATTGTCGAACTTCGCTTGTTCGCTGGATGATTGAAGAGATTCCCTCCGACACCTGGCATGAGTGCCTCATTGGGCGCATCGTGGAGATACTTGGCCTTCTTCCTCACTCCATCCTGGCAGGCATCCTGGAGGCCACGTTTGATACATCTTTGGCACGGTCGCTCGTCACCTGTGGGAGTGTCAGCAGAGAATCCTGATTCGTCGGCCGGTCGGACTGCACATAGCACATACCGCACGTCAAATGAGCCCGTTGACAAGCGTAACATGCTCTTCGTGCCTTCTTCCTTCTGGGTCGGGAAGGATCTTTGGCATTGGTGGACGGTGTCCCATTCGCTTGTTTCGGCTTCTCGTCCTTGGTTTGCGGTTCGGCCATATCATTAGCAACTTGCTCCGTTGCACTGTCGTCGGGAGAGGCCGAACGAGAGCGGCCATCTTCGACATCTGAGGCCGTCATATTGTTATAAGCAGACCATCAATCGCTGCCAGAACATGCAGGCCGTGAAGTGCCTTGCACAGAGAACGCCAACAGTGTCACCGCACCCACAAAGCGTCTGGCCTGGCTTGAAACCCTGTGGAGTGGCTGCGTGCATTTAAATCTTGGTTTCGAGACAAGGCCCCTCTTGCGTGCAGAATCACGTCAACCTCTGTGTCCAGCTGGCTTGCGTGGCCCGCTACAGTGGATCGAGTCTTTGGATTACTACCTTGAGTTGAGGCACCCCAAACGAACCCGGTGAATGAGGTCGCCAGTCTTGTATGACAGCGGCGCAAGACCCGGAGCCCAGCAGGCAAGGGTTTGGCTTTCCAAGGTAGCCTACGCGAAAAGTGGTTGGCGAGTAATGCAGTGCGACCCTCGTAAGGTGTAACAGAGGTAGTTGATCTTTCAGCACTTTTGTTGGCGATACAGCGATGACAGGCGCCGCTGTGACCCCGGCCAGTCGAGAGCGTGTCGCGCAGGTGGGACGGGGACCGAGAAGAAATACTCCGTCGATGAGAGCGAACCAGGGGGATCTGCGTCTCGAGTACGATGACTTTGAGGAACCCGGATGAGTATGGAATGTAATTAGGCCTTGAGCATTACGGTGTCGGTATCGGACTGCGTTGGCGGAGGCTTGGGTGCGATTGTACCAGGCGTCGTGAGAATGCGGAGTCGAAGCGAGTCGGCGGCGGAGGGGAAACCCGTCAACAATGGCGGGCGCATCAGGGACTCTTGCTGTCTGGCAATGGACGCATAAGCGACGTGAACTGTCGGAGGATGCAGTGCGAGAAGGCGAGGGTACAGGTATACAACAGTATTGAGCGGGTCGAGGAGGGGAGAGGTGAGTCGAGTGTAGTAGCAGCAGTTGAGTGCAGGCGAGCATGAGGGACGCGGACTGTGATGGCGACACACACTCGAGTCGGGCTTCGGCCCTCAAGTTGTGGGTTGTGGGAGGATCTTCCTGGTACTTGCAGTGGCCGACATTAGGCACCGACCAGGCCCATTCAAGCCTAGCACAGCCGAGGACCAGAGCTGAGGGACCTAAGGGCACGTAAGCCTCATCTATAGTGGGGCTCTAGTTTGAAGACAGTTAGTCGCTCGATCTCTCGCAGACATTATTCGTCCAGCTCTCATCGGGCGCAGCTGCTCCTCCATTCATGGCTGGTCGAACTTCAATTACTGAACCGCCATAACGAATCCAAGACTGCTAGCGGTGTCTAGTGTTTGTGATTGTACTGGTAGCAGCACACCTGCAGTTTGCAGGACGAGCTCGCTTGGCCCCCAGATCCAGACCCCACAAACCCGGAATTGCCCCTAGACACGGATAGCGACCGCCTGGAGGGTGAAGGCAGCGACCCAAAGAGACAGCGAGATGTTGACCCTGTACCGGGCTCAGGGCGCAGGATACACACAGGAACTACTGCCAGCAACTGTGCGGCTAGGTAATCAGGTTCTGTCTCGACAGTATGTATCCGTATGCCCATGGGGGACTACCACAATGTACAGTACCTGGGGAGCTGGGTACCTTTGGGCCGGGCTAGAAATCGATCTGCCGCCCTCTTGCATACTTCTACGGCAGTGTACTTTGATTCTGGCTGTCGGGCTTACAACGGAGCAAGGTCTGTTCAGTCTCTCTCAATCCGCTTTTCAATAATAATAATCATTTACCACACGAACCCTGCCAATCGACCATCAGTACTCCGTGGGCGGCGGACGAACATGTGAGGCTGTAAGCCGCACCTCGGCACTCCGGCCCCTCACCGCCGTAAGGCTTCCCGACTTTACCCGACAATCTCGGTCCCTTACGGCAGAGGCTCGACATTCAGGCTGGCAGGGGTGATTATATGCTGTGTAGAAACAACTTCACCTGAACCAACTCTAGGTGCCGATCATGATTGTATAATGCTGTCAACGTCCATGTTCAACCAACAAGGCATAGACTTCGTTACATTGTTACCACTATGTAACAGACTCGTGCCGAAGGACATTGTACGGTGAACCTGTCCTGACCGCTGCCCGATGGTCCGGAGAAGCGACTTCACACGTGCTGCCACAAGTCCTGCCTTCCTTTCTGTTTTGACACCCTTGTGTAGCCTCTAACCACTCCAACCTGTGTGACAGTAACCGCTTGAAGTGAACCATATCACTCGGGTCTCTTCCCGGTAATGTATGTTGGCATCGAGGCTGCAGAGCCAAGTACTGACCGCAAACCTGACGCCACGCCGTCCAACAAACCTGCACGACATCAAATAGCACGGTAGTGCCACCCAACTGCTGTTAATCTCCAATGCCAACAACACAGGGAGGCAAGTCCTGGCAAGCATTGGCCCTGTAGGTCATCGATAGCTCCTCCATCATGATATCTGCTTTTTACGGTGCTCTCCACCGCCACTATATTGCAAATATGCACATCCGGCCTGCAATGCAAGTCGTTGTTCGCTTACAACTATCGTGAGATGAAAGCAAACCCGGCCCGATCGGTATGATGCTCGCAACTGAGTAAATGCAGGGGGAATCGGACGCCAAAGAATGGATATGACCCGTCGAGATCTCCGCTGGTACCTGCAGGACGAGGCGCACAGTTCTGCAAAAGGAAGGATAAGTGGTTCCCCACGAATCATTTCGCCCAAATTCACGGCATATGTGTAAACCTGCTCTTCTGCCGGAGTCTTTTGCCGTAGATGAAGAACAAATAGGGGAAAGGCGCCATGGCTAGACAGAGGAATGCCAATAGCGTCGTTGCCCAGTGGTAATTGAGTGTCTTGTACATCTGGAGTCCGAAAAGGGGGAAAGCCCCAGCAAAGGAGCTGCGTGCGAAAGAATTGGCCGACAGGGCACTGGCAGCATACAAGGGATATGCTTCGACGAGAAAAGTGAAGACGCCCGAAAAGGTGAGGATGGTACCAAACCCAAAAAAGGAGGTGGCAATGATAGGCACAATCCAGTGGATCCGGGCATAAATCGTCCATGCAAACCAGAAGAGGCCTACTACACAAAACCATGGTCCGACAATTGATGGCGGGAGTCGGAACTCAGGCTCGGATTTGCGTTCACCCGTCGCCTCTTCCCGAGTCCGCAGGAGCCGCAGGTAGTTGCGATGCCAAATAGGGTCCGAGGCGATTGCCAACAGCATGCCGATCGTGAGTCCGAGAAAGGAGAGGCCAACTTGCCATAAGTTGAAGCCGTAGACCGTGCTAAACACGAGATTAAAAGCCCCGAAGAATAGGTACAATATCCCCAGGAGAATGGAGGACAGCAGACACAGATTGAAGCACATTGGCTCCATGAAGAGGAGCATGAAGGGCCGATACAGCGACCTTACCACTGTCCAGAAGATCGACCTCTCCATGATCTCAATCGGTGCCTTCCATCGTTCATCTCCGGTCTCCTTGCGCTTGCGCCGCGCTTTTGTCCTCAGAAGCACCGGCATGTACGTCTCAGGCACGAACAAAGTGATGCTGACCAACATCACCCCGGACCAGATCAGGAGAACGTAATATGACCATCGCCATGAGGTGTTGTAATTGATGAATCCTCCAATGATGGGCCCTACGCCCGGTCCGATAAAAGGCGACGCCGTGTACACCATCATAGGAGCTTGAAGCTGATCACGGTTGAACATATCGCCGACTGTGCCACCCGCCACAGACAAGAATGCACTTCCAGAGAAACCGTCCAGAAATCTTGCGATCAACATGGTCTGAATGTTCTGGGACGTCGCGCATGGGATCAGCCATATGGTGAAAAAGACATAAGCCAGGATGTATATAGGGCGCCGGCCATAGAATTCGGAAAGTGGACCAAGAATCATCGGAGACAAGCCTAGACCAAAGACAAAAAGTGACAGGCCGAGTGTTGCGACAATGCGAGAATTTCCAAACTCCGCATCCATCTTTCCTGTCGAGCAGTGAGCATATCAGAAGCGTTATCTGCCAAGAAACGACATGGCCGTACCATATGTGGTTGTATACAGTGAGGATGTGCAAGTCACACACAAGGACCCAAAAGCCAACGTTATCACGATCAGCCATTTCCTGCCTTTGCTCATGTTCTTGGGATTCATCGGGTCGTCAGGCCCATCCCAGCCGACCTCGAATGCTTTTGCGGATGAACCCTCCACGTCCACGATTTGTGCATCGATGTCCGCGTCCTCTTCATCTCTTTCGGATATGTATGTGCTGTGGCCATCGACATAGGATCGAGAAGAGCGGACAGTCGGTGCAGCCTGGCTGCGGCGCGACGAGATTGGGGTCAACCCCAGCGCATGGTGCCCTTGAGCTTCCAAACTCAGTTCCTCCTTTTCCCGCTCATTCATTTGGTTGTCCGCCATTTTTGAGAACCGTAATTATACTGCAGGTAAATGGTATCATCGACAGAAACGTGGGCATTCGAACATATCCACCAAATCCACACTGTTGATAAGTGCTAGCCAGAAGCCATATGCGCGTACTTTCCACCCTATCCCTCTAATCTACACCCTGCGGCCTGGAACTCCTGGTAGAAAATTGGAATAGAAATACGGACGCCATCGGCACGGTGATGACAAGGAGCGCATCTTCGGCATTGAGAACCGTTTTACACTTCGAAGGTTAGTAGAGTGGCCATAGTGGAGATCGATGTACGAAGAAGCATTGACTTGTTGGTGGATTTCTTTGAGTCGGGGATAAACACCGGCAATCATGGGCGGAAATTTCCCGGTCACGTCATGCAGGGCCGGGTTGCCTTGTACGACCTTCCATTCTTCCACTGCACCGCGCCTTAACTCCGTGCAAAAGGAGCAGAGTAAGATAAAATACCCTTTGTCAGCGACAATTCTGACAAATACGATATCACTTAATATCGCAGCTTACTGCTGGACAGTCCCTTCACAGTCGCCTTTTGCAATACACCAATTGAGGGAAAGGCGGTGAGCGATGGTTGATAGGGCACCGAAGGTTTCACATTGTGAAATATAGTACAATATCAATCGAACGTCTGAACGTCAGGCATTCGGCCCAGGCCACTTCCTTTGCTCCCCGGAGCAGCCTGTACATCTTCCAACACGCCACCAGCACTTCTTTCTCTCACATGTTTTCTAAGCATGGCCAAAATCTCGCTGTCCTTCCACCGTTGCGGTACTGGTCTGTAAGCGGGTTTGAATGTGCCAACGGTCTGAGCCCACTCTCCACTTCTGGGGGCTCCTTGTCTCCAAGCATCCTTCTCTTGAGCTTTGGCAGGATTTGGAGGCGCAGCGGGCTGAGTCGTGTTGCTCTTCATATCATTCTTTGCACCCTCTGCGGACTCAAGCGACGTCGGAGTATTTGCGGGTGATTGGGTCGCCCAGTAGTAGATGTCCCAGTCGTTCTCGTCAAGGAATTGATCGTATTGCTCGAGCTGCGACTTGCTCATGGAGGGAAGATTCTCGGCTGCGAATGTGGAGAGTAGGAGATCAGATTCTAATGTTCCCCGCTTCCTGCTTTGGTCTGGAATCCAAGTCAGTATGCGTAATGCTCAGCGCGACATTTCCCATGTTGCGTAGGTTTGTATAAGATGCGTGCACGAACATAATAGCCTCGCTCTCATGGTTGCGAGGTCTTCCCCCGTTCGACGTAGAGGTTCGACCCGAAATGAGATACCCTCCAATTCACCAACGCCAAAGTCTGACGCGCTTACTTTACTAGGGTCTCCTGGCTGCGTTCCTCCCGTCATCCTTTCTGTATTCTCAGGTACTCGATCTTTGGGCACGTAATTCGGATCGACTGAGCTGATCAGGTCCGGTGGAGGATTGTGTTCGCCCACCGTTGGCATGTCATTATTCACAGCAGGGTTGGTTCCGGTCAAATGGGGATTATCTGCCTTTTCTTTCTGATATTTTCGGTGCTCCTCTGCGGTCGAATGTGCTCTGTCGGTGAAACGCGAGGCGGAAGAGGAAATGAGGCGCTGCGGGCTTGAAAGGGCCAGGTGGCGACCCCTCAAGGTCCGGACTAGCATGCGGGTTGGATTCATCATGTTCAAAATCGGATGACAGGAATATGTTGGCGATTGAGAAAATGAGCCAGGTGTGATACAGTATGAGATGTATCGCAGGTGAAGCGTTGTAGATATTTGCTCGAGAATATTGACATCATTCGGCCGCGCCGCTTCGATGAGCCAATCAAAGCCGCCGCATCTCAACTCAACACCACCTCACGGGATGAGCTAGGACGATGGCCAAAATGTATGTGATCGTTGGTAGCATCCTCCTGATGAGGATAGATACTAGGCATTTAGTAAGTAGAGAAGATCCTCACGAAAAGGAAAACAACATCGAGCCAAATCCAGCTGTACGAAATGATGTAAGAGGACTTTAACAAAATAGTATATTTATTCTATCGAGAGTGATGACTAACCGCCACTTCAACCCTGGCTTATCGACCAGCTACTCTCATTCAAGCCGTCGAAAACATGAATAGAGAATCTGAGAGATTGCAGCTGAGATCAAGCCAGACTGCTCGCACATCTTTGGGACTCTACTTGTCCGATGAGACTGTGGACTCAAAGAATGCTCCGCCGGTTGCGGAAATGCAGTGAAGTCTGAAACATATGCACTTCGAGTCTGAAAGCGCCGCCGGAGGACTTGGCGCGTTGCCAAGATTCGGGGCACTTTTCGATGCCACACAAGAGCTTTTGGCCGATCGCATCGTTACCTCGACTGCGGCCTTCAATTCTACAAGAAAAAAGGTCATCCCAGCATTCCCAGCTTCGCTCCGACCGGATCCTCAAGTCACCATGGCTGAACAACTTATTCAACGTGGTACCCTTGAAGGCCACAGCGGCTGGGTTACCAGTCTCGCAACCAGCTTGGAGAAGTCAGTCTTGCCCGCGGCGGCAGCGGCCAAACCAAACCCAGCGCATTTTCGCTAACTACGATTCTAGCCCTAACATGCTGTTGTCCGGCTCGAGAGATAAGACCCTCATCGTCTGGAACCTGACCCGCGACGAGACTGCCTACGGATACCCCAAGCGATCCCTTCACGGTCACTCGCACATTGTCTCGGACTGTGTCATTTCCTCCGACGGCGCATATGCCCTTTCCTCCTCGTGGGACAAGACCCTGCGCCTGTGGGAGTTGTCTACCGGCAACACCACCCGAACTTTCGTCGGCCACACCAACGATGTCCTCTCCGTTTCTTTCTCCGCCGACAACAGACAGATCGTCTCCGGATCGCGAGACCGAACCATCAAGCTGTGGAACACCCTGGGAGATTGCAAGTACACAATCACCGACAAGGGTCACACCGACTGGGTCTCGTGCGTTCGTTTCTCGCCAAACCCGCAAAACCCGGTCATTGTGAGCGCTGGCTGGGACAAATTGGTCAAGGTAAGGAAACTCCACACACTCCGAGGCATGCCCAAGATGCTACGCAGAAAAATAAGTATTTGCTACTTCAGAGCCCTTTGGGCGATGAGACAAACATTCACCGGCGGACTGAGGCAGAGTCGTAAATGTTGCTGCTGTTTTTACCTGAGGTCTTTGGCGAGACGCACCGCTGACATTGGTCATAACAGGTCTGGGAATTGGCTTCCTGCCGTCTGCAAACTGACCACATTGGTCACACCGGCTACATCAACACCGTCACCATCTCCCCCGATGGCTCGCTGTGTGCATCCGGCGGCAAGGACGGCACCACCATGCTCTGGGATCTCAACGAGTCCAAGCATCTCTACTCCCTCCAGGCCGGTGACGAAATCCACGCCCTTGTCTTCTCGCCCAACAGATACTGGCTGTGCGCCGCTACCACCTCCTCCATCACCATCTTCGACTTGGAAAAGAAGAGCAAAGTTGACGAGCTCAAGCCTGAGTACATTGAGAAGGGCAAGAAGTCTCAAGAACCATACTGTGTCAGCTTGGCCTGGAGTGCTGATGGCCAGACTCTGTTCTCTGGCTACACCGACAACAAGATCCGTGCCTGGGGAGTTATGTCACGAGCATAGAGTGGGAAAGCAGTCACCAAGGAGAGGCAGAAGAAGAATCAGGGGGCCCTGTATCGGCAAGTTGAGGTACCTGCCGTGAACAAAATGTGTTTGTGCCATAGCCACCTCTCTCGGTAGGACCGGTGGATGGACGGAGCCGGCGCATTTGGTGGTGTGCTTGTGCTACAAAAGTTAGCATGAGACTAGCACGAGGAATGATCAGTGTTCAAAGCCAGCCGCGTTCGAGTCCTCATTTATTGCCGTGATTCTACCTCAGTTGCGTTCTTTGATCATGTTGCGGGCCCTGACGCGCTCCTCGAGCTTTAGCTTGTCGGCAAATTCGCCTCCGAAGTTGACCGATTCCTCCCATTCTTCCTCGTCCATGTTCATGATCATGCAGATTTGGCTGCATCTCAAGAAAGCTTCTCGGAAGCTGTACTTCTGTCCCTTGACCACCACTTTGATAATTTCGTTGACATCGTGTTCCAGTCGTGCTGCCCCGAACTCGTTGATGCGACCGTGATAGGTCCAAAGCCGTTTCTCCAGCATTTTGCTGAGATATGTGACGACGGTGGTTAAGAGCTGATCGAAAGTCCGTTCCGTCATGATTCGCCGAATAGGCTTCGTCAGCGCATCCCAGCCCGTCTGGAAGCGCATACGGACTTCGTCCGAAAAGCCATCGGTTTCGCCGTCACCATCCATGTCCTGAGAAAGCTCTTGTAGTTGCTCTTTTGTCATTTGATAGTCCGTGTCGCGGAACGCGTCCATCAGGATAGGCCGAAGCCTTGGTTTCATCACATTGTGGAAGACAACGTTCACGCCATCCGATATAAGCTCGTTTGTCTTCTCAGAGAAAACGGTCGTGAAAGATTTCAACAAAGCCGAAACTTCCTCGGCTTCGCCCGGCTGCGGGAAGAGGTCTTGCAGTGACTGATGAATAGATCCTGCGGGCGGATCAAGGCGTGTGCGCACGATTTGGTCCACGTAGTCTTTGGCGACGTCGAGATTATTGATCAAAACGAGAAATGACACAATTGTTGCTTCGGGCGGCAGTTGACCCTGGATCGCAGCCTTTGGATAGCTTTCATCGCGCATCTTACGCTGCTCCATACCGATAAAGTCGGAGCCTAGAACTCTGCCAAGTGTCTGCAGGACATTGGAGACGACTGCTTTCTGCGAGGTGGCCAGTGATTGTTGGAGAATCTTGTTGACAATGTACATGATGTCTTCAATGGCTGATGTGACATGAGGCGGGTTAGAGTTTAACGGCTTGTTGGGGTTGAGCGACAAATCCGGCGGCTGTTCGTCCAACTGGAAGGCTTTCTCGACAGAACGCCGGAAGAAGAACGTTGTCATGGCATTGAATGGTGAGATGAGCTTGTCGTGCACTTTTTTCATCAAGCCAGAATTGACCAGAAAAGGAGGCATCTTTTGCGGTTCGTCGTCGACTGTGGCTCCGTGGCACTTGGCCGCAACGAATCTGGTGTAGAGCGACCATTTACCGAGCATGATTGTCATCTCATTAAGCAGTGCGTCTACTTGTTTCATGTCAACGGATTCATCCTCGCTCGTTCTGCCCGGAGCTGGAGAACCGGCACGAGGGGTTCCGGATGCTGTTCGCTGGGTGGACATGAAACTTTGAACGAGAAAAGTGAACGCATATGATCTGATTTCAGTCAGATGTCGATCGATCCTCCGGTCGTCAGCCCATGTATCCAAAATAATTCCGCCTTGCAGATCTGCCTCGACCTGTAACCGTTCGATGACCCTCGCCATCTTCCCTGGGCCATAGTGACGTTCGACCAGTCCGCCATGTCCTTCGATAATCTGAGCAATATGCTCAAACAGCCTTGCCAGTGCGTTGGCGTAGAAGAAATCATCTTTACTTTGGTTTCCACCTGTCCCAGCATTGAGGTTTGCTCGAGCTCTGGCTGCCACCCCCTGACAAACGTAGCGACCATAGATGTCAAGGCCCACATCAGACCTGTTAATCAAAGGGAACAATTTGAAGAAACGGGTGATCCTTGCACCGTCATTGTCCTTGACCGCTTTCTCAAACTCCCTGATGAACAAATTACACAAAGATGCAGAGGCGTTCTCCAAAGTGACAGCGGGCGCATCAGGGACTTCGGCTGTGGGTACAACTCGTGCCGCGAAAGGACCATTAACCACTTCACTCGGAATCTTGGAGGCTCGTGAAAGGTAGCTTGCCGCGGTCTCCCAATCCTGTGCAGCTCCCATAGATCCCGACACGCCAAGCACACAAGCCTTGAGCTCACCAACTTGCTCGACAACGGTCAAGGTAGCCTTGATCCTTTCCTGCTCTAAGTCCAGTCGCTTGACGGAATTGGAGATACGCTTCGCGTTCGCCGCAGCGTCCGAAAGCATTCCATTGTTTATCGCTCTCGCTCTGGAGACTTGGGTAGTGGCATTTGCGCGAAAGAGGTCCAGGCGACCCAGTTCCCGTTGCAGATCTTTTTGTGCATTGATCAAGGCGTCGAGTTGGGAGGTCACATTGACATCTTTCACGTGCAGTTCGGCCAACGCACTGCGGATTTCGGTGACAGAGCTCGCATTGTAAACGCTGATAGACTGTCGGTTGACTTCAGAGTCGACTACGTGGCCGTTTGTTGTCATGGTCAACTGAACAGTTGGCACCTTGAGTCAGAGCTCCCATAGCACCGGGGACAAAGTACGAAGGGCGAGAGGTCCAGGACTTTTATCTAGCCGACACAGCCAATGCACATAACGTTCAGCATTGGCAATACATGAAGAGACCCATGCTGTTTTTAAAGAAGCGTGTAGGTATGCATTGGTTGGAGATGTTTTCTGACATTGGCCCATGGCTGGTATGGCGCCCGGAGCCGAGTGCCAAGTCTTACTGCGGTGCAAGTGACCGGTGAAAGTTCCGCATCCACCGCTGCACAATGACGAACAACGTGCGATGGCGAACTTGAAGGCGAGCGGAAGAAACTTGAAGCAGACAAACAACTTGTACTACCTAGGTATATCCTGTCGTTTCTGATAGAAAAGCTTCCTTGCGCCTGTAAACTCGTTTTATCTCCTGCAGCAGACCAGATTCGCCTTGTCGCGCAGCATTTCAACAACTGAGTGCCCTGCGCCCCGTAGCCCAGATCTTCGCCGTTCGCCAACCTGTTTCGCTTCCTTTTCGCAATCATAGGCCGCCGTCGAAGAGACCGCCATTCCAACTCCCGCCCGGGACGCTGGACATTCAAAATGGGCAATGAATCATCTACTCCTGTTGACGAGGCTACGCCTCCCACAAGGCTCTATGCTCGTACCATCGAGGCTGTTGCTCAGTACATCAAAGAGAAGGACGTCAAGAACATTGTGGTCATGACCGGCGCGGGTATCAGTACTTCTGCTGGGATACCGGATTTCCGATCGCCAGACACAGGACTGTATGCAAACTTAGCCAGGTTGAACCTGCCATATGCCGAAGCCGTATTCGATATCTCATACTTTCGCAACAACCCGTATCCATTCTACACCCTTGCCCATGAACTGTATCCAGGCAAATACCGACCTACCGTGGCGCACTCTTTCATCAGCCTCCTTAACAAAAAGGGAAAACTTCTCAAGTTGTTCACGCAGAATATAGACTGCTTGGAGCGTGAAGCGGGAGTGCCGGCTGACAAAATCGTGGAAGCGCATGGGTCTTTTGCTACTCAGCGATGCATTGAGTGCGGTACTGAGTATCCCGACAATTTGATGAAGGAGATGATCAGCAAAAAAGAGGTCCCGCACTGCATAAGGAAGTCTTGCAATGGGTTGGTCAAGCCTGATATTGTTTTCTTTGGTGAAGCACTGCCCGAATCCTTTCATCGCAACCGCAGTCTGCCGGCAAAGGCAGACCTAGCAATCATCATGGGAACCAGTTTGACTGTTCAGCCGTTTGCGAGCTTGCCGTCTTTTGTCAGAGAGGACACGCCGCGGGTGCTCATAAACCTCGAAAGGGTAGGCACTCTTGGGTCTCGGCCTGACGACGTCCTGTTACTCGGTGACTGTGACGCGGGAGTCCGAAAGTTTGCGGACGCTCTGGGCTGGCGGGAAGAACTCGAGCAGCTCTGGGAAAGCACCAACCCTGACAAAGCCGAAAGAGACAGACAAGAGGAGCCGGTGAAGGATCGCCAAGAACGGCTTGACGAAGAGGTTGAAAAGTTGACCAGGGATATTGATGCTTCTCTGAAACTTTCGAGTGAAGCAAATCTGAGAATTCGGGAAGCCTTAGAAAAGGATTCACCCGAGCCCTCCCAAAACAACTCGACTACTTCACAGCCAACTGCAACTGACTCAAACTTGAACACCACGAACTTGGCGCATGTCTTCCCTCACCTAAAATCAGATAGATCTGAAAAGCCTTCACTCTAGGCTTTCTCCCAGCTCTTAGGTCTGTCGACATTGCCTCGGACTATCATCAAACATTCACCGGTCTAGGCAATTCATTAGCACCGAGTACATGACCACACGCTTTGCACCAACGGTTATCTAGGTGGTAAGTGAGCCTGAACCTCTGTTGTACGGGTCGTTAACTTCTGTACAGTCTCAGTACTATTACTCTTTGCCACCTTTTCCCAAGTCTGTCCTCTTCCCGCAGTCCCTTGTCCTGACGAAAGACACGTCTTCCTTTTCCAATACGATGACGCCAGCAACTCCTCTTCAGACGCGCGCGAGGCGCAGCAAGTTCAGCAATCAGACCCTCCTCATCACCGTGGGAGCCGAGAAGGTGCCTTTTCACGTTCATGTTGGCCTTCTTGAAGAAACCTCCTTCTTCGACGTGCATGGAAGGCTGCCAGGACTTGAGCGCACTCCAATCACCAGCCCAGAACGCGACCAGACGCTCAGTCCGGCTCCTAACTACATCCCGGTCAAAAGAGAAGAGGGAACACGGGACGATTACGGCACTGGCAAACAGGCCGTGGACCAGCCTGTTGACACGGCTCCCTTACCAACGTATCATCTTGAGGGATCGGTCTACACTGCGGCTGCTTTCGGCATCGTCGTCGACGCACTTTACAATATCGCCCCTCCAGCGCCAGATAGCCGCGCAGAATGCAGAACTGTCCTTCGATCCTATGTCCTTGCTCTAACCTACCACATTGTCCCCCTTCAGGATGCGATTGTGGACTGTTTTCGCCAACATCACCAACAGTTCAACGTGGTCTTCGAAGATTTGACGTGGCTGATCAACAGAATCGGCGATGGTGAGGAGATTCACTCGATTCCTATGGTTCGCTACTTAATCGACCAGTGCGCATGGGAAATCTACTCGCAGGGTTACAATTCTTTTGTCCAACACAATGTCTTCTTTGAAAGATTCCTTTCGTTCGGGGACCACCCAGTTCGAAGAGCCCTTTTTGAGGCTATTGCGCAGGTCTCTCGCACTCCAATTGACCCTGCAGCTGGCCTAAACAGATACACAGTCAATGCTTGTATCGTCCGTGAACCGGCGGCGGTGCATATGCCAGAAGTGATTGAGCTGGATGATTGAGCTTTTGAGGCGACGAAATTCGAGCATGATTAGTCATACTGGCACGAGCGGACGGTCTGGCGACATGGTTGGGAAGGTCGAGCCGAACTTCGATCATGCGTTCCCATGAAGCGTCACAGAGTTGCCAGATTGATGTGATAAGGTCACGCTCTTTGCAGGTTATGAGGGGAAAGTCTAAGTACGGACGATATCTGCAGCAGCCTCAGTTTGTTGTTGAGGGTCGTTGGGATTTGAGCTCAAGAGTAGATAGCTTGAGCTGCAGTTCGGTGTACTGGCACGAACAACAACTCGGTTTGTGAATCTTTGCCTACGGAGATGAATCGGTTGTACTTTCAGACTGCTAGTCGCACTGTGAGATCTAATGACTAGTCCCCGTAGTAAAATTGAGAAGTGGATGGGCAAAGTAGCTCTGGGGATGGATAGATGGATGGCTTGCCCCTCGCTGTGTGGTTCGTTGGATGGTGGCCTCCGTGTACAGTACTCGGTCTCACCTCCACTACCGGCGCCCCGCCAACCTCATCAACATTTTGTTCTCCTCGTGAAAGTCCAGCTGCTATCACTTTGGTGCTGGCCCATCACTACTCGCAAGCTTGAACATAGATTCTGCTTTGGTCTGGTGATTAAGCTGCTATCGAACCCGTCGTTTTATTCTCGACCTTCATCACCGCACAGATTTCCATCCAGCCGGCGAGATGGTTGGGTTGGGACCTAAACGCAAGCCCTCCCGCAAGGGTAAGTCATGCAACCTGTTACAGACGGAGCTTCTATGCTAACCTCCTGTTTCTAATCAGGGTCTATGGCCGATGTGCCAAAGAGTCTGCTTGACGAGATCGCGAACCTGGAGAACCAATTCACGGTCGACGCCGACAGGCTGAAGAAAGTCACCAGCCACTTCGTCACGGAGCTAGAAGCCGGGTTGGAAAAGGAAGGTGCCAACATACCGATGAACCCGACCTGGGTCATGGCTTTTCCAGACGGAGACGAGCAGGGCACTTTTCTGGCTCTGGATATGGGCGGTACCAACCTCCGTGTGTGTGAGATCACCCTCACCGAGGAGAAGGGGGAGTTCGACATTATCCAGAGCAAATACCGCATGCCCGAGGAACTGAAGACGGGGACGGCGGACGAACTCTGGGAATATATTGCCGACTGCCTGCAGCAGTTCATTGAGTTCCATCATGAGGAGGAGAACCTGCCCGACCTACCCCTTGGCTTTACCTTTTCGTATCCAGCGACACAACATTACATCGACCACGGTATTCTCCAAAGATGGACCAAAGGGTTTGATATCTCGGGTGTGGAAGGAGAGGACGTTGTCCCTCAATTCCAGGCCGCGCTGAAAGCAAGGGTATGGACAATTGTAATCGAGCATCGTGGCTTCAATGACTGACAGAGTGCTAGAATCTACCTATCAAGCTGGTGGCTCTCATCAATGACACCACGGGCACCTTGATTGCCTCAGCATACACTGATCAGGCTATGAAGATTGGTTGCATTTTCGGCACCGGATGCAATGCTGCTTATATGGAAAACTGTGGCTCGATACCAAAGCTGAAGCATCTGAACCTTCCCGATGACTGCCCCATGGCTATCAACTGCGAATACGGTGCTTTTGACAACGAACACAAAGTTTTGCCCATCACAAAGTACGACACCATCATTGATGAGACCTCTCCCAGACCAGGTCAGCAGGCCTTTGAGAAAATGATTGCCGGTTTGTACCTGGGCGAAATCTTCCGCCTGGTGCTTGTTGACCTCCACGAAAACAAGAATCTGCTATTTGAGGGTCAGGACATCTCAAAACTGAAGAAACCCTATACCATCGACGCCTCGTTCCTTGCAGCGATCGAGGAAGATCCATTCGAAAACTTGCAAGAGACACACGACCTGTTTGAGAAAGAGCTTCACATCACGGCGAGCAAGCCAGAGCTGGAGTTGTGCCGGCGGCTGGCCGAGCTGATTGGTACCCGTGCTGCACGTCTCTCGGCGTGCGGTGTGGCCGCCATCTGCAAGAAAAAGAACATTGAAAGCTGCCATGTGGGCGCTGATGGATCGGTGTTTAACAAATATCCGCATTTCAAGGCCCGTGGTGCCCAAGCCCTCCGCGAGATCCTTGACTGGCCCAAAGGGAAGAAGGATCCTGTGGTCATCCTCAGTGCCGAGGACGGTAGTGGTGTCGGTGCCGCTGTTATTGCCGCCCTCACCCTCAAACGAATCAAAGCTGGCAACACGGTGGGAGTGAAGGAACTGGATACTTTGAAGGCACTTGTATAGAGTGTATATTGAACGATTTGCACCATAGACTGGGAATCAAACTCGAGCTATAGATGTCCTACTCGCGTACTTCCCATAACCTGATCTTCCCTTGTTCGTTCCCTACAGCGAGATAACTACCATCAGGCGACAGAGCAACTGCACTGATCCTTCCCAAAGGCGTTTTGTCCGTCGGCCAATTTCGGTAGAGAGTACAGCTTGGAAGGTGGACCAGTCTCAGGGCGTTCTTTTTCCATCTCGACGACATGACCAGCATCTGACCATCTTCGGAAAACTCCAGGTGGGAGATTGGCGTCGTCAGTTGATCGAAGGCTCTTGCTGGGGTTGGGTGTGTGGCGGTGATCGTTTTGTCCGTAAACCATCCTCTGCGGTCATACACATTGACAATACCACTTGAGGAGCCAATAGCCACCCAACGAGACCTGTCTTGTTCCCCTTGGCCGGCATGTCCACCAAGCGCGATGACTGTTGTCCCAACAGCGCCCTCGTCCGTCCAGCGATGAACAATCCGCCTCGCCTCCATGTCGTACTCACTGACTTCGCCGTTCTTCCCCACGACTGCGAAACCGTTTCCATCGCGCCACCAAGCAAAGTCCGCAACGCCGCCCCGGGAATCAATTCGGCAGCTGGCGATCCACTGCAGACTTTCTGTCGACAGCACGTTGATACTGCCACCTCCCTTTTTGGAAGAACCAATGAGTCCCATATACCGTCCACAAGGCGAAAGCTTGAACGATTCCATGGTCCGCTGGTCTTTGCGGGCTTCGCCGTATAGAGCACGCGTGACCTTTGTCACCACGCCAGTAGCCAGGGACCATACGTGGAAGTATCGCCGTCGGGAGGAGAGAAAAATTCTTGTTTGATCCTGGACTTCGCCGTCGTCCGGAACGTGTCTGTCACTATGCGGTCTGCAGAACGCTGCCGTGTGAAGGGGGGTGCCCTTGAGGTGCAACGATGTCAACACAGGATTGGGATTCGGAGGTTGAGGCGAGATGTGATACAGAGTGACTGTCGAGCTAGGTCCCGCCGAGAGAAGCAGAGGATAGTAAGGATGAAACTGCAACGTATCCACCGACGATGGGCCCGAACCAGCAACGTCTTTGCAACGTTGGATGTCGATTACTTCCGGACGTAGTTTTCGATCCCCCTTGGAGCCTGCGGGCTTCGGGTCAGACCGTGTTAAGGAGCCGGCACTCCTGAGAAGTTCAGACAGAGGTTGTGCCGAGGGAAGTGACTCGGAGTCTTCCATAGACACATCGGTATCTGTATTCTCGTCTTCTTTGTCTTGTGACGATAACCTCCTCTTTTTCCTGGCATATCTCACCCAATCAGGCGTAGGATGAAGCAGTTCATATTGCCGGCGCAGTCTTTGAATATACTCCCTTCCACTAATGACATCGTCTTCAAGAGTATTCCGCAATTTCCTCAACCGCGGATTCGACGCCAATGAGACGGTCATCCGGTCGTCATCGCTGTCGAACCATGAGGGCGTGTGTTGTGTAACGTCATGTGCTATTTCTTTGCGCTCGAGCTCTTGGGCGACGGCAGTGGGAAGGTTTCCAGTTCCGGCGTCGAGGAAGAATAACTGTAATTCGTCAATGGGTGTAAATAAAGAGATTCAAGAGACTTACATCTTCATCGGCAACATCACTGAGTCCACCATCGCCATCCTCAATATCTTCACTATCCTCAGGCTCGGATTCGCGCTCGTCTAGCCGCGTCAAGGCCTTGTTCGCTGCTGAATCATGTCTTTGCAGTGATTCTAGAAAGCCTGCATCGTCCCCGAAGACAGCCTTCTCTAGTCGTAGTTCCACTTCGTCCTTTTCGAAGGCATCGTGCTGTGCCGGTTTCGACTTGTCGCCTCGAAGCCTCGTAGGGTGCGCCATGTCTGCCACAGAATACAAGTTGTTTGCGCTGTGGTTGAAATATTGACGGGCTGATGTTTAACTTGGCCGCAACATTTTTTCTCCCGCATGCTGCGGAGATTGTCTCCGTCAACTTTTTTCTCCAAAATAATCTCCGCCAAGGAAATTCTCAAGTTCGAACTCAAGCGAGAAGGCAGAACAGAACGTACTGGTTTTATTGCTACGTCACGGAGCTGCCGATACTGTCAACTCTCTCGTCACAGTAATCTCACCATGAAGCGCAAACTAGACGACAATGATGCCCCTACGGTGGAAGTGCCACACGACAGCGCCCCCAGTGAGCCCTCGTTCGATAGTTTCGGCCTCGACCCTCGTCTCATGCAAGCCGTTGCAAAGGCAAACTACTCGGCCCCTACCCCTGTACAGGCGAAAGTGATACCTTTGGCACTCGAGGGAAAAGATATACTGGCAAAATCGAAGACGGGAAGCGGTAAAACGGCTGCCTACATCCTGCCTATCCTGCAATCGATCCTCCGTCGCAAGAAGACGTCGCCCAAGAACAAGGTCATCTCCACCCTAATCCTTGTGCCAACACGCGAATTGGCAGATCAAGTTCAAAAGGCGTTTGTTTCGCTCTCGGCATTTTGCACGAAAGATGTACAATCCTTGAACTTGACACAGAGACTGTCGGATGCAGTGTTGCAAGCAGTACTGCAGGATTCGCCCGACATCATCGTGTCAACACCGGGACGAGTCACCCAATACCTAAACTCCGGCAGGATATCTCTCGAGAATATCAGTCATCTTGTCATCGACGAAGCAGATATTGTCCTTTCATATGGATACGAGGATGATATCAATACCGTCGCCTCTCTCCTTCCACGCGGTGTGCAGACCTTTCTGGTCAGTGCCACTCTGACGCCAGAAGTGGAGGAGTTGAAGGGCATGTTCTGTCGCGACGCGACAGTGGTCAAAATTGATGAGAAAGAAGAGAAGGGAGAAGAGATAACCCAATACGTGGTCCGCTGCGGCGAAGATGAGAAGTTCTTGTTGATATACGTTTTGTTCAAGCTCCGTCTGGTCAAGGGCAAGTCGATTATCTTTGTACAAGATGTCGATCGAAGCTACCGGCTGAAGCTGTTTTTGGAACAGTTTGGGATCAAATCGTGTGTGCTCAATGCCGAACTTCCGGTCAACTCGAGACTGCATGTTGTGCAAGAGTTCAACAAAGGCTTGTACGACATTCTCATCGCCGCAGACGATCAGGAAGTACTAGGTGGGATTGTCCGACGACCCAAAACACGCGCTCACGATCAAGAAAATGAGATGAGTGACGAAGATGATGGCACGGAGGAACACGTTGCGAAAAAGTCAAGGATATCCAATAACGAAAAGGATTACGGCGTCTCGAGGGGGATTGACTTTCAAAATGTCGCCTGTGTCATCAACTTTGATCTGCCCCAGACTTCCAAGTCTTACACGCATCGCATCGGACGAACGGCAAGAGCTGGAAAGGCGGGTATGGCTCTGTCGTTTGTGATACCCAAAGACCGCTACGGCAAACACAAGGCCACAAGCATTCCTTCCGCGAAGAATGATGAACGTGTTCTAGAGAAGATCATTGCTCGCCAGGCAAAAAAGGGGAATGAAGTGAAGCCATATCATTTTGACATGGCTCAAGTTGACGCCTTTCGATACCGCATGAATGATGCCCTGCGAGCCGTTACCAGAGCTGCTGTTCATGAAGCGCGAGCTCGAGAAATCAAGCAAGAACTGATCAAGAGCGAAAAACTAAGGAAACATTTTGAAGAGAACCCTGAAGATCTCCGACATCTTCGGCATGACGGCGAACACAGTGCCATTGTGCGACATCAGTCACATCTCAAACATGTTCCTGACTATTTGATGCCTCCACAAGGCCGTAAGGGAGTCAGTGCCGAAGACATTGGATTTGTGGGGTTGAGGAAACTGGACGCAGATGGGAAAAAGAAGGACAACAAGAAGCGAGGCGGTCGAAAAGGAAAGCCAAGAGGGAAGGTCGACCCATTGAAGTCCTTTAGTGCCCGAGAGCGAAAATGATGGACTTAGCTGTTAGCGGTTGTTCAAGCAAGATATATTTTAGACAGGCATTGATGGAAGGCTGAACAGCATCCCTCGCATCAGGGTCCAGGTTGTATATGTCCCCTCGGTTGTAGCTTTGCTTTCCTGATGTACACAAACCTCCTAGATCAAGGCTTTCCGACAAAAGCAAAAACTCGGAATGACCTTCACGTTTGATTCCGCGCGAGTCGTCCATTTCCCTCCATTGTTTATGGTTGATGGCGCGCTCTGCCTCGGAAGGTGCTCGATTGAGAACACCAATCGCCTCCCACAGACAGTAGGACTTGAAACCCGTGCTTCGGCACAGCATTCGCCTTCTCAATGGCGATTGGGCAATCATACGACTTATTACTGTATGCACTCATTCCGTTTGCCCGGCGCTGCCCGGCTGCTTTCCTAATGGCCACATGCAAACAACACGCTCGGATACGGATGTTTTCCAGAAACTTCCTAAGCACAAATCGGCATAGGCTCCGAGACTCACGCGGCGCTATTTCGCTAAACTGCCACTAAGACATTGTCACGCGGAAGTTTGGCCTTTGTTTTCCGTCAGTCTGGCCAATAAAACGAGGATTGCAACGCCTCCGGTGCATTTTGACCAATCTCAATTGGCTTCAGATCGAGATCGATGGAGTTATACTAGCGTGCCCGATCGGCGATGTTCATTCGGCAGTGATCATCATAAATACTCTATCCTGAACCCAATTTCTGAAGTATTCAATCCCTTACTTCCTCAGGTCGATCTCTCTCTATTCACTGACTCAAGCCGATTGCTCACCATGGCGGAGCCGGTCATCGACGAAAAGCAAACCCCAGCCGACACTCCGCAAAAGAGTGCAATCGTCAAAGGCGCAAAGGCCGCCGCCGAAAAGGAACATGGCATGACCTTGATGCAAGGTATCAGACTTTACCCCAAGGCAATCGGATGGAGCATCTTGATCAGCACTTGCATTGTCATGGAAGGCTTCGACGTCTGCCTCTTGCCCAACTTTTACAACTTCCCGCGTTTCAAGGAGCGATTCGGCGAGCAGCTGCCCAATGGTGACTGGGAGATTCCCGCTTCCTGGCAGGCGGGATTGCAGAACGGCTCTCAGGTGGGCCAGATCATCGGCCTTTTTATCAACGGCTATGTGTCGGAGTGGTTTGGCTATCGTTATACCACGATCTGCTGTCTGGCTCTGGTTGCGGCGTTCACAGCAATCTTCTTCACAGCACAAAGTGTCGAGGTGCTTCTTGTCGGCTACATTTTCTCCGGAATACCATGGGGCGTGTTCCAAACTCTCACCATTACGTACGCTTCTGAGGTCTGTCCGGTTGCGCTGCGCGGTTATCTTACAACTTATGTCAACTTCTGCTGGGGCTTGGGACAAGTCATCGGTATTGGAGCGATTAAGGCTTGCCTCAAGCGTCAAGACGAGTGGTCTTACCGCATCCCATACGCTCTACAATGGATTTGGCCCTTGCCTTTGGCCGTTGGGATCTTCCTAGCTCCGGAATCTCCTTGGTGGTTGGTAAGGAAGGGGAGAATTGATGACGCCAAAAAGGCTTTACTACGGTTGACTAGCCTCAACAAGGAGACCAACTTCGATCCTGACGAGACTGTTGCTATGATCGCTCACACCACTGCCCTCGAAGCCGAGATTACCGAGGGCAGCAGTTACTTAGACTGCTTCAAAGGCACTGACCTTCGACGTACGGAAATCGTCTGCATGTGCTGGGCGATCCAGAATTTGTCTGGGAATTCTTTCAGTGGCTACTCTTCGTACTTTCTGACCCAGGCTGGTTTGGACTCGTCTACCTCGTACAGCTTTGCTCTCGGACAGTACAGTATCAATATGGTTGGCGTATTCGGCGTGTGGCTGTTGATGAGCTGGGGAATTGGACGACGGTCTCTGTTCCTTTACGGACTTTGTGGCCTTTTCACTATGCTTCTCATCATGGGCTTTTTGGGACTGCCCTCAGATCGGGACGCAGCTGCCATGGCGACAGGAAGTATCATGATTGTCTGGGCTGCGTGCTATCAATTGTCTGTCGGCACGGTCTGCTATTCGCTGGTCGCAGAAATGTCCACGCGGCGATTGCAAATCAAGACTGTGGTGCTTGGTCGAAATCTCTACAACATTGTCGGCATCATCTGCTCCGTCATCACCCCTTATATGCTGAATCCTGGCCAATGGAACTGGGGGAATTATGCCGGTTTCTTCTGGGCCGGTGCATGCTTTCTCTGCATCATCTACACCTATTTCAGAGTTCCTGAGCCAGCTGGTCGGTCATTTGCCGAACTCGATTTGCTGTTCGAGCGCAGGGTTCCTGCCAGGAAATTTGCAACCACCAAAGTTGATGTTTTCGATCTGGATGTGCACGGAGACGTTTTGGATCAAGCCGAGCGAAAGCTCAGCATTTCTGCTTCACACGATGAAGACCCTGAGCAGGCTCTTGAAGTGAGCACAAAGGTTGTGTAGTGACTAGATTACAGCACGCGGTGAATCTGCATTTCAAGGAGTTGGATAGCGACAATACAATGGCCATTAGAGCATTGAACCGTTCATCGGCAAGTGATCCGGAGAATTTTGAAATTTGGGACAGTTTGATTTTCACGAAGGAGGGTCGACTACCTAACCTTCTTTTGTGTCTACTAGTAAAACAGATTATGTTTTCACTCAGGACATCCGCCCTTGTACTCTCCCTTGGCTGCCTGGCTGCACCACTTGGCTCTTTCAACCCATTTCTTCTGGCTTTCCTTGACATTGTCTTTTCCTCCCTTGGCCCACTCTTGCATTGCGGCGCCCTGCAAAGCTCGGCCGAAGGAGAATGTCAGCGCCCACGGGGCCGCACTGGGGTTCTCCTGTTTTCGTTTGTTGATTGCATTGAGGTATGCAATTGAGTCGGCATCACTCAAACCGCCGCTCAAGAACACGATGGTGGGAACCAGAGGTGGCACTGTCTTGCTCAGCACATGTACAGTGGCTTCCGCAACGGCCTCTGGGGACGCTTTGCCATGCTTAGCGGTCCATTGGTCGCCGGGAACGACCATTGAAGCCTTAAGAACTAGGCCCGCAAAGTCGACCTTGTGCAGTGACAGTCTCTCGAAGATGGCACTGTAGGCCGCGATATGGGCTTCGATGGACCGCTCGATGGGCTGGTCGTGAGTCATGAGCACTTCCGGTTCCACAATAGGAACGAGTCCGGCTTGTTGTGAGATGGCCGCATAACGAGCGAGCACCTCTGCGTTGTCGGCGATGGCTAGCGGAGACGGGGTGGTCGCTGAGACAGTGTAGGTGCACCTCCACTTGCTGAAGCGAGCCCCGCGCTCGTAGTATTGTTTGCTCCGAGCCAAGAGACCATCCAGACCTTCTGTGGTCGTCTCCTCCGGACTGGTCCGGGGCAGCACCGTCGTACCCTTGTCAACCTTGATGCCAGGAATAATGCCCCTCTCTTTGATCACATCAACCAGTGCCTTGCCCTTGTATTTCGACTCCAACTGTGCGTCATGCTTCATGAGGGTTTCCTCGAAAGTAATGACACCAGAAAGATACTCCTCCAACGGGCCGTCCGCTGTGAACAGAACATCTCGCCATTCCCTCCTGTTGTCCTCCGTGTTTTCCTTTCCTACTTTCTCCAAACGCTTCTTGATGGAACCGGTGCTTTCATCGGCGGCGAGCAGACCCTTTCCGGGTGCGCCCATGGCTCGGGCAGTCCGATGAAGTTCCTCGGCATGCTCGAGAGGCTGGGGGGGAGTAAAGTGAGCGGGGGTCAGGTTGGACATCGTGTCTCGTTTGGATTTTGATCAGCAAAGTCGTTCGTTGGTTCAGAGTTTGAGGTTTGAGGCATGATGAAGATTTGTCAGCCCTGGCTGCCATTATATAGTCTTGAGTACCTTGAGAGTGGCGTTGTCCCTCATCGGCCCGTGGTCCTCAATTATGTTGTAATGGTCCTCAATATTCTAGCCTGATGGAGGAATTCCCAAACTTTGGAGGAGGTGGGGTAGTCGGCCAAGGTGCGGGATGCAGTCTTCGGGATGTCCAGGGATCGCCCGCTACGGGTGCCTGTGGATATTTCGGCGAGCTAACAGTTTCGATGCGGTTCTGAAAATGCATTCGTTACCCGATTTTTATCATATCAATTCTGCTCATGTGATTTCCCAAGGCCATGTACCAGAGGCTCCTTTCAGCTGCTCCTTCAGAAGCCGCCTTCCACACTCAAGAATCTCCCTCGAGTCGCTTGGCTGCAGCTGTTGGAGACTAGACTTGTCCAATGTTTTCTCAAGGAGTGAAATTGCAGCCAAGACCCTGGGAGCTCGGTTAGAAAAGGAAGCAAAGAATGACTCTGCCTACTCACCTTTTGCCCATGATTGCATCGATCTGAACACCTTCTCTTACTAGGGTCCTGGCTAGAGTGTACCCGGACGAAAGGCCATGCATGAGTGAGCTCCAGACGTCAATGTTGAACTCCGCACGCGTGTTGCCCACTACTGCAATGACTACAGGTTCGCCCAGGCGGAACTGTGCTAACCAGTACAACAGCCTCAACCGCGTGCGGATCAGCGACGGGATATTTTCGCTGGGACATGGAGACCAATCCAGCGATGGCGGCACATTCTTATCCCAAGCGGCCAATTGACTCTTAAGTTCGACTGCGACCGGAGACAGCGCCACATTACCTGGCCATTGACTTGACACTGGCGACGCTTTGAATTCAGAGCACATGCCGTCAATTCTTGCTAGGATACTTCTCAACGATGTGTCGGCAAGGAAGAACAGATACTTGATTCGACGCGTCTTTTCCAGATGGCTCAGTGATGCCTCATCACATCCGAGCGGAAGAGGCATCTGGTCTTCCAGCTCTGAAAGACGACTGCTGGGAAGCACGTCGATTTCGGAGGTCAAATCTCTGAGCAAAGGTCAGCAGGTAGGTGGGCATTGGCCCTTGTTTGAGCCTCACCTCTCCAAGTTGTGACAGATCCAGTACGTCCGCAGAATAGTATTCTTCTCTACATCGGTCTTGTAAAGGTTTCTTGTTTCTTCCCTACTCCCGTCAGTTAAAATCAAGGCCGAGTACGATTCCACCCACCATTTGATGACAGTATACAGGGTAGTGCAACCTGCATGAAGCCAGTGCCACGCTTCGAGCAGCCGATGTCTCTTGAGCAGAAAAAGAGAACATAAAACTTGGGTGTGCGCATAATCAAGGGTCAACTGAACAGGGAGGGAGCTTAATCGATGCACAGTTTCAGAGAACACGCTGGACTCATCAGGATCGACCGATGACGAAGAATAGGCTTTCGCCAGCAGCATCACAAAGGACACCATGCAAGAATACAGGTCGTTCTTGAAACCTGTCGCCACAACTGTCGAAGCCGCTTCCCAAAGGTATACGTCGCAGATCATCGGGAAAAGCGGACACACCAATTCCAAATAAAGCTCCATTAACGGAAGGATGTCAGCGGTATCATGGAGATCGAAACGCTCAAAAGGGGTCGATGTGGCGTTGTTCCCTTCTGATTCTGGTCCTGCTGGCGACGCATCTCGGCTTTCGTGGGTGTACGGGCTTTCGTGAATGTTTTGGGATACGACTTGGTCCGAACGGAAGATGTTGTGATGTCCCAAGACATCTGTGATCGGTATGGGTGAGGTATCAATGGGATTCGAAGGTAGGCCGCTGGAAGATGGAGTCAGGTAAAGTTCTTGATGGTTTCCATTTTCATCGCCGGTTGTTGGGACAGTGTCGGATTCTTGGATGCTCTGCTCTGGCGAACGAAGCGGCTGGGATTCGCTCGAAAGCCCCTCTAGCTTTTCTTCGAGAGCGGCAATCCTTTCCAGCAGAAAGGCGGTCGACGGAACAGATCTGACCACCATCAGCTGATACGGAATATCGTCTAGAGAAAGTTTCTCACGCTGGAGTAGTCCATGTCTGGTAGGTACATTCGGCACCGTATTTCTGACAATATGTGCATATTGGTCGGCCTTCGCATTTCAACTTCTTGATGCGACACCTTTGACATGCCTAGTAGCGATGTAAGTGGATGGAAATGACCAGCTGCGCTAGAGTACTCACCGTTGAAGCACGTTTGCGTGGAGCTCGACGCTTGCGACTTACGGTGCGCAAAGATTCAGCGTGATGGCGGAATGCAGTCTCAACGTTAGGATCCGGAGGATCGCGCGGCAGCAGTATGGCATGCTGTCTGAGGCTGCTGTTCGAGTTGGTCTCGGGTTCGTACGCCGGCATGACTTGAAAAAGGTCTCTTTGCCGGAACGACAAAATTAACACCGAAAGCGACCGCTTTTCAGCCTTGTCTCATGGGCAGACCAAACAGATGGCGTCAACGGTGGAACTAAAGGTGTGCTGCAAAAAGTGGAGACACGGCATTCACAGTCGCCGCCGCCAGCAGGGGAAAGATACCCTTTGTCGCCAATGAAAGCACAATCCGAATCTCCGTGAACGGCAAATGCTTATCGTACCCGAGTTCAACATCAGGAGGACGCCAGCACGTGGCGGCTTTGGTGATCGCCCGAATGGCCGCGGAATGGACCTGGCCAGAAGAACGTTCCCGATCCGGAAGTCGACAGACTGCAAGTCTCAAACAGTGCGGAATTAATATACACACTCCTTCTCGACGGACTAATCTTTGATTTCTGCTTTGATCCAGCACTGGTGGCACTTTTCTTCGAATATCCTGGGACTGAGACCAAAAATGCCTGCGCAACAACCCTTAGATGTTGCTATCATCGGGGCCGGCCCAGCAGGATTGGCGGCAGCGATTGAGTTTGCGAAACTTCCATATGTACGGTGGAGGCTATATGAACAAGCGACTGCAATACGAGAGATTGGAGCTGGCATTAGCATTCAACGAAACACCTGGCGTATACTGGACGTTCTTGGAGCATCAAAGAATTTTGATCCTAAAGACTACTTTCGTGCCCCGGATCACCATTCGGTCCAGCATCGGTGAGCCATCCCAACCGTCTTTTTCCTCCACTTTTTGCTGATTCATTCACAGAAATGGCAGGACAGGAGAGCTTTTGGTGTCGCATAATCAGCTAGGTGAGGCGGTAGTACTACACGTTGGAATATATCTAAACTTCAAGCAGATACACCTCCGCAGCATTTACATGCTAGAACCCGGCGGTCTGTGCTACAGAATGCGCTCCTGAAGGAGGTTGATCTCAGCCACGTGCGGCTCAAGTCTCGTCTTGTCAAAATCGAGCGGCAGGCCAACGGGAGACTGCGGCTGATGTTTGAGGACGGCTTTGAGGATGAAGTCGACCTTGTCGTGGGAGCAGATGGTGTCCGATCTGTGAGTGCTTGTATTCTGGATCCTCTCAGCGTGACTAATCAAGCAAAAGGTTGTGCGATCGTTTGCATTTCCTCAACACAAGATCACTTATACCGGAAGAAAGGCTTTCCGATCGCTCGTGAGCTACGAAAAAATGGCAACCATTCCAAATGTACCGAATGCGGTCACATTCTGGCAAGGCCCTCACTCCTGGCTCTATACTTGTCCACTAGGAAGCAACACATATGAGATTACTACCATGGTTACCGAGCCTGATCCTCGAGAAAGTCAAGTCAGCTGGGGCCAGGATGCAACCGTCGATCAAGTGACGCCTTACTTTGAAGTATGACTTGATATCAATCTTACCGCAGCGTGCTGATATTTGGCAGGACTTTGCACAAATCGTGAAAGATATAATCACGTTGACTCCCGAAGTTCGACAATATGCACTGTTTGCCGGGCCTCGCTTGAATACAGTTGTTGCTCAAGGCTCGGTAGCCCTTGTTGGTGACGCTTCGCATCGTGAGTACTTTTCGGCAAAGTCATTCGAGCATAGCTTACTGACAATGATTAGCCCTTTCTGGTGCTTTTGGTACGACCGATCCTGGACTGCCCTCGAGTTGTGTCACTAACAAGCTTTTCAAGGTGCCGGAGCAGGCTTTGCTCTCGAGGATGTTTTTGTGCTTACACGGGCAATTGACTGGGCTCATGCTCGGGGGCTGGCGCTTGCAGATGCCCTCAAGCTCTTCGACGAAGTCCGATCGCCTCATTATCGCTCACTGGTAAGTGCTCCATATGCTAGGCAGAGGATGTATTAACAATATCTCCGAAAGTATGATATCTTGGAAAAGTTTGCAAAAACTGAAGCAAGTTTGCGCGACATGAACCCTCCGCCGACTTTTGATGAAGCTGTTCGTGTCATTGTCGACAATAACTGGGGATACGATCATAGCTGGATGTACCATTATGATGTAAGTGACTATCATTTCGTTGCTACGGTGAATACTGATGGCTTTGAAGGTGCAGAAAGTTTGGCAGGAGGCCGTCCAGGCCGAAGACAGGAGAAGGGCAAACGGGGGTACGGTACAATCGGCACGATTATGAGGGACACAAATTGGTTATCATGCTGAAAGAGCTCGAGTTGTGTTTGAGCTTCAACGCCATCGGATGGCAACAGAGGACAACACTGTCGACATTTCTTTAGAAATATAGATTTTGGTTTTCAGCTTTCCATCGGCCATAGCTTCTAATTGGGAAGCTTTCTTGTTTGAACGAACCCGATAATAGTAATAAGACAGGAAATGTAAGAAGCGATCCAATCTCAAACTTCGTACTAGGATAGCACGAAGCGAGTGTGCTACAAACCGAGGTGTTCCAACTCTTCACGAGTAAGCATGAAGGTGTCCGTCGATGGGCGGTGGTAGTGAGTGGATCACGATGGGGCCCCTGGAGCCGTTCCGGCCTTCAAAAGCTTAATCCTATTTGTTGGTACAATCCCATTTTGGATTCGGACATAATGGGCACGATCCTATTCGTTATTGCGCCAGCTCAGCGAATATGAGTCGACAATCGCGTGCTTACAAGCAATCGCAGAAGCGGTGGAAAGCATGTTAACCCCTACCTCGGGTTCTGGATCCCTAACCAGCGGCGCATTTTAAGCTCACAAAGACATTTGCCGAGACTGTTTACCTTTCTCCGGACAGGGTGGAGTTAAAGACAGCCGCCACAGATGCGATGGCGACAGATCGACCATGTGGGAGATCCATATCTGTGGTCAATCATCTATCCGTTCTGATCTTGTTCTCATCCAGTACAAAAGATGAGGCTCCCTCGCAACAGGTCGAGGTGTGTAACTGTCGCTTCAAGTATCTAGCCCCTCGCCATGGCTCCCTCCTTGAAGAGTATTCGTTTCCACCCATGGTATGTTCTTCTGGTCCAAAAACCCACCTTCTGTTGGCTGTGTTAATATCCGCTTCCTCAACAGGTACAGCGTTTCTGTGGTTGCATGGCTAGCATTCTGCCACCCGGGCATGTTTTCTGCCCTGAATGTATGTGGAGTGTTGACAGATGCGTCGCTGAATGTCTGCTGATTTATCATAGGGTCTTGGTGTATGTTGTTCAGCTGTCTGCGGGTTCTCCTGGATGCTCAATGTCGTTCTCCTAGGCTTCGGGTGAAGAATCAGCCGGACTATCGAATACCGTGAATGCTGTCACATTTGGTGCTTTGACCGTTGGAGGATTTTTCACTGGTATCATCTGCAATTACATCGGCTTTCGATGGACTTTGGTGATTGGTACACTTGGCTATGCTCCTTATGCAGGCAAGTCCTGATATCATTTCTTGACGCCGTATTCTTCGCTGACAAGAACAACAGCCGCGCTGTACACCAATGCAGCTTTTGGTAACACGTGAGTCAGTTTGACTCCATTCGTGTTGTGTTGACTGACTGTAATAGATGGTTTCCTATACTGGGCGGTTTGACCTGCGGTGTCAGCGGGGTTCACCTTTGGACGGCAACCGGAGCCGTTAATCTTGTCCGTAAGTGTAGCACAATGGTGCAAAATCAAGGTTGACCAAGTGTTTGCAGTTCCGCCGGTTTCCCAGCGAGGTCGTGCGGTGGCCACAAAATTCACATTGCAGAACTTTGGTGGTTTCATTGGAGGTATTCTCGCATTTGGTCTTAACGCCTCGGGTAGTGTTAAGGGGCGTGTTTCTGATGGTAAGCATGGACATTCAATCAGGAAACAATCGGCTCTAACAGTGCCAGCAACCTACTTTACTTTCATGAGCATCATGTGTCTTGGTCTCCCGGCCGCACTTACGGTTCCACGACCTGAACAAGTTGTCCGATCAGATGGCTCAAAGATTGCAAGCCATAAGTTCCAATCTCTCCGCGAAGAATTTAGGGGATTGAAGAAGATGTTGAGCAGTTCAAACTTTTTGTTGCTGCTGCCATTTTTCCTATATTGCGTGAGTCTTTCGCTGCTTTCACTCGGGCTTGCTAATCTGCTGTAGCAATGGGATCTGTCTTACATGTGGACATGGAATGCCGTTTACCATAGCGTCCGGGCTCGTGGCTTGCTGTCTGCCTTTTTCTACCTGAGTGAGTCAATGACCATTTGCTTGTGGACATGTACTGACTACAACTCAGTCGGACCCACCATTATTGGTCCAATCCAGGGCTATCTGCTCGACAAGACATCATGGTCGCGCCGAAAACGAGCCAGGATCGGGTCCGTTTTGTTTGCAATCACCTCCGCGCTGATTTGTAAGTCTCCGCTAGCCGCCCACAGGCAGATTTGTTAACTTTACCAGGGATTTTCGGTCTTGTGGTTCAATATCAGTATGACCATCGTGATCTGACAGTGGCCATTGATATCGTTGACCCGGTTTTTGCGAAGTCATTCCTCCTCTTTGTCCTCTATGGGCTCCTGGAAAACTCATCCATGGTCGTCATGTATTGGATTCTCGGCTCTCTTGGTCTGTCAGCAGGCGAAGTCGCGTCACTGGTTGGTCTTGCCGTGGGTCTAGGCTCTGCTGGATCGACTGCAGCATTTATCATCGGTGCGAAGAACGTGGCGCTGGTCTGGCAGCTTTGGGCGAATGTTATTACATTCCTCATCGGAATACCAGGCTTGTTGTATGTTGCCTGGTTTCGCGTCGTGGAAGATACAGTGGTGGATGCGGTGACTTCTAAGAGGCTGGAGAACGAGCCATCATTGTCTGAAGAGAAGTCGCGGAACTCTATCGAGACCAATTTGGTTCCCGGTGTTGGAGCGGATGTGATCGTCTCGGGCTTAGTGAGGCATTCCAAAGAGCTGACTGAACCGAAGGTGACAAGTGTGAAGTATTAAAGAGAGAAGTCCTGTCACTCACGGCTTGTCGTCAATGTTGAGATAGGCCAGTCTCTTGGAAAGGTCTCAACCTCCAAAGGGTCCTTGGGTTAGTGGCTGCGATGGCACACGAAGCGTTGGTGCGCAAATTGGGCTAGCATGATTTCCATGGTACAGACACTGATGTGACCGGCTAGCTCACTGATGGCATCATGAAGAACCTCCCTGTAGGCCCTGTCGGTAGTAGCAAGTGTCAAGGTGGGCACATTATCTGTCAGGAACTGAGAGACAGGAAACATGACCAGCAGACTATGCTACAATATATCTTCCTTAACAGCAATGCTCCAACCTTGGACGATATCAAGACGTGCGCCGTAATAACTTTCGGTACTGGCTTTAGGATGCACTCTCCGCTCTAGATTTCTTGGTTTGGCACCACTGCCCGTCTGGCTACCAGCTTCCGCAGCGGCCGTGTTTTCGTCTCTGGAGACGCAGGCGCCGCACTACCGATTGCGCGAGCTTTGCTCACATACACCTCCTCCCACCTATGGCAAGGAGGCGCGGCGAATGTCTTGATGATATCAAGACGCGACCAGGTGAAGGGACACCACCTGGTGAAGAAACAGTGGTTTCTCAATAAAATTGGTCCCCAAGCGAGATCGATGCCGGGCAAGATCATTCTGCGTATCTTGCGGCGATGTCCAGGCAGTAACCGGACATCAACTGCTCCGAAGCAAGGATGCGTGCAACCATTTCGCAAAACTAAGAAAGATATATTGCTTGTATCGAGACATTTGCGACACAGTACAGTACTCTGTACGGTAGATGTAACTGCGCTGCCAATATTTGTGGCTGAGGTTCGTGCGTTCCTGACAGGGCACGGATCGACCTGGCGAGCGCATAGTGCCCGGAAAACCTTGCCCTGAATGTCGACAAAAGGCTAGAAACCCACGAACCATCAGGCCATAACATCTTAAGCAATAAGAAGGTTAAAACTAAAGCATCGAGGCAGGCCAGGTAGCAGGCGGATAAGTAGGGACTAGCAGCGTATCTTTATCGTCTTGCCACTCCCCCCGGCAAAGTTGCCCGACAGTATTGCCCCGCCTCCATTTCGTCGGATATTTATAAACGATTCTCGCGGTGACGGCCCTGCGAGAGCATTTTTTCAAGCTTATCTTTCACGTTCACTCGGCTATTATGGCCAAAATAATCCACCATCTAGATGTAAGGGTGTATGACGACGCCACCCTGCCATCAGGTCTCAGTTTGCGCCTACAAAATGATATGCATGGTCCGGACGATGATTGGAGTGGAACGACTGATCCTGCTAAGCGGAGAAAAGTTCAGAATCGCCTACATCAAAGGGCGTGGAGTAAGTATATCTATGGGTTACCATACTCATCCAAGTCATGGTCTTTTAACTCAACCATACAGGAAGGCGACAGGTGATGCGACGAACGCTCGGCGTCACGGCCAAAGACGCAAGTGCGGACTCGGAGGTTGTGCGGCCGCGTAGTCGAAGCCCTGAGACTTCGTGCTCAGAGACGTCAGAGCCACCGATCAATCTATGGCTATGCTCAGATGACGTCGACAAGACCCAAAGGTCTCTCGCTCGCTTCGAGGATTATGCTTATTCGCGATATCTGGAAGGGTCTCCGCGAACAGACCTCCTGCTGACGCTCATCAAATTCAACGTTTTCAGAGCACTCATGGTAAATGATAAAACTCTTGGCTTTGCCAATCAGTGGCTCCAGGGTGAGGCTATTTCACCCTTTTTTCGCTCCCGGCACGGAACACAAGCAGTCATACAGACATGCCCCGCAAATCTTAGGCCAACCTATTTGCAGCTGATTGTTGAGCACCATCCATGGATCGATCTATTGCCCGATCCAACGATGCGTAATAACATTCTGCTACTGGGCAATGAATATGACGATGAACCACTCTGCCATGACGTCGTGGACAACCGTCATGGCAAACAATCGGAGAGCCTTATCGTCTGGGGTGATCCATGCAACCCGGACAGCTGGGAGATCGGCGAAGATTTTTGCAAAAAATGGCCTTCGGTTGTGCGAGGCTGTTATCGTCTATTCAAAGCAACGAACAACTGGAGGGTTCGACGGGGCGAGGGGAAGCTCTTTCCGGATAGTCTTTGTACTCCCGGATGACAACGTCATGCAAGTACTGCTGCTATTCTGATGCTTCCAGGAAGCTCTGGCTACTTGTATGATACAGCTTAGGATATGCAGCGAGGAAGAAAATGCTCATAAATGGTCCTCATATACCAACATATATCGGTATCTTGGCTTGCTGTTGTCCGTGTCAACCATCGCCTGATTTGCATCCTTCATTGGACGCTCTTCCACCTATAGCTTTACATTCTTCTCAGCCGCCAGCTGAAGCATTTCTCGAATTTTTCCTGGTGCGCCGATCATTGAACCAGCAAGCTTCTTCCTTCCGATGAATAAACCAGGCGCTGGTACCTCGAAAACTCCATCGTCATGGTTGCCAACCTGAACTAGTGTGCCATTGCGTCTCAAGAGAGCAAGGTAGCCCGCAATAGGCATCTAAGTCATTGGTCAATATCGTGGTCTATAGAGAACTTGAGAATGTACCTTTGACGAAGACATGGTTGAGACGAGCAGGTTAAACGAGCCAGGAAAATTTGGTATCCCACTTGGGACGATCGCCCGTTGCAATGTAGCTGTCTGCCCCCGTTTTGCGGGCATCTTGCTTCTTACTTCACTTACGGAATATAGCGATAACAGACTTCGCACCCAGTGCTTTTGCCCAGAAAACAGCAAAATGGCCCAGACCACCTAGACTAAGGACGCCGACGTGATTATCCGGTCTACATCCGAAATGCTTCAATGGTGACTATATTGTGTTGCCAGCGTATAGTATTACTGCTACCGAAGCAGAAGGAATGGCGTGCGAGATCTTGAAGATATTGTGGGACGGAGGGCAGTTAGACATACGTAACCCCCGTTTGATTTGTCGCCATTCAGATGGGAGCTTCCGTACCTATGTGCCAATGTGCTGGGCGCAGAATTGTTCATTCCCTAACACGCATTCGTCGCAATGGTCTTGCGCACGACCCAAGCAAGAGTCATCTTGAGCGCCGACACTTCAACTTTCCTGCCTACGCGTACAGCTCGACCAATAATCTCGTTGCCGACATAACATGGATATGGCGTCGGCACCCACAGATTGACTCAGCGCTTGCCCGAGTGTTTTGAACACGGCCTTACCCAGACACTTCGGAGGACATGGAGATCCGAACCCGCAGATGCCGCTGTGTGATATTTGATTGTCGACGTCTGTTTCTTCCCAGGTCTTGGGCTCGAACTCTTGCCAGACCATTTTACCCTTGTCTGCAGTCTTGTCAAGGCCTAGCCATCCCATGAATTTGTAGTCAATGGAGCTAGCCATATGGTTTCTTATTGGCCGACAACGCGCTATCTTGAGGCTTTGGTCTGTAGCTTGACTTAGTTGGGTTGACACTAGAACAGGAAAACAGCAAGGACCTTTGGTGGATTGCGTGGATAGTTAGTGCTTAACTACACAGCGCACTCTTAACGCCCTTAATGATACGGCATAGAATCGTCTCCGCAACGGCAATTACAGGTGCTAGTTTTCATAGTTGCTCGTCTCAAATTTTGCGGACATAACATCGATGGATCCACTATGAGCCTTTGCATAAGCAGTCTGCATCCGATGGATATGGTTTGACATCATCTCCCTAGAGTAGTCGCAATCGACTAAGCCCCGCAACAGATCGGCGTGCCATGCGAGCCGACGATTGAATCAAACTCTGCAGAGTGCTTTATGATTTGCATGCAAGACTTTGCGCCGCTCATACCGTCAAGGATTGCCAGATACTCGATGAAATATATCGTGCCTCTATCCCCTGCGAAGTCAAGTATATGATCTTTCAACATACATCCGTCAAGCATCTTAGAACTGTCACAAGGATTCTACAGATTGGATTCGTTCACGCAATCTCTGCTATCCAAACTCGACTCAAGCAATCCTAGACAATGCCTCAAACGCAAATCTCACGCGCCTCTCGGAGCGGGGCACCCTCCATTCAAGGCAATAAAGCCATTGCAAATGCTTTTACCGGCAACAACGTGTATATCGACCCTGTCCTCAACGCGGAAGGCATGTCGATTGCCAATGTCACTTTCACGCCAGGTGCCCGAACGCACTGGCACACGCATGAAAAGGGTCAAATCCTGAGAGTCGTCACCGGGTCGGGTTGGGTATGTGATATTGGCGGACAGCCAGTCCGGATCAATGTTGGGGATGTTGTCTGGTGCCCGCCAGGCACAAAGCATTGGCATGGAGCTGACGACCATAGCTACATGTGTCACCAGGCGACCTCTTTTGGCGGTGTTACCTGGGAAGAAGAGGTCGGTGATCAAGAATATGCAAAGAAATCGGGGTGAGAATACAGACTGTGAACCCAGCTTCATCCCAAAGAAAATCGAGATCATTTACACCCAAAGTTTCGAGCTCCGTATTACATCCAATTGGCCAAATTTAGTTGTCTGATGTCGCCACAGCAAGTCCGGAGCGTCCACATAAATGCCTCAGCTCGAGGGCCCCTCTGCAACTCGCAACTTACACGGAGGAAGAGGTCGCCACGTTGTGCTCGTTGGGTTTGCGCTAATGCAGACTGCTTACGGTGGCGCCTGGTGTTTGCTACAGGCACTCAGATGCTCCAATCACAATAAGTTCTGCTGTAGTATGCGGGGAGCTTCACATTGATACATATTAAATGCCTATTTCGCCGACTTCTCAAAGAACTTCAACAGCTTGTTTAGCATTCGATTTCTTTCAAATATGTCGTTTTTCAACCGCCCTCCAAAGCCCGATAATCCGTTGGCATACCACCGCATCCTCTCCCCCACAGCATCCGTCAAAGTCTCCCCTCTATGCCTAGGTGGCATCAGCATTGGGAGCTCATGGAGCGAAATATTTGGCAAAAACGAAAATCCAGACTCTCTGCTTGATGCCTACTACGCTCTGGGTGGCAATTTCATAGACACGTCGAACACCTATAATTGCGAGGAGTCTGAAAGGCTTATTGGTGAGTGGATGGAGAAAAGGGGAAACAGAGACCAGATGGTTGTTGCGACCAAGTATACTGCTGGCTACAAGGCGTACCAGAGAAATGAACTTCCGTTACAGAGCAACTACACGGGCAATTCGGCGAAAAGCATGCATATCTCTGTGAGAGATAGTTTGGCAAAACTAAGGACAGATTACATTGACATCCTCTACGTACACTGGTGAGGTTCTGATACAACAGGAGGTAACCAACTTAACTGACTGTTTCAGGTGGGACTTTGCAACATCAGTGGAAGAAGTCATGACACATCTTCACGCCTACGTCATGGCGAAGCAAGTGTTGTACATTGGGGCATCTGATACTCCAGCCTGGGTGGTTGTCAAGGCAAATGCGTGTATGTTTGACCCCTTGATGCACTTGCTCCCGCGCTGGCACCACGCTGGCACCACGCTGATACGATGCGATAGATGCTCGAAGCCACGGCCTCACACCATTTTCCGTGTACCAAGGTCGATGGAATGCCGCATATAGGGACATGGAGGCCGAGATCATCCCCATGTGCGAAGATCAAGGTATGGCGATTGTGTCGTGGGCTTCTCTTGGAGGAGGACAGTTGATGTCCGCGCAAGAAAGAGAGGCAAAAGTGAAGGACCCAGATGTTCATAAAGGGTACGGCTTCCGCGAAGCGGATATCAAGGTGTCCACAGCGCTGGAGAAGGTTGCGCAATCGAAGAAGACCACAACTCAGGCAGTAGTAAGTACTTATTCATACATCGTGTCATTAATAATTGTTCGCTGACCGCGCAATACCAAGGCACTTGCCTACTTACTACACCAGTCGACCTATGTTTATCCAATTGTGGGGGTGCAGACGGTTGAACATGTCAAAGCATTGCCAGAGGCATTGCGGATTGAACTTTCGATAGAGGACATCGAAGCGATCCAGGATGCCGGAGACTACCAACCCCCGTTTCCCATGAGTTTCTTGTTCCAGTGGACCGGAGGAGAAAAGTACCATCTGGGTCTCACACCTGCAGATGTTAGCCAATATCAGATGGCAGCCTGGATCCAGGCGCCGCCGAAACAACCGGTATGTGAAATGACAACTCAGTATAGGGAATCAGCTAACAGGTGGGCAGCCATATCAACCTTGGAGAGGACTATAAGTAGTATATAGCCATAGAATTATACTGCATTTTGGGTACCATTTATCCTAACAGAGTGTCAAGATTCATGCATGAACCTCAGGCGCATGGAATCCGGACAACCTCGTTGGGCGCCACCAACAAGGAAGGATTGCCGAAGATCTATATACGGGAGCACGTAACTTCCGGAAAGAGTAATCTAGAATATAATACTACACTATTATACTAGAGTAGAGCAATAGAGCGATAGAGTACTACGAGTCTCCTATATCTATATAGTCGTCGATCTTTTATAGTTAAGTTTATAGTCTCTCGTAGTTAACCTTCGTTATAAGTTAGACGATATATTTCCCGATTTAACTATTTCTAGTAGTCATTCACCGCTTAGGTTTAGACCTTTTTCTATATAATAATTTTTATTTTATAGTACTACTAGAAAGCCCTTCTCTTACTAATTCCAAAAGTACTTTCCTTTTTTTTATATCTTATTATATACGTATAGGAAAAGTCTCTAAAGTATATATATTCTAGTACCTTTTAATAGAGAATACTTATATAAGTCTCTACTATTACTAAGATCGTAATAATTCCTACCCTAATATAGAATAGTCTAATATAGCGTAATAATTCCCGTTCTATTATAGAATAGTCTATATCTAGCGTAATAATTCCCGTCCTATTATAGAATAGTCTATATCTAGCGTAATAATTCGTAACCTCGTAATAATTCGTAATCCCGTAATAATTCGTAACCCCGTAATAATTCGTAATCTCGTAATAATTCGTAATCCTATAATAATTTATAATCTTGTAATAATTTATAACCCTATAATAATTCGTAACCCCGTAATAATTCGTAACCCTCCGTAATAATTTACAACCCCGTAATAATTCGTAATCCTATAATAATTCGTAATCCTATAATAATTCGTAACTCTCCGTAATAATTCGTAACTCTATAATAATTTATAACCTCGTAATAATTCGTAACTCTATAATAATTCGTAACCTTATAATAATTCGTAACCCCGTAATAATTCGTAATCTCGTAATAATTCGTAATCCTATAATAATTCGTAACCCTATAATAATTTGTAATCTTGTAATAATTCGTAACCTCGTAATAATTCGTAACCCTCCGTAATAATTCGTAACCTC